TTTGCAGTTTCATTGGAAAGTGAACATGCAGCACTGTGAAGTGGAAATTGAAACAAATGATTCAGTTGTTTAGATGTAAAACACCATTTTTATCGGTGTATTTTGTACACTGAAGGAGACAGTGAATGGCAAACATGGGAATGTGTTATATTTCCGCAGATGCGGGCATCCTCCAGTCAGTGGGAGGTTGACTTTCGTTAGTCTTCCTGTCAGAGATGCAGGGGCCCTTATTTTGCCACAACGTGTGTGATATTGTTGGAAACCAAAGGTACCTTATTAGTCAGTGCTGTAAATAAAGGCAAATCTGGCTGGCTTAAGGGCATCCCAATGTCTTTGTAGATGAAAATTAGGAGATATATCGCTGCTGAAGAGAATCAACTGATCTTAGTTTTCTGATTAAATTATATTTCTGTATCTATCGTGTGTTTTTTTTATACCTGTAACTCATTTTATGCACAGTTATGTGAAAGGTTTGGGAGTGGTGCTTGGCTTGTTCCAGGATATCAGTTCCTCTGGCTTATTTTATTTTCAGCAGATCTCAGAAAGAGCATTACTTGTAAGTGAACAATGCTGCTAACTCGATCTGAGCAGCTCCACAGTTCTGACTCTGATCAGGGGAAATATCTCCTTACAGGCAAATATTGATTTCTGAATGCACTTACTCCGCCAAACTGCATGGTCTTTTCCGAATTAGCCTTCTGGCCACTCTGCAACCAGAAATTGTGGAGTTTAAACCAGGACTGACTTATCTGAAAAAAGAGAAAAAACAAAGTTCACTCAGAGGCATCATTCTTCTGTTGTGTTTGTCTTAGTATTTAGGGTTTAGAAATGTATCCTGTATTAGAAATGTAGTGCATTGAAGGCAAGACAGTGTCCTCATCAACCTGTCTTTCTGGTAAAGTCAGCTCAGTGATTACCAAATTGCAGCAAATAGTTTCCTAGAGGAGCAAGTCTACACACAGCCATTTCTAAGCATTTCCTTTTTAAGTCCGGTCATTTACACACACACACACACACACACACACACACACACACACACACACACACTATGTAAGAGGCTCTGCAAACAAGCAATAATACACTGACACAACAGCATCTTGTGGTTGCATTGTTCCGCTCCTTCTAAGCTGTAATGGCTCTTATCGTTTTGTTTTGTTTTGTTGTGTAACGTTTGTTGTCGGCCATTATTCATTCCTATGTCCATGTGTGATTGTTGGTGTATTGAGCGAAGGTTTTTAGAGTGTGTCACTACATCATGGGTTTGCAGTCACATGGTAAAATCCACCTGGGTGTGACTGACTCAGCTCTGTCTTGTCATGCTCCAGGTAGGTTTCCTAGCACTTCAATGGGTGTGCTGTGTGGCAGTTTTTTTTTTTGTAAATGCGCATGTCAGTACTTATCTGAAAGATTGAGATTTGGTCCAAAACTACTGCAGACAGTTCCTGTTTTGGCTTGTTAGCAGAACTGTAAATTGATTAAAAAAAAAAAAAATCCCTGTTTCTGGCCCATAGGAGCCGTATTCTAATTATTTATTGTCCTTCTGAATGTGGGATGGACAGACTGTATGCTTTACAAAAGTGGTGAAAGCTTTAGACAACACAGCACTGGGCTGTTATTTTACAGGTTTTGTTAAAGTTACTGAAAGAAAAAATGTACTTTTTTATTTATGCCAACCAAATTAAGCTCTTTAATTGGGGTTTATCCTGGCCAAACTGTCGCAGACTCCACAGTCTGGGTTCATGATTGCCTCTTTCTGTGGTTTAAAAACAGATGGGTCCACAGAGAACAGTGAACAAAGTGTACAAAGCATTCAAATAATCACCAAACAACTATTAAAGTACGACTTTAGATTTTCACATGTGTGCCTTCCAGGCCCTGTCTCTGTGGCAGAATTGGCATGAATAGAGGATATGTACGTGCCTGCAACAACGTATGTGTTGCTAAGGTTACCCTGTCTTGAATGCAACTGCGTCATGGTTTCACGCAGTCATTGGGGAAAAAATGAAATGATAAGGCCCTGTTTTGCACACGACTACAGGAAAACAAACTTAAGCATTATTTTACTGCTGAAGGAAACTGAATTAATTTAGATGCATGCAATTTCACAGCTTGGGATAAATAAAGTATTTCTATCCATCTAGATTTAATCATGATTATCATGCAGCACATTGAAGGAGTCAATGCAAAGTCCTGCAAAGTTCACTCATCTTTTTACTTAGGCTTGTCGTCAGCAGGAGCCTGATGACATGACACCAAAACACCACAATGACTAACCTTGTAGTTCTCTTCTAGTGACTGTTGTGGTCTTTTGCTTGAGTTATGGGCGGAAGAGGCTGACATGCAGTTCTTTTCGTTTGCTTGTGAAATAATTCAGGACACCAGATAATAGATATATCTTAACACAAGTACATTCTAGCATTGAAATAGAATTATATTTGTCTAAAATACAATGGTAATAGAAAAAAATGAAGGTATGTCATACTGTCTAATAGACACAGAGCATTTTTCAGTGGTGGTGACACTTTCTGATTATTTCCAACTCGTTCTGGCCTTTCATGTCAAAGTGTTTTTTTCCACCTGTTGTGAAAGAACATGAGGGCTTTAGAACAGCATCATTTGCATGTCATCAACTCATCACAATGGCCCAGTGGAAAATGCAAACAAAAGTATTTTGAAATATACACAATCACATTGTAACATAAGGTAATAACCTATAAAACAAGCAGTTATTTGATGTAACATTTTAAACCTGACCGATAGGCTTCAAATGAATATATATATATAAACTATACATTTTTTTATCGATTTATTTTTTGCTCAGATTTAAGGTAAAATAAGATACGAGATAAACATACAAGGGAAGCTTTTGCGAAAGTCATACAGATTTTTTTTCCTGGGAAAGTGTGCGTTCCTGGCATGTGCTCTGTATGTCATTGTTCCTTCAGAGCTTAGTACACAAAGTTGTCAATTCAGATGGTCATTTCTGTGAGTGTTCCTCTCCTTTTGATATCACCAGCCAGAGCACTCAAAGCTGGTTTATTTAAAAAATGCTGAGGTTTCATGGAGAATGTCACAGAGTTAATTAAAGGATGCAGTTTCTGTAGAAATTGTGTTGGGATTGCTCTGACTGCCCGTGCCCTGCTTCCTGCTAGCTGCTGAATAATTGAATGTAAATCTATCAAAGTGGGTGCAAACAGACAGAGCTGAGAGAAGCTGCTGATTAGCATATGTCCACCAGCTGAATGGCAGCTGAGGTTGTCATGGTGACATCGAATTCAACATTTTATTTCACTCAGATTTCAGCTTCAGCCAGATTTAGTCCCCGACCAGCTCCTATTGACATGTATTTGCACAGCTATGCCCCTGCGTGAGCACAGTGAGGCTCTCCTCACTCACATCTGTGCAACATTTGTGTCTTTGCTGTGCAAAGCACGGCCAAAATCCTACTGGAGTTGTTTTTTGGAGCCACGTATGTTTAAAAGGAAAGGGCCATCGATAAATACATTTAAAAGACTCATTTGTTAAACTTAGAGCAGCACCACCTTCTGATTAATTTTTCCCGCCTCTGAGCAAACCACACCTCACTGACCCACGCCTCAATCTATTGCTCCTCTAACTTCAAAGTAATTTCTTTAGGTAACATCATAGCTAAGTTATTGTCTCTGTTGTTGGCAGCTTTGCTTTATTATTGGCATATGGCATCACACCATGTGACCCTGTGCGTAAATGTGCAGCATGAGTCACCAGTCTTATCTTATGGCCCACAAGCAACCATCAATTACATGTTTTGGCCAGATGGTCCTTTTAATACCCAGTCACGAGGTTTCCTGGCAGTCTGTCGTTTGTTTTAAAAATTGGTGATGAGTTCCACGGCAGCAGTGTACGTCAGTGAGTCATGTCTTTATCCTGGCTGTGCCTTTTACTATTAAATGTTACCCTCAAACTGATTTGGAAGCAGTATAATGCCCTGAAATAGGTCATCCAGGCTCACAATAGACTGCCATTAATAAATTGGACTGTCAACAGCCATGGAGAAGAAATCAGACCAGTTCTGACTGTTACATGAGGTGTCACATAACTGGTGTCATGTCACTGTAATGTCACAGGATCACAGTTCTCTCTACTTCGTATCTTCTTAAGTTTTCCTTGTCCAGCAGATAGCGTGCAGCCACTAGCCTGCTCCTTCCAGGAGGTGGTTAGCACAGATGGCACTCCCCGCTATATTTGACAGCTAAAGTTTGACTTTAGCATGAATTAAGTGTAATTCCTGTGGCATATTTTCCCAGGTTTTTGGTATTTTCTGACAGTATGGTGTTTGTTTTGGTAACCCGGCCCCTAGTTTGATGCAGAATTATGTTGAAAGTTGTTCTCTTTGATTTCCTGTAATTCAATAGCAGCGGGTAAAAATATTTGTGGGGGCACAGACCAGCAGAAACATTAGAAGCATAGCAGCACCAGGAAGGAGAGTCCTGAGTGAGTGCCTTGAGACAGTAAAGCAGTGTAGCAGAGTTTCGATCTGAAATGCAGCATAGAGGACTGCCGTGTTTGGGTTTTTTTTTTTCCCTTGGAGTAAACTCGACCTAAGTGGCTGCAGCACAGAGAAGGTGAAACGAATCCCTCTCCACGTCTAGAGGTTCAGTCAACTAGTCCAAAGCTGAAGAGAACACAAGGCATCAGCGGAAAGTCTGGCTTTCATGTATTAGAATCATTTTTGTTTTCTGTTGAGGCAACAAGGAGCTAACTCTGTGGATCGCTCTAGTTTCAAAGGTCGCATGTTTGGGTCATGTCTCCAAACAGAACCACCGGTCTCCTCTGACTAAGAGCTGAGATCAGCCTGTAGAGGAATGTCGGTTGTCACCGGAGCTATTTTAGCAATGAACCGCAGCTAATGATTGTGATCACAGAGCCGAGTGCAAAGCAGTTGCTTTGCTCTCTTTTTTTCTTAGCAAGTTTGACCATGCAGCTCTATGTGGCGCTGCAGGGATTAGAGAGCTAAACAAATGGCACGTCGGCTCCGCTTGCATTTCGCGTCAAGGAGAAGCAACACGGACCCCCTGTCAGAGAGCCTCAGCAGCCATGGTGAGGAGAGTGGAGTTAATGTGTCAGCTCACGGCCCCGCAGAGAGTCTGGCGCAGAGCTCCGTCCACTTGAAGGTGACTCCTCTGTCACCGGACTTTGCCAACAGTCAGTGCTCTTCAGTATTCATACCCAGGGTTAACACTGGAGGGTGTAATAAGAAGAGCATTCTGCAAATCTCGCTGCAGCCCTGTGGGAAGCTCAGCGGAGAGCTGGATGGCAGCATAGAGGATGGAGACCCCGGACTTAGTGAGGGCGGAGCAGGAGGCTCGTGCAACAGCAGCATGGCCAGCGATGCCGGATACTGCAGCAGCAACAGCATCTTTGAGCCAGAGGCTCCTGAAAAGCAAAGGACCAACCAGGAGAAGGGACAGCTCTGCTGCAAGTCCAAGGTCCCACTGCGACGGTGCTCCTCCCTGGTGATATTTCCAAAGAGCCCCTGCAGCACGCCACCTGCTTCCCCAGGAAGTCCCGTGGCTCTGCCGTCTCTACCGCCAGCCAAGGGGTCTTATCAATCATCTCTTCAGACGTCTGCCAGTGATTTCTCACAGGACAATGACAGGGGGACTTGCAAAGGGTCCACCACCGCTGCAGTAGGTGGTCATCGTCAGTCCAGCTGTTCAGCCGAGTTTAGAGACATGAAACATATGGTGCACTTTAATATTCCTTTACAAGACGAACCAAAAGGTAAAACGGAGGACAGGAGTACTGTGATGGAGCTGTCATCAGTCCCAGACAGATATAATCGTCACTCGAGCAGCGTGCTGCTGCATTTTGCCCACCAGAGACCAATGATTTTGTCGAAGGGAAATACAACCAGGGCTGCTGTCAACGTGCAATATCCCGAGGCGTATTACCCGGCCACACACCCCGACAGGGAACACGACGTCCACAAAAAACTGTACCGCAGCACCTCTGCCTGTTTGTTTTCCTCAACAAAACCACCAGAGAAAAACAATAAGCTCTGTTGTCCAGGAAAAGGCCAAGACAGGGCTGAGGAAAACCATTGTCATCGTGCCATACAAAGGAGCTTTTCCCTTGAGGTGCCCTACCCTAACACCGGAATTTCATGTCACGTTTCAAACCCGAAGCTCTGCAGCCCTTGCTCTCCACATGTGCACATTCATGTGTCTCCATGCTGCCCGCCAAAGTTGCCCAGCTCTTTTTCTGACGTTAACTCCCGCCAGAGATTTAACGCACCAAAGAGCTTGGGTCTAAAAGCCCAGGTGAGTGTTTCGAGTGATGCCTCCTGTGTGATGGAACAAGCAGAAAGTTTTGAAGCTGTTAGATATGTTTGGAACAATGGCCCTATGACAGGACAGCGTGGATCCCAATGTTGTTTGACTGGTTCAGGTAGATTCCACACAGCTTTGGTCCGGCTCTTCAGGACACTGTCTAAACACCAGCTTCTACATACAGAATTGACTTGAATGGTAGACAAATAGTCAAAGTTACAACTCAATATTTTGAAAAAATGCTTCATTGGCTTATGCTGCCGACAAAGGGGTTTAAGTACAAGTATTAGCAAGATGAGCCATATATACATGATTTTTATACATGTACGTACATACATATATATATATATATATATATATATATATATATATATATATATATAATTTTTGTTTTTTACCTTTTTTTTATTTTTTTATTATAGATGTAGCAATCACTGTTGTTGCTTTTAAGGCCATCAAAACTTTGTTTACCCAGGTTTAGCAGTTAAGTTTCTCACAAGACAGAGCGACTTCCAGTAACTGAGAAGATCTGTACAGCTAAGTCATGCAATTAACAAGGCCAATGTGGACAAACATTCAGAGGTGTTCGGTTACAATGCTGTAAATCCATCAGCAGGTTCATTTGCACGAATCATTGGATTTAGAAAAAAAAGACTGACTCCCCTCCATACTGTGGATCTCGCTGTTCATTTGAGTGTAACTCAACTTAAGAATAGTTTTCCATTCTTATGATTCTGTTAGCACCATGAGTGATCGGTCTAAGTATTTACCAGGGCTAATTTTAGTGGTGGGAAAAGCGGTGCCCCTTGCTGATATAAATAAAGTGCCTCTGAAATGTTCCCCCTGACTCCAGATAGTCTGGTGCTCTGCAGCACTGCCCAGCTCTGGGGATTCAAATTTAACAGCGTGATACTAGAGCAGCGCGCAGTCATGCCAGCCATCTGCGGACATGGTGTGTGCGTGTGTGAGTTGGTGAGTGTAAGCCTTTTCCAGTAAACGGTGGTGCGTTACCTTCCTTGTGGGTCCCCCCTACCAAGCAGTGTTTGTTAAATATCAGGTGTCGGCCTCCCCCTGCATTTAGCAGGTTGTCAAAAGTGAAGGTCTCCTTCAGTAATTAGACAGTCCCTTTCCTGCAACAGATATCGATACGTTTTTGTGTTTTCTTCAAGAAGCCTTAAAAATAGCCCCGTTAACCACCGGATGTATTGTTTATATTCATATTACACTTAGTGCTACTTACACATAAGGACACAAAAAGATGGTTCAACTCCATTTTTATTTCAGCCAGGTTAGAGTTAAAATTGAAAACTAAAAAACACATGGTCCTTGGTTGTGATGCAACTGGTTGAGGTTTTTTATAGAATCTTTCAGCTCTGCCGCTCTTATCTGCACTGGCCTAATTACTCTCATATTACATCTTCAAGTATAAGTTAATGAACGACCAGATGTGACCATATTACACAAGCAACGTGGAAAACATGAATCACAGCAGTTTTCTCTCGTGTTTTGAGCCAGTCTGAATCATAACATTGTTTTGTATATCATCTTAAAGCAATTAAATGGTATTTTACAAAGTCAAGTGAGTTTTGATGATTTAGCAGTCAAACTTTAGCAGAGATCAAGAACTTTAGAGACACTGATTTGAGCAAAGTTGTGCCTGAAAGCTGATAATGGGGTGGTAAATGCCACATTCGTAGATCATGTTAGGGCTTCTGTGGTTTCCTTTAGAAAGGATAACATGTTGGAGGGGACGTCACACCCCTATTAGGAAAGAGCTCAGGCAGTGCCCTCTCTCCATAGGTGCTTAGTGCAAAGCCCAGCTTTCGAACTTTGAACGGTTTCAGTGTTGGATTTCAGCCCGCAGTTTGGTAGAACGTGACCTTCTTTCCTGTGGGAGTAAGATAAATATGTTTTGTACATACAACACCGTTTCTGTGAGTATGAATAATGAGGGTCTAGAGGCGTAAAGGGTCTGTGAAACAGGAGCACAAATAAAGTGGATGTCACCGAGCTCTCTCCACAGACCACAAACAGCATGGGATGGTCACGACTAAACTGAGTTGCATTTAGTGTTACCTGAACCTTCAGGGATACTCCGGATAGACGTTAGTCTGTCGTTAGCCTCATCTAGGGCAGTCTACTCATATGGCATGACTCTCCACTTCCCCTTTGTTGCGCTTCATCTCACCTCTCCAGGGAGACTTCTTGGAAGAAATTATTTAAATTTCGAATCTGTTTGATACAGATATAGATTTGACTTTTCAAGCTTGCACGAGTGTCATCATTAGCTTTTAATTGTAAATGCATAGCTGACCTAGTGGATCCGTTTTCCAATTAGTCTATAATTGATTCGTATGGCTCATCTTCTGAGCATCTGAGGAACCAGTTCAATTATACGTATGCCACAAACTTTGAAGACAGAATGTTATAGGGTATGTTTCAGCCTAATCATGGTCAGTAGAAGCAGTTCTAAGGAATATTCACTGATTTTTTTTTTTTCCTGTTCATTTGGGATTAAAAACGGTTGATTGTGAATTACATAGCAGAGCACTCACATCATCATAGCACATCAGACTGTTTGATGAGTACATGCTGAATGGCATTTTACTAAGTCTGCCGTCCATCGGCCATATCTAAACAGTCCCGAAAAGTAGTTAGAGTATGCTGTGGAGTATAAATGAATCCATTTGACATCAGTGACAGTGCTGATGCAGCCATCAGAGTTGGTATTTTGAAGAACAGCTTCTCACAGGAAATGAAACACTCCACAGAAGATTGGCAATGATGATAAACATGCTGCACTTTTGAGAACATGGGCAGAGAGCTTGCCTCTCTGGGACATTAGAAACAGCTGCGCTCTTTAAAATACTAAACAAATAAAGGCAACAGATCCTGATGATTTTAAAGAAGGAATATGCACATTTTTTTTAAAAAGTGCTGTTTCATGCTGATCTAAGATCTGACTTTAGCTGTTTCTTCTTGACTGAACCTCTCTATATTTGTGCACGTGAACACTTGTGCTGCTGTTAGACAGCTTGACCTGTCAGGAGTGTTAATTTGCTCACAAAGCGGACCCCCTCTGTACAATGCCCGCTTTTGGCCGTCTACTTTTAAGACTGCAAAAGAAGGGCATGCAGTGAATGTGTCAAGCCTTAAAATCAGAGCCCATGTGTCTGGCAAATGCTACATTATTTTGATCCTGGTCTTCTTTGCAGTAACACAGAGCAGCCATTAATTTAGGGCTGATAAACACATTCCTATCTATGCTGCAAACTAAATATATACAAAAATAGATCAAGTCAAATGACTGTTCTGGTTAGAGGGTAAAAGAGCACACTGTTTGTGCTGTGGGGGAGAGATTTTTCATCTCTAATGTAATGACTGGAGGAAGTAAAGTTACAGAAATGTTTCTCTTGAAAATGTCCTCATCCTGACTTGATTTTGGTAGAAAAGTATGCGACTTTATACCATGTAACACAGACTGGCTGTATACCTGAGTGTCTATACAGTAACAGAACATATGGATACTAACAGATCTGTAGTGTGTATGTGGCATCATTCAGATGTTTCTGACATTTGTTCATCTCCCTTTTTCCCTTTCAGACACGTGATGACTTTCTTGGACAGGTGGATATTCCTTTAAATCAGATACCGGTGAGTGTTATTTTGCTTCTCCTTTGTTTCTTACACTGATATTTTTTACTTAATTAAGTTGATATGTTCAGAATATTTATATATCTTAATTGGATATTGAATTCTTGCTATTGTCAGGTTTAGGAGCATCTCATACATGCTCAAAAAGTCTAAAATCATAAAAATCATAACATGAGGAGACAGAGAGGAATAGAACAGAATAATCCATCACCACATGCATCAAATGGCAAAACCAGGCCATTAATAGTTAAATCATTTGCAGTGAGATGGACTGGATGTTTTCTTAAATCTCTTTGAATTCAAAAAGCAAGACCTGCTCCATGGAAGGGTTTTTTACAAACGGAGAGGGAGACTTATATAATTTGTTTTTACTGTACGAACACTTGCCCTCAATCTGACCCATGTCACTGTGTAAACACACATGCACCCTTATTCTGGTGTCTGTTCCATATCGCTTTACATAGTTTTGGAAACACAGTATGCCATGTTTATACTATGCTTCTGCTTGTGTTTAATTGTAAACACCAACCCCCAGAAATCTGCCTTCATTGTGCACTGCCACTGTCATTACATGTCATCTTAAGATCACTGTATTATGATACAGCGTTGTTAAAACGTGCACCGTAGAATTACACCTTTCCTTTTTTTTTTCAGACAGAAAATCCTAACACAGAAAGGCCATACACATTCAAGGATTTTCTGCTCCACCCACGAAGGTTGGCACCTCATGATCTAATAGTTTCTTTCCATTTTACATTCAGTTTTTGCTCATTTGTTGCTGCACAGGATCTGTGGTCACAGATCCTTTATCATGGAATGTTCCTGTTTTCCTGTTCCAATGTTTTCTGCCCGGCGTCATAACATTTATTCCGTTTTCTCATTCCTACAGTCATAAGTCCAGGGTCAAAGGTCATCTGCGTCTCAAAATGACCTACCTGCCAAAAAATTCAGGCTCAGAGGAAGAACACGCAGATCAGACTGAAGACATAGATGTAAGGAAATTATTTGTCTTATGTGTACCTTAGTGGAAGGTTTGCTTCTGCCTTGATCCCCAGACAGAGGCATCTGCTCTATTCTCACCGTCATCTGGGGAATATTTCACTCATTCGCTCCACAGTGTCCACCGGCCAAGGCTCAGAATTAAAACACCTCTCTTCTGCAAAGTGCGTTACTTGGAATACCAGGAACAGTCTGTTCACAGATGAGAAGAAGCTAAACAGGTGTAGTCACAGGAAGGACACACTTAAGCCCCAGTTCCCCCTGAGCAAACTTTGGTGGAGGTTTACTTATGAGTACCAGCATGTAACTGAAGCCCTGACCTGTAGCCTGCAAATACATCTGCTGCTTAATCTGTTTTTAAAAACTTGAAATCAGCTGTCTTGGGTAACACATGGACTTTTTATTGCTGAGTGTGAATACAGGTGGAAATCCCTTCGTGGCCTCACTTATCTGAAAATATTGATAGCATGAAAACCTTGGCAAGTGACAGCCAGAGTGGCACAGATTTGCTTGTCTTCTCAATTTGGAGACAAAACCTACAGGACAGGAGTCCTTTATTACAGATCATCATTTCTGTGTTCAGTTAACCAACTGATGTCTGCATATTCACCTTGTTCCCCCCTTTCAAAACTTTATTTTCCATGTTGCTGTGCAGCCAAGCTGGGAGCACCTGGAGTCTCAGGACATGTCCGGTCCCAGGCAAAGCCAGCTGCTGCCTCCTCTGCCCCCTGGCTGGGAGGAGCGGCAAGACAACCTGGGAAGAATCTATTATGTGAATCATGAAAGCAGAACCACGCAGTGGCACCGACCCACCGCACAGTAGGATGACTCCCATCTTCCAGCAAGTCACCTTATTTTGTGTGTATTTGATGAGTTAGAGTGCATGTTTGTGTCCCCCCCGGAAACAGGGACAGTGAAGTGGAAATTCAAAGAAGGCAGAACAGTAACGTGGATACGGAGCAAACCTTCATTACGCGCAGACAGATCTCAGACCATGAGGAGAACACCCCGCATGAGTCTCCTGAGGTAACAACCCGCTGTCACCCTTTCACTCTGATTCTGTGGACTTTGCTTAAGAAAACACAAAAGAGACCATTTTAAGGTCCCAGTCTGATGTTTGATCTGTGAGGTCATAATGTTGTTACTTATGTGTGACTCAATTGAAGGTAAACTTGAGACCTGTTGATGGATGATTTACTTTTTTTTTGTTGTGGCTTCTCAAAAAGATATCTTCTGATGTGTTTCCTAGTAAATGAAAACAGAGCTTTTGATAAAGTATAAGTCAATGAATGTGACAGTTTTGTGTAGGTAGTTTGGCAAATAATGTGATTAATGTTGAGTAAGAATGTAGCATAAAATGGCTGTCATCAATTGCAAACTCTCTAGCTGAAACTCTTGGACTCTCCCCTCTCTCATCTTCCAGAGCTGGGAGATAATTACAGATGATGAATTCACCTCATTTCACAATAACAACCAGGTCTCATCACCTCCATCCCAAGAGCCTCCAGAGTTCAACGCACTCTGCGACGAGATCAGGAATGTTAGCGTTACACGGTCGTCAGCTAGAGAACAGCGCAGCTCGCAGACAGTGAGTCATTATCTGAGAAGTAAGAGGTTTTCTGTTACTGAAAGCCAGAAGAAAAGAGTCATAAACTGCTTTGTGTGAGCCATGAGCTTCCATAAAGTGGAGTGGAAAATACTTCATCATTAACTACCAGGTGATCATAGGTGGTATCTGTTTATCTGTGTCCTGCAGAATCATGTGAGCAATTCAAGCCATTCCAGTCGCAGAGAAAGTGCTCGGTCCTCCGCAAGAGAGGAACATCCTGTTAATCCTACGGTGAATATTTCTTCCTCTACTCCTTTGGACGTGTTCTAAAGAAATCTATATTGAACGACAATGTGTTTCTCTGTTACATAAGCTCTGTTTTCACAACTCACTGCATTCAATTGTTTTGTGATTAAATAGCTGCTTCCGACATCGGCTGGTCTACCACCAGGCTGGGAGGAAAAGCGCGACAGCAAAGGAAGACGATACTTTATCAACCACAACACCAGAACTACCACCTGGGTCCGACCTGTCATCCAGGTATGCCGTGCGCTTACTTACTCACATGGGTCTGCCGTCTCTTATAGAGCAAATACTCAATTCATGTTCAGTAAAGTGTGCTAGCTTTTCGATATGGTGTATGCACATACCCATAAACAGATTCAAGCATAGTAATGTGATGGCGTGGAATAGCTGTTCTGTTGTCATTACATTGTTATTAGGCAATATGGCTGATTTAAAGTGGAGAATTACTCTGACACAGAGCGTCGTAGAACACTCTTCAGTCAGAAAATGAGCCAATAAGTACAAAAAGTACCACTGGTACCCATTTATATGTCTTGTTGAAGGACATGAAGTGGTGAAAACCTAAAATAGCAAAACTCCCAGTGTTCTTTTATGCCGTTGTTGTTTTACTGGTGTATATTTTGTTGGACAGAGATCTTCAGAGGCGGCGGCAGCACCACAGACGTCTACAGGTCTATCTCGAAGCCCCACTCCATCTGAGCCGCCTGCTCTGCCTGGGGAGTCTCCTCAGCCCACTGTAAGCCCAGATGCTGCCTTTGAGTCTGGTTCAATGCCCACTGGCTGGGAAGTTCGATGCGCTCCTAATGGAAGGCCCTTTTTCATCGATCACAACACAAAGACCACCACATGGGTGAGACGAGTACTTCGACCACACAGTTTTCACCCCATTCTGTAGGGAATGCAGATTCTCATAAGCCATCTGATAAAAAAAAAAACATAGCATTGAAAAATGTCTTGGGTTTTCTTTAAAAAACAAACCTCTTTTTCATTTCTCAATGAAAAGGGGATTCTTTTTCATCTTTTTGTGTAATTTATTTCTTCGTGACGACATACACACTGTACAACAACCAGAGGTATGTCAGCAATGCCTCTAGTGTAAGTATTTCCTCTTTTCCTGTAACACACCCTGTTTGTCTTTCTCTGAACAGGAAGATCCTAGGCTAAAGATTCCTGTGCAGATGAGGAGGAGGGGCTCGCTTGACCCGGCTGATCTCGGCCCTTTGCCAGTAAGTTAGTCGCTATATCAGCAACAAAACAAATGAAAGATGTGTATAGACCTCAGTCATTAGCTGCTGATTAAAAACAATACACATGATGATAATCACAGCCAGCAGTACCCACTTTAACCCGATTATGTTTTCTTTCTTTCTAGCCTGGTTGGGAGGAAAGGGTCCACTCTGATGGAAGGACATTTTTCATAGATCACAGTGCGTAAGATTTTAATAATTTAAACCAGAAAATGCATCTCAGACATTTTACTGCTTTTAATAAATTAAATGGCATCTAATGTATTTTAATTTGCAGACACCAGGATCACCCAGTGGGATGATCCCAGATTACAGAACTCCGCTATTACTGGACCGGTAAGTATTGACCATGTTTGTCTTGTTTTCATCCAATATACATTAAATCAGTGGATTTTTTTTTTTTTTGGATGCTAACATGATCATCTTTTGATTGTAGGCCGTGCCTTATTCTCGAGATTATAAACAGAAGTATGACTACTTCAGAAAGAAGCTGAAGAAGCCGGTGAGTGTCCTTGGACAGCCATGTCACTGGACAGGATTGTCCCTCACTGTGCTTGCAAAGGTCTCATAGCTGTGTGTTTTTTTAATAAAGGCCGACATCCCAAGCCGCTTTGAGATGAAGCTGAGACGAAACGCAGTGCTGGAGGACTCCTACCGACGCATTCTCGGAGTGAAGAGGGCAGACCTGCTGAAGGCCCGCCTGTGGGTGGAGTTTGAGGGCGAGAAAGGCTTGGATTATGGTGGCCTGGCCAGAGAGTGGTTCTTCCTCATGTCCAAGGAGATGTTCAATCCATACTACGGGCTGTTTGAGTACTCTGCAACGTGAGTCTGCCTCGCTTTTCTTGTATTTGTTATTAGGTAACTGGTTGATTTCACCCAGATGCTAAAAATGTATTAAAAGCAATAAAAATTGTCACAAGTAATCTGACTTCTGCATTTAAACATAATCGGCAATCGAAGACTCCCCCATTGCAATACGTCCCTGCATCTTTATTCGTTTTGTTGTCTCAGTTCCTTTGTATGCCCGGTATATGTGAAGAATTTTGATGATAAATCTCTTAACCTGAACTTTTTGTGCTGAGGTTTTTAGGAAGGTTTCACTTTATTTTCATAGTTTTAGTTGCACAGTAACAGCCCGTATGTAAAGACTGAAATGGTTCAACTCAGAAAGCGTAAATCATGGTTTCAGCTAATCATTCCTTTTTTAATTGAGACGCTAACTTGTGAGGCAGATCCATTAAAGTTTATGATCTCAAAAGAATTGAGCCCGAAGCTTGGCGAGACAAATTGGTATCCAGTGCTGGCATCAGTATTTGGCATCCAGCACTGACAGCTACAGGCAGGTGTGAGTTATGAGGACAGTCAGCTGGTGTGATGACAGTGATAATTCATTTATAAAGACATTATCAGAGAGAACCTGTTTAGGGAAAGAAAGGAGCATCTTTCATAAGCTTTTCATGGATGTAAAGGAATTTATTTATTCAACCAGTAGAGTGAGTTTCACACACAGAGTGCTAACTTCTTTTTCTTCATTTGGCATGACACCACAAAAACATCTGATGGATTTGTTGAGCTACACCTCTTACAAATGTGCCACAAGAAAGAAGGAATGTTTTTAGAATATTTTGGATCTTAGACTGAAGTACTTATTCATGAAGCAGTTGCCTCTGCCAGTCAATGAAAAATGTTTGTTTTTGTTTTTTTTACAGGGACAACTACACACTGCAGATTAATCCCAACTCAGGTTTATGTAACGAGGACCACTTACCCTACTTCAAGTTCATTGGTCGTGTGGCCGGCATGGCTGTGTTTCACGGCAAACTCCTAGATGGTGCGTTCAGCCCTGCTCTATGCAGTTGATCAAATTTAAAGCTGTATTTACAACTTTTAACATCTTTCCTTCTTTAAAGCTTTCTTCATTCGACCTTTCTACAAGATGATGCTGCAGAAGCCTATCACCCTGCAGGACATGGAGTCAGTTGTGAGTCTCAGTAGAACTGGGGGGCGGGGTGCCTTTAATCAGGATCTCAAGAGGAACATATTCATGATAAAATGTGCTTTTGTTCTATTTTTTAGGATAGTGAGTATTTCAACTCCCTGAAGTGGATTTTGGATAATGACCCAACCGACTTGGATCTGAGGTTCACCATAGACGAGGAGCTGTTTGGACAGGTTTGCTCAAACATCCAAGCTTTCTCACAACATTTCATTTATGACAAGTGACTCTCTGAGATCTTATTGTTTTTCTTCTTTTTCAGACTCACCAGCATGAGCTGAAGCCGGACGGCGCAGAGATCATCATCACCAATGAGAACAAAAATGAATATATCCAGTAAGAGCAGAACACCCTCCCCACCTGAACAACACACTTTCTCTTGTTTTTGAAGAGAGTTTTCCTGTGATGTAACCTTCTATTTTGTGTCTGATAGCCTGGTGATGCAGTGGAGGTTTGTGAACAGAGTACAGAAACAGATGAGTGCGTTCAAGGAGGTACCAGCCTGTTTCTTTTTCACTCTTTCAAAAATAAACTTCCTGCAGCTCTTAATTGAACAGGTGTTGATGCAACTTTCTGCCTCAGGGGTTTTTTGAGCTGATACCACAAGATTTGATCAAGATCTTTGACGAGAATGAGCTGGAGGTGAGTTTCTAGTTTAGCTGCTAAGATTGTAATAAAAATTCTGACGTCAAAAAAAGATTTTAATCTAGCTCCTTCTCCTTTTTGCTCAACAGCTGCTCATGTGTGGTCTTGGAGACGTGGATGTGAATGACTGGAGGGCGAACACCAAATACAAAAACAGCTACTGTTCTGATCACGCAGTTATCCTCTGGTTCTGGAAAGTAAGACAACTTTCAGTATTTTGAGTCAAGACACGTGGCATGGACCACTGTATTTTTCTCCTGTAAGAGGATTGTTTTGTAGTTTTGCATTATTATCATTGCGTCATGTTATTGTAGACTGTGCTGCTGATGGATGCAGAAAAGCGAATCCGGCTCCTACAGTTTGTGACAGGAACATCCAGGGTGCCAATGAATGGCTTTGCTGAACTCTACGGTGAGATCTTGTACTTTGATTTTATCATGACTTGTGTAATGTCAAATCTATGTAATGATTCACATTATTCTCTTTACTTGGATAATTACTTTCTTCCTTTTCTTGTCTTTATGTCTTCACAAATGACTGCCCTTTCATTGTTCTTTTCCCCAGTACTCTGTATTTTTGTCTTCATCCTACCAGCAGCTTATTGTTTCTTGCTTCTTGAAAATGCGCCCAAGCTGAGGAGATGGTTTCATTAATGATGCTTTTTTTCCTCCAGGGTCAAACGGACCGCAGTTATTTACCATCGAGCAATGGGGCACACGAGATAAACTTCCCAGAGCCCACACATGGTGAGTGTTTCATTGTGTTGCTGTCTCCATATGTCGTACAGATTATTGTAGTTGTAGCTTCAGACTACGGGCCTTTCAAAATATTCTCCATAATATAATCTTCCTATCATTCCGGTACAGGTCAATCTCAGTTTCAGTTGTCTAAAGTCTGATCTGGTCTTTCTCTTTCCAAAGATGTGTTCTACTTTATTTTTAGTGTTGAAGAGTTTTCTCTACCGTGGAAAAAAACAATGCATTCATCGGTATAAAAACGTTAGGATGACAGCAGTGGTGGATGCAGCATGTGCATATCTCATCATTTTTGAGCACACACATGCACACTTCTGCTGTCTTTTGGTCCTTTTCATGTTGCCAAGCCCTGCAGTTGACCAGCTGCTGATTTTTCCAGTTCTGATGTCCCTGTCAACTCTTTTGACAGTTTTTATATCTTTTTCTACAGCCAGGTTTTACTTGTAGAGAGAGCAGTGTTAACACATGACAACTGTTTCTAAGACTACAGTTCCCAAATACCAAAAGCTGCTTTTGAAATCTGTACTAGACCTTTGTTCCCAAATGTCTGCTGTTATGGTAGAATACACCACAGTTGTACGATTCAAACAAAGTCCCATCAAATTGGGTTATTACAGAACTGTATTGACTTTTATGCTTCGGTGAGGTTCAGAGCTGCCATCAAATGAGTATTAAAGTGTCTATGGGTGGAAGTCCTCCAGCTTTACTGATCTTTCTCATTGGGGGATGTAAGTAGTGGTTTAAAGAGACACCTGCTGGTGTCCTGGTAGTAAGTCGGATAGAGGCTACACGTGTATGGATTTGCATTGTGAAAATATTCCCTAGTGGCTGGATTTTGCTGTAGCTGATGAACTGAACACTGTCACCATTCCCTGTGAGACATCTCAGTGATGTCCACAGTTTCAAACACAACTCTAAATGCCTGCATCTTAAATGTGTATTAACTCTACTTGTCTTTTTGTCTTTCATCTCCTAAAGTTTCAACCGACTGGACCTTCCTCCTTATGAGTCCTTTGAGGAACTGAAGGAGAAACTTCACATTGCTATTGAAAATGCACAAGGCTTTGACGGGGTGGATTAGAGCGTCTGCAGGGAAAAAACATAGAGCCATACAGAGGGATGTGGTGAGAAAACAAGCTGTGCATCCCACTTGGGTCTTAACCTGCCAACTGTGTGACGCATGAAGAAACGTGACACGGCCTCCACTTTGGTCCTCAGCTGGGGCAAACATGAAGAACGAACACTAAATCTGGAGAGGCAGAGGTACATTTGCCACTCCCTGTGTTCTCAGGTTTACAAAGCAGGTTTCATTGCTATTTGATTCTATATTGTAATTTGCTCAAAGGTGTATTTACTCTTATTTGTTCATCTCAAATAGCTAAATATTCTAAAAAATCTGATTCTGTGAACCTTTATAAAAAATTTACTGTGACTGAATGCTGTTGAACCTTAAAGGACATCAATGTGTTTTTAATCAGAAGCTCTTATCGTATCTTTAGAAAGCCATTGACTTTTGTCTTCACTGCATAACCACTATGAGCAGTTTCAAGTGTTAAAACACACCAATTAAATGGCATTGTAAAAATATAACCAACTAAAGACAGCACATTATGTAGATTTAATATCATATAATCGGAGCAATGTAGTAATATTATCAAAATATTTTCTTTGAGTTGATATACCACTGATTGAGAAGGATTTATCCTTTCAGCACCCCTTTAGAGATTAAACATTTTTAAAGTTCCAGGGAAACAAAATATGTGTCATTTTAGAATATTTTACATACTGGCATGCATAATGTGTTTGGAAGGCAAGTGCGATATGCTATAACTGTAAAAGTCATCCTAAATAAGCAGATTTTTGCAAGTTTAAATTTCATAAGTGTATTTTCTGTTTCTTACATTGTTCATTCATTGTTCATTGTACACAGACGCAGTAGATAAAACATTCATGGACCTGACAGTCATTCAAAGCAGACAATTTGCAGATTACTTACATATTTGAGTGACTTAAACAAATTGCTACAATGTCTAAGTAATGATGGTAGTGTTTTACTAATACCAGGACCAGTAAAGACTAAATTAATTATATGCTGTATCTGTGTATCCCACAGATATGGGGTGACTGCATGAAGTGTTACTGTGTTGACATTTTATGTATACTTGTACTCATTGGCTCCAGATATCTGAATACCACTTGATTTTTGTGTTTCTCTGGTATTACACAAATATATTGTATATGCAAATATAACTTTGAGGTCTACAGACTCGTAAAGCATTTGTCACTGAAATTGTTATTAACTGTCATTAAGCATCATGTTTTGTTCTTCATTTGTAATCTATAGCTCTTCTTACTCATGTTCAACTCTGTGTTCTAGAAAAACTGAATGAATGTATATTCATTATGTATTTTCTGGGTTTTATCTTAGTATACATTTTATTTAAAAAAGGCTAATCTTACAATGTTTGCATACAACATGTTGAGTATTTCTGCTGCCTGTTGTCAGTTTTAAATCCTATTATTTCTTCTACTCATCATGGGTGTCAGCACAGTACTCTATTTTAAGAGTGCAACTTTAAAATTTGTTTTTTTGGTTCTCAAAATATGTACAGATTATTGTTTTCAAAGTGAAAAGTCACGTGACACCTTTTTGAAGGCGACACTGATCAAAAGCAGTGGCTTTAACATTTTCTGACAGTGGAACATGTTTACACTAGCTGCCATGTTTACAGATTGGCGAGAAAAGGATGAATATATGGGCTAGTTTCTTGTCTCTGACAACTCTCTTTTCTACTTACGCTTTTATAAAGTGAAGCACTTTGTTAATGTTTGATGAGTCTTACTTCTAAACTGTTTGAATCTTTGCCAATCTGTCACCTGTGGACTGTTTAAATCACTCTTTTAAAACATGATTCTATGCTTCAAGTGCACATGTGTTTAAATGTTTACATGTGAACCTTGCTACAGTAAAATTTAGCACATTCTCTTCTTTCCCTTCTATTTAAAGATGAAATATCAGGGCCTTTTTTCTAATGTTTCATAGAATCCATCGGTGTTATTGATGTTCTAATCTCTGAACTATATATTGTCTGCTGAGTACAATGCTTCGGTCAAAGCTATCAACACCTGTACGTGCATTACAAAACTCAGTGTACATGGGCTGTGTGTACAGCAGTCTAAAGGCTGAAATAAGATGTTAGATTATGATATGACTCTTACAGCGCGCCAAATTAAATATAAATGTAGTGGCATAATAAATGGATACAAAAGCCATGATGCTGTGTCTCAGTGTGTCTAACTCTCCGTTTTATCCAACTGTTCTTTCCTTTTCTAATGTTCTTTTTTTAATTAATTCTTATGAAAATAATCATTTTGAAGAGGTAGCAGTGGTGCAAATATTTCATTCTTGGCGATAGTGGTCTTGTCAAGGATTAACAAAATCTCGCTGTTTTGTTTTTTTGGGACCGATTTACAGAAAAATGCTTTGTAGATGTCATGTTACTCTGAAAGCACAGAATTATCCATTGTGAACTGCAACTGTTGCCTGAACTTTTCTGTGATATGCAGTCAGTTTTCATAGAAAATATTTGAGTTCCTAAAACAACTCAAAGGATTGTTTCTGATGGTCACAGATTTAGAAATATCCACACATATTTTTAAACTGGATGTGTTGGCTTCATTTGAATCAGCATCTTTTTCTTCCCAATTAATACTTAACTATATCCTTATGAACAGTGGGTAGATGAGAGAGCGTTGTGCTGATTCTTTCCAGCTGAGGGAGCTAAAACACAGCATCTTCCCGAGGGGCAACACTAAACTTTCAGCTGATACCCGAGAAAGAGCTCTTAAGTTTCGCCTCTGTTTTTTATGGGATTAAGTAAAGGATTCATTTACAAACCCTCCTATGCCGAGTAACCCACGGATTCACTTGTGGGTCACTGTTATCTGTTATCAGGAGCAGCATGTAGAAGGGACTCGCTGACGTCTTTGTTGCTGAAACCTTTTGTGGGACTCAGCTGAAAAGTCACAGTCCTAATTTCTCCACAACCTCCCCATTGGGGCCCTAAAAGCCTTTTCTCTCCTCACAGGTCATTAGAAAAGGTCACACCCGATTCAGGACAGCCTTTCGGACACTTCTGAGGTCAGTGGGGATGGGCATGTTTGTATAGGTGGAGACCAACCAATGGCAGAGGGTCTTGGGAAAGCTGGCTCCTTTTTTATTTTTATTTTTTTATTACCAACATCCAAAATGTGATGACTAATGCCCCATTGATCTGGCCACAGAGCTTGACCTGAGTTCAGATGCAGACTGGACATCCCTCACCCACCGACTGTCCCCTATTGGCAGGTGCCCAAACTGGAGTCATGATTAATTGGGCACCCAGAGGGAGCCTCACTGACCATGAATGAGGTCCGGCTTACACTTTCTCACGTTATGTAAGAGCAGTGCTCACCACCAAATCTGTGCTACCATAGCATAAGAGATTCAACTAGAGAAAGAGATATTAAAGTAGCAACAAATTTAACTTTCTCCACAAGAAAAGGGTCAATTTATTTAATTAGCTATATTAGCTATATTTCCTTTGTGCACATTTTTAAACTGTTCTTGTCAATTTAAATATATTTTTGTCAAAATACAATTTCAAAGATTACAGATCCAACATTTAATCCTGAAGACTCAATGATGTGTTTTTGTCTTAATTTTAATACTGAAAGCTTTTTATGTTCGGACCAAATGTTTTTAGCCTCTTTGTATTAACTTTATCGAAACTTCATGTTCTTTAACAAATGCCAGGTTTTTCAGGTTTTGACAATAACAGCTGAAACTGCACAGAAGATAAAGGTGGGTTCAGTTTTGGAAGGCAGGCGTATTTTTTAAGTCTTAAGCCTTTAAAACGGAGTGCATTCTGCTCTGAGACTGAATCGGCACTTTCCATATTTTCTTCCTTTTGAACATCACAGCTGGGTGGCGGTCCTGCTGCTGAATGGAGGTTCACAGACGGAGAAGGGGAAGCCCCACGGTGGGGGAAGGGGGCCGATGTTTCACCACAATAAGTGATGGACACTGGATCAATATCGACATTGACACAGCAGCTGTCCTGCTCCTATCAATGCTTCTTCGTAATTGCCGGTTGCACATTCAAAGGACAAACTCATTTCTATTTGCATGTTTTCTAGTAGAGACCATTTGGTGTGAAGTTGTTCTCTGATACTGAAGGATCCGCCCTCATCAATACCATTAACTTTTATTGATAGGAAAAAGAAAAATGTTCCGACTCTAATGGGACAGGGCCACTAAGTTAGTCATGCAAAGCTTGAATTATAAACACTCCAGACAAATGTTGTTACTGATTCTCCTGCAGTACTTACTTTGAGTGATATTAAACAACTTCAACTTGCATAAACTAATAAGATCTATTACTCAGGTAACAACCTTTAAAGAATCCTGCTTAACAGGGGTGTAGTGATATTCGGGCTGTCTTGTGTTAGGGAGAATGAGAACTGATTTGACTCAAACAATGCATTCATGACCATCTTAAATTAGCACAAAGTGTTATTCTTCAACTAAACATACAACACAGAAAGAACATATTCACACAGTGTTTAGTAAGTTGAATTTTTTTTACACTTTTCAGCTGTCTCCAGGCACCTACTGATTCTTCTTGACATTTTAACAAACCCCAAATCATTTTTGCTTGTTTATTTTTTAGTTCAACAAAAAAAGAGCGTATGTTTGATTGAACTTAAAGGTGACAATGTGCTATTTTCACTAACTAGTCATTTTGAATATATTGAGATGACAAACTGCCATCCACCCTGATGCTTTTCCAAAAGACTAAACATCGAGTCTGTTTAGAGAGTCTTCAGTTATCCGATGATTGAACTGAGACTTAAATCGATACAATACAGAAGGCGACCTGAGCAGTGGTTATGGCTGAGGTGTGCCTTTTTCATAAACTAAATTTGACTATTGAGCCAAGAGTAGCAATAATACAGACAGACCACTGAGACATCCGGGTGTCATGTCTGTGTTCAGCCAGGAGATGGCGCTGGACCTTTCTCCGCGTTGACCAGCAGAGGCGTTGATGTGACTGTCCATCCCAGAGGAGGGAATCTGCGCCCCAGCATCTCTGACCACTAGTCCTCCTCGTCAGTATCAGTACGGATCATGTGGAGGAAACAGCCATGAAAGAGTAGCTAGCATGCATGGACAATTAATATAAATGGCGCCAGTCCAAAGGAAATTCTGCCAGCCTCTGCTGTTCTTTGTAATTGTTTTCCCAATATCAGGTAAGAAACATTTAAACTGACGTTTTCTGTGCGAGTTGCACCACTTTAAGTGAGGCGGCTGCCCAGAACCGCGCGGCTGTGTGTCTGTGGGCGCGTGCGGGAGCCGAGAACCGATCTGTGAATTAAAGTTTAAAGAGCCCACGGTTAGTGTCAACGTTTGGCTAGCTGTCTGTAAACAACTGACCGCCAGACACGGACAACCTGCTCTTTTAATACATCATATGCCTATTTTTACTCATACATTGGCTGCATTTAAATTCACAAACTGCACCAAAACTTTTAAGTATAATATCTTTGAGAGGTATTACGTCAATGAATGTACGATTCTCGCTAATTCAACTATCGGACAGTTAAAACTTCCGTTATTCGGTTTTGCTCTAGGGTATAGAATATGTTTAATAGTAAATGGAAATAATAGTTACAGGAGTTTAATTAGTGGGTTAAATGTATTGGGTTATTTCTGACCTTTGACTTTAACATGACTCTAAGCCTCTAATTTGAAGCGTCCCAGTGAGACTTAAACGGTCGTTACATACTTTAATTAAGCGCTCTTAAAACATCAAATTTTTTACATATAAAGTGAAGAGACAGCTTTATACAACATCTGTAGCTAATGTAATGGTGTTTCCAACATGGGTGAAATTGAAGGGAATCGGTCAAACCAACTCATGTTTGATGATAAACGTAAACGCATAGTGGAAACTCTCCAAACATTGTCTGCTCCTATTGGAGACGGTCGTTTTCTTCCAGACCTGATAAGATAAGTTAAAACATAGTCTAATGTTATTCCATGTATCTCTATTGGTTGGAGTTGAGCATCAGATTTCCATTTTCTTTCAAAACTAAGGGGAAGAGCAGGATAATCTGGTTACTTTATAGCTTTGAGTGAGTAGAGCCCAAAGACTTTATGGAGCTGTAGTGTGACACTGTACTTCCAACTCGCAGCAATCCAATCTTCTTATAGTAAATGTGATATACTAGCTTAAATTGTGCTTCAATCAGTGTCTCCTATATACCCATTTATAGTATGCCATAGCCCCCTGAAAAAATGTTATCACTGAATAATGTAAATACTGATACTGAAAAGAATACAAGCTGGTGTGTAAATGCTTTGAATTCTTTGCTGGACTCCTTTGGGCTGAACCTGGGGCTTTTATCTGACTGTTCTCCTTGTGTCTCCCCCCTCCACAGGTGTTTTGTGCTTTAGTGAGTTATTTTTCGTCAAAGAGCCCCATGATGCCACTGTCATTCGGAGAGAAGCTGTTGTTTTGGACTGCCAGGCACGGGGAGAGGCGCCCCTGGACATGATGTGGCTCAAGAATGGAGTAAAATTAGTTGAGAATGAACGGGTGTACCTGCTCCCCAATGGCTCCCTTTATATTTCCGAAGTGGAGAGCAGAAGAGGAGACAAATCAGATGAAGGGTGCTATCAGTGCCTTGCTCAGAACAAGTATGGAACAATCCTGAGCCAGAAAGCCCGTCTTACAATCGCAAGTGAGTATGATGCTGGAGTTGTTTGGAAAAGTAAAAGAATTGAGGAGGTGTTATTTTAACTTTTAAAGATCTATAAGCAGAATTCACATCTAAATGCATGTTTTATCCAGATATATGTGCACTTGGACTATCTGTTGTGTTTCTGCTGCTCTGTCAGGCACTCAGGGTAGCCTTGGTGGTAGCAGGAAGAGGAACAATTCTTCAAAGTTAGAGCTTAAAAAAGATGTTGCTTGGATAGGGAAAAAGCCTATTGGTGTGCAAATGAAGGAGCGAGAGATTTGAAAGGTTAGGAGCTGTCCAGGATACTAGCCCTCCGATGCTAAAGAGCAGATGACCCCTATTCACAGGCCTGGGCTTTCATCTTATTGCGCCCTGATCGCTTGAGGAATTGTTCTTTAGGAATGCTTTCTCCTTCAGTGCAGCATGATGTTTTTTAAGGGGGAGGAAGGGAAGCTTCAGCCTGAGTTGGTCTTTTGGGACATTATATCATCTCCTCCCACCACCAGGCCACGCATCTTACTATGGCAATTATTATAGATTGCATATTTACCACTCAGCCCTGCCAGAAAAGCGTCCCCAGTTGGGCTGAGAAACATAGTTTTAAAGTCCTGCCCAAGATTCAAGATCTAATTTCCCTGAGGGTGTCATCATAAAGGGATCAATGAAGTGAAGTCTTAGATTCAAATTTGGACCTTGTAGTAGATTTTAAAAGTTAGAAAAATAGTTTTTTTTTTGTGATTGTTCCATGTCATTAGTGTTCAATCGTATCTGAGAAAACTTTATTGTAATTGCATAAACGATACACAGATATCACATGAATTATCCTCCAGTGGAACTTAAGTACATGCAGTGTCTAAAGCATACATGAAGTTTTATTAATTGATCAAGTAGTTTACCTGCTTTATAGCTTGAAGTAAAGAGGCGATAAAGGCTGCCAGTAAGCTTTACTAGTTTGTTTTAAAATGGCACTTAGACCTGCTTGAAGGTCTATCTGGAAGCTCATAAAATTTTCACATACCTGAGAAATGCTCAGTAGAAGGACACAACTGAGGTAGCTGTGGGGGTTGTCACAAGTGGCACACACACACACACAAATGTGAAATGCTTTTTCCCAGTACTGTGGCTTTACCCTGAGTGTCTAAATGACCAAACTTTATTGCAGGCCTTCCCAGGTCAGGAGGGATTGGAGGCTTTGCACACTATTGTTTTCTGCCTCACTAGTGAAAGAGTGAAAAGCTTTTCACTGACCGTTTTTGTCCCCCTTCCCTCCCATGCTCACAAAAGAAAAGGTATTCTTTGGGGCCAGTTGTTTGTCCTGAACTCAGTGGACAGAACTGCTGGACCTGGCCATCACAATTAAATTAATTGTGACTGTTAAACATGAATACGTTTTCTTTTTTTTTACAGAAAAGTTCTGTAAATGTTATTTAATGTATGATTATATATGTTTTTTTAAGGATGGTCTGTGGGGAAATGGTTTATTATGAACATTTTAATGCACGTGGTGTGGTGACCCGAGGTCTTCTCTTATGTTAGCACCTCAGCTGGAAGATTGATGGTATGACATGTGGGGAGCCTCACTGCCAACTTTCAAGACATGCTTTATGACTTGGGTGAGGGAGTTATGCTCCGTGGGGGCTTTTTAACTCTTTACCCATATACTGAAAACTCCTCATTGCCATTTGAGGGACATGTTGTCAATGAAGAGTAATCTTAAACATAGGGTCATGAAGCACACAGGTGAGATGGAATTTGGCCTCGATGAAAAGGAATGTGACACCTGAGGTTCGTCGTGTGACTTTAGCCAACAGACTTCAGATTGCTGGGGGTATTGGTGTGATTTACTGCCTTGATGTAGATGACTTCACTTGCTGTATATTGACAGTCTCAAATCGGTGAAGGATGGTAATGCTTTCACTAGGGTTATTGATTAGATAAAAAGTGAAATCAGGAGTCATGCCTGGACACAAAACACCACATAGCAGCAACAGCTCAAACTTGTAGGGGCTGTTTAGTTTAGTAGAAAACTATTTTGATAGAGTCTTTTTACTTGGAGGAAATAATATAAACAGCACACACGTGCTAATTTTCCTTATGAAGTACAACTGATGAGGCAGCCTGTATTATGATTACTTTAGTTTAGATTTATGCTTTTAGCAGCCACTCTTTTCCGAAGCCACTCACAACAATACTGGTTACAGATACATTTAGGCAAATGCTGGCCCCCTCTGGATCCAGAGGAACTGTGTGTTATGTTTGTCTGGTGCATCTGCATTTTGGATTAGTGTCTAAATGCAGAGAGGAATAATATGTTTGCGTGTGTAAATTTGCTTCTAACAACAAAGAAAACTTCCAGGATTGTCCAGCGAAGGATCATCACTGAATCGTGATTGGTAGATTTTTTATTTTTTTATTTTTTTGCTTCTAAAGATTATAGCAGGACAAGATTTAGAGAAAGTATGTGAAGGAGCTGTTGCAGTTGTTTTATGTTACTTGTGTGTCCATAGGCCGGCAGGTCAGGACCACCACGATAAGTTGCTAGGGAATGCCTCTGACTTGCACTGGTTGGGCACAATTAGAAGCTCCAATAATACTAAAGCAAAGCTCGCACACTGTGAACTGAATGAAATGCCCTTAAGTGAGACAACTCAAAGCCTGGAATCTTGTTTTTCTCCTCTGCTGGATACGAAAGGTTACCATGGTACCCCTCAACGGAAGGCCCAGAGGTCAAAGGTTGCTTTAAACTGCTTAAAAGATGGAGGGCAGTGAGGGGAGAACTTTAAACTTCTGCAAAATAACAGCAAATTTATTTTTGTTACCTTTGTAATAAATTAATCTGCTGAGATTTTGATCCACTTTTTATCATCGTGTATCACTTTGTTTGTATAGTATAATGTGAAAAAATTATTAAACCTAGTTGAAAATAGAGTGCAGGTATACAAATTGACTGTCTTGACTCTCATCTGAAATGGAGGCTTAAAACAATGAAGCCACTGTCAGTGAGTGGAGGGGTGTTGTTGAGTGATTGGAAAACTTTGTGGCAGAGATAAGGACCTGGAGGAGGGGATGAATGCTCTTTCTGACACTGCTCCCCCACTGACCATCCCATTTTTGAGAGGTCACACTGCTCATGGGAATAGATCTTTGTTTGGCCAGGCCAGTGGTCATTTGAGTGTCCTGCAGCCTGTGTGGAGCAGGAGCACATCTGCCAACCAGCCAGTGATTGATTTGTGGGCTTTTACGCTTTGCATTCCTCTTTTTGCTTATCAGCCCTCCCTGTTTTTTCTCTAGGCATTTTTATTCATGTTCAGCTGAACATCGTAAAAAAAACACTGTGAAAGACTGAGTAAAAACAGAAACTTGTTATTGTTTTGGACTCAGAGTGATAAGATGTGTAGAAGCAAAAGTTTTAAGGGCTGATCCAACAAGCTGAAAGCCATCAATTCTGCACGTGGCCTGCAGGTTCAAGAGAAGAATGATCAATTTTTATGTCTCCCAGTAAAGATTGGACCCTGGGGGGGTGGGTAAGAGGAGAGATGGTTGGGGGCACATCGGAGCCATCCACATAACTAAACACACATGCCTCCTATGGCAACACCAGTTTTAGTCACACACTTTAGTCTTTTACCATTTCTTAAATACATTTTATCTCTTATATTTCGGTGTCGATGGGGATGGGTTTCGTTTTCTGTATTAAAGTTCTTATCAAATTTCAAAAGACCAAAGAAGTACTGTCCTGAAAAAAATGGCTGGTTAATTTGCTGTTGCTTAAGGATCTATACACACAAAGAGGTATAACAGAGAAACATAATGACCTCAAGTAAAACTAATAGCTCTCACATGCAGGTGAAGTATGTGCTGTCCTGTGTTGTGTAAGAAACTGACCACAGTAGCCACAGGAAGCATAGCAGAAGTGATTCCTAGCATTTGAAGAGGAAGCCTTGTTTGGGTCTGACCTGTTCACTGACCTTTAGTTTGTTGAGCTGCCAGGATCAGAAAGCCCATCTGCTGCAAGCTAATGTGTGATAAAAACAGCTCTCATACGCATCCCTCCGGACTCTGGAGTGAACGTGCTAGATTACAGCAATGAAAGCATAATAACTCAACTTTCTTTTGATTGTTTGCTTATTTCTAAGTATTTGTTAAACTTTTGATTATTTACACATGAAATCAAACATAACTTTATGATTAAACAGCATCATACTAATTGAAGAATGCTATATTTTTCAGCAGCTGGATTCTGTTGTATGTTTTCATTCGCCGCCGTCGCAAGACCAGGCATGTCTCACCGATACGTGAGAAAGTGATATCATTACAAACCATAATCTTCAATCTTCACAGCTCGAGGACAATCTTAGTGACTTGTAGGCGGTTTGCTCAGCGGCAGTAAGAAGCAGCGCTGGTCTGGGGTGGTCAAACAGCTCTCCCCCTGAGCTAAGTGAGAGCCGGGATTTGTGGAGGTCAGAGGTGAGAGGTGAGATTGCAGAGAAGGGCAGATGGTCGGGTCTGTTTCTTCGAGCTTTTGGGGAATACGCTGAGGTATTTATTTTGTGTTTGAGTTGGGATGGGGGCCAAAATGTTCAGTAGAAGGTTTCATGTTTCTATTTTTTTTATGTTTTGGTGTGAATAAAATTACAAGCTGACACAAGCTGGTTACTGACAAAAACTTTCGGCGTCTCTCTTTCAGTGAGACATAGGAGGTAATAGATGGTGGAACGAGTAAATGTGTTTGGTTAAGCAAAGCTTGAGTTATTTGCCATGGTAATTTAATCCGCACATTAGATGCCCCCTAGACAAACGTCATCACTCACAACAGCAGGAATCTTGTGGGCAGTGTGCGACAACCTCTTGCATTTATAGATTTTTCACCTTGTCTTAGTCGTTTATCAATAATCAATGAACGTCCTGCTGTTTGTCAATTCAGAATCGCTTGCTTGGGTAGAAGGGCAAAGCAGGAAGGCAAAGGGATCAGAGCAGCAGATCTCCCATGCCCTACAGCCATATTGCTTCAACACATGGCGGGTGTGTGTGGGAAAGGGGCTTTGAATGCCTCTCCTTGCCTCTAACTTCACATCAAACAGCCACAGTGGAGTTAAAGGGGCAACTGCTCAAGACTAATTTGATTAAATGGGACCATAGTGAGGACATTTGATCCAGAACACAGTTTGCCTCTTGTCCAACAAGAATATCGGTGACATTGTCTGGAAAATAGCATCACAGTGACACCAGTCGTGCATTTAATTCTTAGTTTATAATCCCATTGACCGGCACTATGGCAGAAAGAAAAATGGTGTCAATACCTGTAAACAACAATGTTGCTGTGGTTTATTATATATTTACATTAATTTTGTTTACTTGTATGTGATTGTGAATATTGTGGACTCCAGAAGCCATAAAAAACACATTGGATCTCTGAAGTGCCATTTGTCTCATTCAATTAGCATTAAATTGCTATATTTAAAAAACAAAAAATAATACTTTTAGGACTGATAGATGTACAATCATTTACCTGTTAGAATTGTACTAACTTCTCAAGTTTTTGTTGAAATAGCTTAAAATGAGGCGCCAGTTTTTGTCAAAAATTCAATTTACTCACAAGTTGCTGTCAAGCGTGTAAAGGTCATAATTCATAGAATGTTTTTTTTTTCTTTTGAGAGTCAGAGCTGTCCTGCTGTTTAGCACCACAACACCTGGCAACTCTGCTTACACACAGGCATTCATCATTCCCTTCATACCACACCAGCATGTGTTTATTGCAGTGTAGTGGTTTCCTGTAGACCTTTTCTCGAAAGCAGAGGTGACCACAGCATGGTGCTGTATGTTGGAGGAAAGCACAATTAGGATGATGGATGTCAGAGTGTGTTTTCTTGAGGGTCTGCATGACTGTTTCCACTTTGTTGTGGTTCTCCTTTTTCTCTTTTAATAAAGAGGAAAATAAAGGTGTTTTCTGTTCCAATCTTAATCCCGATGTTCGAGCGTTTATGCATCTCTAAAGGATTGTTAAACCATTTTGAAAGTATTTGAGTTTTTGTCTTTTTCCATGCACTGACTACTAGTATCTTCAGCTATTTGTTTGTTTAGAAAACATGTACGAAACATGCTTTTAAACATGATTATCATTTCTAACTATTTGATTGTTCTGGGTGGCATTGATTATTCTATGTATTTATTGCAGTTAACAGTAAGCATGCTGTGAGCCTCACTTTTGTCTCTGTCAAATACAGCAGTGCTATTGATTTCTTTCAACAAATGACTGACCACACTGTAGCAGCTCTCTGAGAAGAGGGGGAGGGTAGAGCTATGGGTGACCTTTTCTGGACTTTTATGGCTCACAAGGTACTCCTCTTAAAGGGAGAATCTATTGGCAAAACAATGTCTAAAAAACAGCTTTAGTCTATGTAAGAGTTGTGGACATATGAAGGTGTATAAATGGCCTTGCTTGTAGTTCATGGGGGGGTTTAATTTGTTTCCTGGTCAGCTGATGGCTGACAACAGCTCAGTTTCAGGGAAACCCTATCCATGCAGGATGTAGCTGTTCCACTCCAGTCAACACCTTCTCGCTGCTCTCGGCATGTCAGTGGCTTTTGCTAGTTGGAATCTCTGTTTTATGACATCCACTGGTTCTGATTGACATGGGTGGATGTCTGAAATGTTTTTAATGTTTGGTGAGTGCCATTGATGTCACCGTCACACAAAAATGACCATCACTTGGATTGTGCACTTGTTGAAACATCCTTGTTTGTTTGTAATAGAACCTTACATTTACATGGTGTAAGTATCTGAAAATTTATGTGAATAGATTTGTCAAATCATTTGGAGACTCTCTACCCTGTAGGCAGTTGTGTTAGGCTTAGATGTTTAATTTAATTTGCTTAGACTGAGAGTCAGCTAAAGTTCTCTCAAAACCATGTTTTGAACAGAGTGAATGAAATTTAACACTGCTTTTTACTACAAAGAATCACCTCAAGGGAGTTTCCTGTGACTTTTTTCAAAGACGACTACTCAGGGATAAGGAGCCGTGCCTCTGGTGGCTGTTGCATAGCATTCTGATATTATCCTAACTGAAATGTCTGTATCTCTGGCAATTTTTTCACTGTTTGATGAAAGAAACAATGTTGGTATTGGATAGAATATGGAATTGTATTTTTTTGGCACAAGACAGACCGTGAAATCTACTTTAAAACACAATAAAAGTTTTTAATTTGTTCCACGTGATGTTTTGTGCAGGTATGTCCTCTTTTGCACTTCAGCCGACATCCATAGTGGTGACTGAAGGCTCAGTTGCCAGGTTATCCTGTAAAATCAGCGCTCACCCTCCTCCAATCATCACTTGGGAGTTCAATCGGGTCACATTACCCCTCTCCTCTGAAAGGTATGTACTGTTGTTCCCTGACTAACTGGGCTAATGTGATTAGTGTTAGCCATATCACTCATTAAAAGTGATTGACATGTTGTCCCTCCTCCGTCTTTCAGAATCACGGTCTTGCCCAGTGGAGTTCTTCAGATCCATGGGGTGAAGCGAGCAGATGCTGGGCACTACCGCTGCATTGCCACTAACATCGCCAGCCGTCGCCGAAGCACAGAGGCCACTCTCACTGTCACCCCAGGTGTGTCAACAAGCTTTTTTTCAGCTCATTGTGTTCAGCTAAATGTTGGTTGAATAAACGTCTGATAAAATATATTTATTCGATCAAAGTCTTTGGAATTGTCACAGACTTGTCAATAGTTTGCATAAAGATGCATTTATTCTCTAAATATCCAGCAGCAGTGCGATGGTGGTTTTACTTGACTCAGCATATCACATCTCACAGCATGCACTAAAGCTGCCCCCCTCTCTCTGTGCAGCTCCCGGCCCCAAGCTTCCCCAGAGGCCACGAATCATTGCTGGACCACAGAACATCTCAGTGTCCCTGCACCAGAGTGCCATCCTTGAGTGCCTGGCCACAGGAAACCCACGACCCCTCATCTCCTGGAGCCGAGCTGATAGCAAGTCTATTGATGTTTACAACAGCAAAGTGTTGGGAAATGGCAACCTGATTATCACAGACATCAAGCCGCAGCATGGAGGAGTCTATATGTGCAGAGCCACAACCCCCGGCACTCGGAATTATACTGTTTCATCAGCCAATGTCACTGTGTTAGGTAAAGGCAGCATAGAGCAGTTTGACTGTATGCGTTTGTATTCATATCGTTCATTCTTAATCCCTCATCCTGTTTTGTATGTCCGTGAAGCACCACCTTCCTTTGTGGAATGGCCTGAGAGCTTGACCCGCCCACGTGCTGGCACTGCCCGCTTCGTGTGCCATGCCGAAGGAGTTCCAGCACCTCAAATAACATGGTTCAAGAACGGGAAGAAAGTTCATTCCAATGGCCGGATCAAGATGTATCACAGGTGGGCTCCTGTCAGGTTCACTTTAATTGGTGGTTTTAAAAAACCTTTGTCTGACTCACCAGTTTGCTTTGTGTGCATACATGGAGCAGACAGAGGCCATATCACATCTGACCACGAGAGGATTGTCGTAAACCTCTTTAAACCCGTTTAAATAAATTATTCGCCATGTCACTAACAGTAGAAAGGACACTGAATCATTTATAGCCGTGCAAATTGGATTTAAGTTGTTTCCCAATAATTTACGCCTGCTCTGTATGCAGCTGTCACTGCTTGTTAAAGTAATTATCGAACGCCCTAGAGAAAGAGCCTCAGTGAGAAGCTCTGTTAATGTTAACTCTGTGTCTGTGTGATTCCCAGCAAACTGGTCATCAACCAGATCATCCTCGAAGATGATGCCATTTATCAGTGCCAGGCAGAGAATGAGCTGGGATCGGTCCTCTCCATGGCGAGGCTCATCGTGGTAATGTCAGAGGACCGACCCAGCGCACCCAGAGATATCCGAGCTGATACTGTGTCGAGCACCGCTATCCTTCTGGCTTGGGAGAGTCCTCAGTATAACTCTGATAAAGTCATAGCCTACTCTGTGCACTACATGAAGGCTGAGGGTGAGTGGCCCACAAGTGTGATCACATTTGTTTGTTTTTTTTTGTTTTGTTTTTATATTTATGGCATTTATGCCAGGAAATACCAGAACCATGACTTTTCAGCTTCCTGGCTGGCACATTATGGTCCAACTGTGAGTTGCTAGTAATATCCCAGAGGGGGTAAAAAACAAGACAAATTCAAAATAAAGTAGAACAACTGCCTTTTGAACATTCCAGCATCAAGACCACAGACCTGTAGAATTTCGAGAGGGTCCTTCCTTTACTACATAGGGTGAAAAAAAGCAACACGAAGACAATACTATTCACTAAAAAGGGGGTTGTAGTGTGGCAGCAGAAAAGCTTTAGGGCCTTTCAGCTTCCCTGGGAACTTGCTCTCGATAATAAGAGTCACATTCAAACAACGCAACATCTCTAAAAAAATGCAATGCCTGTCCATTCAAGTGCTGCACTCAATCACAATGCCACTGACTTCCACCGTCATGGAGGGACATATTCTGAATTCAGCTTGGAGAACGGAGCACCTGCTGAATTTAAAATAGGGAGGTAAAAAAAAAAATCTAAACAAATACTCTGCTAATCGAGGATTTTCAGCTCTTGATATAGATCTTTTTGGGAGTGTCCTTATTCCCAGTCAGAGAGAATAGTTTATTGACATTGACAAAGTATCAGACAGTGCACTCTGCACCTGAGGCTGATGACAGAGAGGCTTTGCACTAAACTGAGGCCCTGCTGAAAGGAGGAACTAATTAGTCTGTGTGATGGAGTGTCCAAAAAGTGTGTATTCTGTGAGGCAGCAAGCGGGTGTGAATTGGAAAGAAAAGCAAGCATTGTGTCTTTTCAAAGAGGCTCACTGAGGCATTCAGACTATTTAAAATGCCTTTTGTTTACTCTGAAGTACCTTGTTTACCAGGTCAGAAATCATTCCAGGTATTTTTTTGCCAGTGGGCAAAAATGTTGTGAGAAACTTTGCTTAACTACTTTTGTCCTATTGGGAACCAAAAGTGGAGACAATGTTTTCCGACCTGTAAAAATGGGAAATGGAAAAATTCATGTAATTAATTTAACCTATGCAGACAGTTATATCTTAGATATTTAAAGTTATTGAGTTATAAAATCATGAAAACCCCACATGATAATTGCAAGATTTTATTTCACATGAGCTTATTTAACCATAGAACAATGGTCTTTTCTGTCATTATTCCTCAGAGCAGAGCATTAATCTTTTTCTAAGAAGCATACTTTTTACAATTCAGAAAACTTACAACCACATCCAACAGGATAGTTTGGCCTTTCCAGCTAACTTTATGATCTTGTCAATTTTCTAGGATTGAACAATGAAGAATATCAAGTAGTCATTGGAAATGATACAACTCGGTACATTGTTGATGATCTGGAGCCGGCTCGGAACTACACCTTCTACGTGGTGGCCTACATGCCCATGGGAGCCAGTCGCATGTCGGACCATGTCATCCAACACACACTTGAAGATGGTAATTACTACTGCCAGGGAACTTACTGAAATTACATTTCACAGATGCATTTATACTGCAGTCTGTAAATATTCTTGTATGGTAAATTTTTATTGGTGAATTCAATATGGCTTATAACATTTAAAAAAAAGTTTTATCTTAGTCAAAAAATAAAACTAAACAACACCTATTACAATACAATGCTATATCAGCACGATGTAAAAACAAGTATTGTATAACAAACAGAAGCTTATACTAGTCTGTGAAGTTTTAAACTGTGGCTTATTACAAACTGGACACTTTTTCTTGATCCATAATTATTGATGTAAACGTTTATCAGTGGTATGTCTGTTTAAAGTGCAGACAAACAAAGTCACATTATTTCGCTGTTAATGAAGTCAATGTCTTTTCTCATCATAACAAAAAGGTGTGGACTTTTAATTCTGTTTCTAGGAGGCAAACCTTGAAGTACAGATGGTTGTTGGGATTTGATTTTACTTCTAATTGTGGAGGCGTTTGGTTTTGTGTCGTGGCCCTTATACAATCTCTTCTGTTGTATTTTACTTCCGGTTTTATTTCTCCACAGTTCCCCTCCGGGCTCCAGAGCTCAGCCTTACCAGTCGCAGCCCCACAGACATCCAAGTGTCTTGGCAGCCTCTTCCAAAGAAGCTGAGTCGTGGGCACGTTTCCAGCTACCGCTTATCCTACCGCACCAGCTCAGAGAGTGCAGTGTCACAGATAGAGCTACCCGGAGGGATGACCCATCATCTCCTGGAAAACCTGCAGCCAGACACCATCTACCTTCTGCGCATTGTGGCAGCCACCAGTGTAGGGTTGGGCGAGCAGTCTGCCTGGACGTCTCACCGAACTCCAAAGGCATCCGGTGCTCAAGGTGCGTTAGCCCTCAAACTTTTGAAACAACTAAACAAGAATTGTGACTCTACAAAGTTAAAATGTGCAACTCTCCTAAAGGAGTATTCGTGGTGACAGAGAGGAGTTTGACCCAAACAGCTCAGTTATCACTGAACTGCTTAGCTCAGATTAAACCACAAGACAATGCAGGAGATAGAGAGGAGCATGCTCAAATAATGTTGTTAAAGGCAATGTTTCTTACTCACTGACCTATGCCCTGGACTGTCAGTAGCTTCAGAGGACTTTAGTCCTACAGGAAGCGGCTTTGGCCTCCGGGTGGGAAAGAGTATATGGCTCTTTGGAAGGTACATCTGAGGCACTGGGGTGGCGGTAGGGATGATTAGTTTTTCCTGCACATTAGCATCCAGTTTAAACTCTGTCAGAAGTCTTTCAATGGTAAACTCATTATTGTGAATATGATGTTTTGATATGATTGTATCTGGTTGTGTCGAGTGTGAAACAGCTTCATGCTATAATTACAATTATTCTAAAAAAAACCTGGTCAGGAGACTAATGTGTTCAACACTTTGGATGTGTAAGCCAACTTCCTGATAGTTTTCTGTCATTCGGTTCATGGAAAAACAGAGATTAACTTCTCAGACATCAGTTGGATTATATGAATCCGTGCTTGTGGTCCTTTGTTTTTCTTTTCAGTAAAACACATTGCTTCATCATCATTTAGTCAGAATCTTTTCTGTCTCTTTACAGTACCACTGGCCCCTGAGCTGCGCCTGGAGCCTTTGAACTGCACCACTATTTCAGCACAGTGGCAGCTGACATCCAGAAAGGCAGCCACCTTGCAGGGCTACAAACTTTTCTACCACGAGGAGAGCCAGCCCGAGAGTCCTCCTGTTCAGTTGCATGCCTCTGCCAATACACACATCATCGAAGGCCTAGGTGAGCTTTTATTCATGTCACCTTGTGTCTGTGTAGCCCCTTATATATTGTTTGGCAGAATGATAACTATTTCTTTCATAAGGAAAACATACACAAAAGTTGCTCAGCATGCATCTGAATTAGCGTAATTAATGATCTTAATCAGTGGGATGGTTGTTTTGCAGCTTAAATGTTCTTCTGCTATTAGAGTATGTAAAAACAGACTACTTAAATATGCAAACATATTTTACAAATGACTAATATACATTCAGATGCATCTTTGAATGGTCAGTTGAGTCATTCAAACTGAAGGTGTTCAGGAAAAAGCCTGTGGTGGACAAATTTGGCTTAAAGCGTTCACAGCATCTGTTGACAGGCAAGCATGTGAGTGATTAATAGGCCTTAGTCTTGTCATGTGTTGGCCAGAGGTTCACTGGGACTTTAGGAGAACAGCACCACATCCCTCTTCTATGACCTCCTAACCTCTGAGCAGGACTTTTGTGTGTGGCTTTTTAGCTGCTGCCTAATGGTGTTTGGAGCATATCACATCTTTTTTGGCCTTCAGGTCAGGAACATTTTAGCTGTTTTGTTTGAAAAAGGAGAGGGGGCTCAGGCCAGTGCAGTGGACATCCGACCATCTGTGGCCAGAGGGGTCAACCAGGTGGTCAACAGCTGACTTGTAAATCAGTAAGCTCTGTGCTTGAATGAGATCTAAAAGAAAGGCAGAGAGACACAGAGGCACTATAAATTAATTAGGTGTTAATGTTAACTGCTGCAGGCATTTAATTAGTTAGACATTTACTTCAGTGAATTGCAGGGCTGCCCTATAGCTGCTGTGGGGGTGACTGATAAGACTGACTAGAAACAGTAAAACAAAAGGTAATAAACAAGTCTTTATGAATGCCAAATTAAGTATATCTATAGATGATGATCTGAGATTTGCTACCAAAATATTTAGCAAAAATGTAACATAAACTAGCTTAATAAAGAAATAGGTTTAGTTATATAAAAGGGGCATACTGTTTTAAAGGAGCTTTGAAGGGCTGTGTTTTACAGAGGAAAGCTGTTCTGTGAAGGCTGATTTATCAAGTGTTTTATGACTGCTTTGAGTAGTGTTGCTGGAGGAGCACAAACATCAAAGACTCATTGTGTTTGGCTTTGAGAGCCACAGAAATGGTTTATTAGCCAGGACCTAAAGGAAATGCATCTCCTCACTAACTGACAAGTTACTGAGTTGCTGACCAAACATAGGGCAGGTTTTTTGATCTCTAAAGTGCTGCTCCAAGGTGCTGCTCTGCTTTAAGGCTAAAGTATCTAACCTGCTGTGTGGCTTCACATACTGCAGCAGGGAAAACACTGATGTGAGGAAAGTTTATCCAAGAGAAGATCTTAACATGTTATAAAAACACTGACTTTTTTACAGGCTTTTGGAAGTGACACTTAGAGATTTAGAGGGAATCCACACAAAGATCCTATGTAATGCTAACAGCTGTTACAGTAACACAAATGGGAGTCATAGACGATGGTTATAAAGTAATTCACACTGTGCTAAAAGTTAGTGAACATTAGCCACCATAGGTCACAGGTTACATCATACACAGCAGAAGCTGCAGAAGTAAAAACATTTTCATATACATTAAATATACTAATTAAAGTAATGTTTTTAAGAGAGGGATCATTTATGCTTCAGTTATTTAATTTAATAACACATTAGTTATTTTTATTTACAGTCTGTAATTTACTTCAGTCAAATGATAATGTTATATTAATCAGTGATGAAAACCTTAAAAAGCGAGAAGACAATTCCAGGGTTTATTTATTTTTATCTAACTGTAATGGTTTTAACAGGCTGAATGGAAATACATTCTCTGAGTTTTTTTAATGAAAAAGTGAGGTCTCAGAGTTTATCTTTCCCACCAAGTTATTTGTCCAAATTAAATCTAATAGCTCTGAAAATGGTATTTCCTACAATCCATTTGAGGTTCAAAACAGCAGCAACCATTCTTTTTTTCCTCTGATAATAAAGATTTCTGCACGGTAAGCTGAGTCAGCGCTGCGTACAACTGTAGAAGAACACTCCTAACTCCTAACTGCCCCCTTGTTAAATGATCACTTATTCCAATCCAGATGATTGTAAGGACACCACAAAAGATAGGAATTTCTTTGAGAGGCTCCAGTTGGGTATAAATGGCACCTTGATGTGACCTCACCTCACATGTGTGTGCAATCTGTTTGGCCCATGAGAGGAACATGTAGTGTCAGTGTGGCTTAAATACTTTTCATACTTGTTGGCACCAGACAGCACAGCATGCACAAGTGTAGATTTATCTCCCTGCTGCAGGCCGTGCTGCATCCTGTCCATTCCTTGTGTTAAAGATGCTGTGAAGTGGGCTTGGTGTGAAAACTAGGCTGAAACAGTCTTAACTTAAAAGGTTGTTTCATGCTCAAGCTGCATGTGTGTCAGTATGCGTCTTCATGTTGATTTGTGTGGGTGAGGGCAATAGAGAGGGGTGGTGGAGGGAATGATAGATGCTGGTGTGAGGGTTCAGGCAGGAGTTGACATTTACAGCCCCTGTTCAGCCCTGGTCTGCTGATGCCTGGGGGGCCTTTCGCAACAGAACAAAACTTCACGGACCAATGGGAATTGTGTTTTAGCCATTTAAAGAAAGAAAAGCTTTTGAGCAGTGCTGAACTTTAGTGTTAAAACTAAATGAGTTTGTAAATAGAGGATTTCACCATTTTAATGTTAATAAAAAACTATACAAATGATAATATGTTGTTAAGAAAAAAACATTAACTGCAATGTTAATGTTAAGTATATTTTTTAAAAAGTTTATAGACTATATCTAGTAATAAAGTTCTGATGTGGTTATTTTCTGAAACTTCATGATGTAATAATATATTTTTGTCACATGACCAATGCTTTTGTTGCCTTTGTGAGTTTCTGCTCCACAATGTCTAAAAGCAAACCTGTTGTCTGAGTTGTCTGTTTTCAGGACACTGATGCACAACTTATCAAAAACATTTTATTCTGACTCTCGGTGGTTCCCTGTTTTTGTACTCACTTCCTCTGCTTGACCCTCCCCCCCAAGAGCTGGATGCGTAAGCCCTCCTTTTGCAGGATTTAGCTTGCCCAGATTCCATGTCAAAGGTCATGGCCCAGATGTCACAGCTTCCCCCCTCTCAGATCTCCTCTGTCGCATAATTACGCCTGACCCATTGTGTTGTGGGGCTGGGAAGAGGTGCCCTCTATATGCCTGCTCCTCTTTAGAGGTGGACACTAAGGCTTAACAAACTCCAAACTCTATGGATAACAAGAAAGACAATGTAAAGAAAAAAATCCCTGGATTTCTCTCTTTCAAAAGAAGTGGAGAAAGATGCTGTCTCAGATCATCTCCCTCCTTAGTTTTGTTATTTCAGGTATTTAGAAACTCCTCTCAGAGGCCTGTAGCCCGCAGGTAAAAACACCAAATCAGCTATTTTTCCTTGATTTTGATAGTCTTTGCAGTTATCTACTGAGATGATTCCTGAGCAAACTTCCTGTCACTTATCCACCTCCCTGGATTCTTTCATTTTTTGAAAATCTCAGCCAGACCTGCTGGCTCTGGTGTAGCTCCAGTGAAACTCCTCAGGGCTGCATGGGGGTGCAAGAAGCTTAGCTCCACCTCCTCTGAACTTCCTCCTCTAAACAAACCTTCATGGAAAAAAATTCATCTCCTGTGGTCTCCCACTTCTGTCACACTCTGAAAACTGAATCTGTGTATTTCTATTGGATACACAGAACTTAGATAGTAACAGGATCAACATTAACTTATTTTGAACTGCGTGATGCGCAATTTTATATTAAAGTTAAGTATTTTCTCTCTGTTGTTTTCATGTCTATTTTATCTCCAAGACACAAAAAATAAAGATAAGATGGTGTCACTCAAAAATACTAACATGACAAAATGAACTCATTTTCTTATTATCCAAACGTTGTCCCTCATAGACTGCAGCCAAAAATCGGAGAAACATTAACTTTAGTTAGGAGTTGGCCCATATGAGCCATGATATCATTATTGTATGCGCCATTTAAATGAGAGGCTGATCATTATTCTTTTTAAGGCAAAAGGGACATTTGGTCAGATGGCTATTGTTCCGGGGCTGGCCTTCAGGGTCACTGAGGCCTGTTACTGCTGTTGACCGTCTGCAGTGTCCCTCCCAGGGGATACTGCCTCTCTGTTTGACCCCTGCACTCAGAATCTAAGGAGAAATGGCCACTGACCACTGACCAGTAGGCCTGACCGGAGGACAAAGACCTTTCTTATTCGCAATCAAAAGACTCGGGGTGAGAAGGTGATAGATGGTGGACCTGCTGTGTTCTGCTGCCCTGTGTGCTGTTGGAACTGACCAAAGGAGTCGCGGCACTGGGCATCTGTCATCCTGCCTCTCCTCCCGTTCCCACCACACCACAAACTCACTGAGCCCACACCCACTCAGTCCAGCTTGCCCTCTAATAGCACCCCGGCCTATTGTTGGCTGACACAGTGTCATGACTATCTTATTTCTTTGATTGCAAAATAATGACGATTACAATTCTAGACTGAGAATGTTTGTTTTTCTTCATTTAGATCCAAGAAAGAAGTACCATGTCAAGCTTCTGGCTTATAATGTTGCTGGAGATGGTTACCAAGCAGACCAGACTGTTAGCACGCCTGGATGTGTGTGTAAGTGACACAGTGAATCATAGTGCATTGTATGTGAGCCAAAGTGGGGAAAATGACATATACCAATGTTCTGTACCTCTCAGCTGTTCGAGATCGCCTGGTACCCCCACCGCCTCCTCCACACAATGTGCATGCCAGGGCTAACAGCTCATCTGCGGTTTTTCTGCACTGGGCCAGACCAGCCTTCACCTCCAGCCAAACTGTCAACTACGCCATCCGCTGCAACCCGGTCGGCCTGCAGAACGCCTCGCTGGTGCTCTACCTGCAGACGTAAGAGCTCCCTCTTTACACCAGCTGCCATTTAGAGCTTCTGCACTGTGTCACTCAAACATCCGAGCACATCTGCTTCTTTTGACTTGTTCCATCAGGTGATGGTTTTCATGTAAGGTCAAAATATATGCCCTGGCTCACTTACTTCTGTGGTGTATTTTATTTGTGTTTATTTCTGCCCTGTGTTTAAACTCATTTGCAGCACCAGGACTTGTGTTTTTTAAATAATTGTATGAATAAATACAGTATGGTACTGTGCTTACTGTCTAAAGGCCTTACTCATTCCATAGTGCTGTATTTTTCTTCACATATTTAAGAGCTTAAACTTTGCATCAGTTTTTCAGGGCAAGTTAGCTTGAATCAGCTGATGGTGTTTCTGACCTCTCACCATCAGCTCTACATCACCACCTCCTGGACATCTTTATAATCACAGGTCACCTCAGTTAACCCGAAGTACATGAACTGTGACCACATCTCAGACGTTAGACTAATATGATTTTAATCAGTTTTTTGGCTTGTTTAGCTGATCAATGAACTTGATCAGGTTTTAAATTCCTGTGTCCGTAATGTCTTTATTTGGCAGGAGTCATCAGAGCCTCATGGTGCGAGATTTGGAGCCTAACACTAAGTACGAGTTTGCCATTCGCCTTCATATTGACCAGCTGTCCAGCCCGTGGAGCCCTGTGGTCTATCAGAGTACTTTCCCCGATGGTGAGCTAATGTTTGTTGTTATTTTTCACTTGCTGTAAGCATGCACTTCCAGTTTGAACAACTTTCCCAATGACTGGCTCTCTGTTCCAATATTTGTGTTTAACATTGTCCTTCCATCATCCCCCAGCTCCCACACAACCTCCATCCAACATCAAAGTAGCTCTGATTGAAGAGGACACAGCACTGGTTTCCTGGAAGCTCCCAGACGAAGCCAATGTACCTGTGACTCACTACACAATCCTGTATGCCTCCAGGAGTGACTGGATCGCTGGGAAATGGCAAATCCTGCAAAAAGAAGGTGTGTGTGTGTGGGGGGGTTACATTCAGATATTCACATCAGACAGTGAAAAACAGAATCTCATGACTCTGAGATTGCCCTGTATGCAAACAAAAATATCTAAGTTAACAGTCTTTTGAATAAAGCTGCTGTTAAGTCTGATGCATGAGGCATCACAGTGCTGTTTTTAAGAGCAGATGACCCCAAGAAAGAAACACAACCCCCTCCTCTACCACTGGCAGAGAGGTCAGAAGTGAAGCCTTTCACAAATCCCCTCCAACCCAGCCCCCTCTTACCTCAGATGGAGCCTTCGACCCTATAGTCTCTGCTGGGACCCTGTCTGTGTGGAGACATGGTGGCAAAGAGAGTGTGACCCCAAACACCTCCCCTCAGATGTCCCTCTCTTAACGATGGTTTTTTGTTCCTCTCTCAGCTTCACGAAGTCCTGTTCTTCACATGTCAGAACACCACGTGAAACGGGATCTATGTTTGCTTTTTCCTTTTCACTGTTTTTGGGGAAATTGCTATTTTTCTCTCTAAGTTTGTACATGCTTTAGACAAGGTTCTACGAACTCTCGTAGTTGGACATTTGTAAACATTTTTTAATGTCATTTTGCTGCGTCTTGGTGCACTGTCAGTCATACATCTGTGGTGAGGACTGTGCCTGCGTTGGTCACATCTGTTCTTGGTAGCCACTTTTTTTCTGCTATCTCGGTCTGTATTAAAAATCACCCCAAATACCCCATTATGTGGGAGATGAGACTGATGCAAACATATACAAGCTTTTAGTGGCTGAAATCTTGGTCACAAAAGTTAGAGAAGCTAAATCCTGTCCTCAACAGTTTATTCACATTGAGCTGAACCTCTTCACAGGGAGTGTTACCATGGCCCTGCTGGAGAACCTCAAGCCGGGTCAGGTGTACTTGGTGAAGGTTTCTGCATCCAACAACATGGGCGATGGGCCGTTTTCTCCTGCGGTGGAACTGACTTTAAGAACAGATCCCTACGCTGGTAATGATATCTGGCCCTCTCGTGGCTCCTCGCACTCCACAGGTCAGTTGAAAAGACATCACATAAACAGACTCATGTCTTACTATGGGCACGGCGGTCTGACTGTGTGATCCTTCACAGGCTTTTCTGACAGCTTCTATCACCTGGACCAAAAGTCAATGACGGGTATCAGTGTGGGAGTCTTCATCGCTCTCATCTGTATCATCATCTGCGCTTTCATTATCATTTGCAGGGGCAAACACAGGTACTTAGTGTCTCTGAGCGCAGTGAGACCAGTGATTACTGCTATTCTGACGACTGTCCCTGAGTGTGCTGTTTGGTGTCTTTTTCCCCGTGCAGTAAACTTTCAGCTGTCAAAACTCCCCAAGAGCAGCCAAGCACATCTGCTGCAGCTGCAGGACATCTGGGAGAGGAGGGACAAGCAGAAAATACAGAAGAGGCCATGCCCATGATCATCAGTCAAAGCCATTTCCTCGATGCCAAGGTACTGCAAAGTCATCAGAATCCAAGAAAGCTTTGTAAAAGAAAATCAGCCATAGAGTCAGCTTTAGGTTGCAGGAAATAGTTAAACCCAAAAGAGAAATCTTTGAATTTAAGAATTGTTATAAATGTTTTGTCTATTTCGGTCATCCCTGCTTTTTCTGACGCTGACGGATGTTTTCGTCTCGTAGGGTGGAACGAATCTCATCATTAACTCTCTCGGCCCTGTGCAGCTCAGCTCTCAGAAGAAAAAGAAGTGGTCTCTTTTCAGAAGCGATGTGAAAAAGGACAGCAAAGCAGCTCAGGTAACTTTGAGAGGCATGCGTTTGTGTTCACTAGATCACAAACTATTTTCTGTGTGGGAAGGTAAATTATGTAGAGGGTTTTAGGCAGAATACATACCATATGCCATTTGTCCAACTTTAACCATAGCTTTTTGAAAACTAAACGTAAACACAACTTCATGGGCTGTTTGTGAGACATTTGGATACTTAAGTAATTAGTAATAAATTCAAGACGCTCAATTTTTGGTCATTTACAGTGAAGGTGGGATATCTAACCAGCTGTCTGTAGCGGTTCAAATGTGCCCTGATGCTGACAGGCTTTATCTGTGCTGCAGAATAAGAGACACGGGGTGGTGTCCTACCAGGCAGGCACCACAGTGCTGACCTTCGAGGAAGAGCTTTCCATTTCTCCAAACCAGCCCACCACCCTGCAGTGCCTGCTTGGACGCCCCGGCGACATGGAGGGATCTTCCAACAGCGAGGGCAGTCACGAAACTGGAGATTCGGGTCGCTATTCTCAAGATGAGACGGAGTTGACAAACTTATCCTCCAATCCCAGCAGTCGCCCCCCGTCCCTGAGTGCCGAGGACAGCGGAGACTCGGACTGCGGCAGTCCTGCCGAAAAACTGAGCAAGCTGTCCATAAAGAGTCTGACCGGCCTTATGGAGAAAGAGTGTGTCGATAGTGGCTGCAGTCATCAGGAAGCCCAGATCAAGTCTCAGTCTGCACTCAGTGTGTAGGAATGTGTGTGACTTTGCGTTTGAGTGTTTGTGTGTGTGAGTGTGTGTGTGTGTGTGTTTGTGGACGTAGTGTTACTTGCACAAACCAGCTTGAGTTGTTTTCCTTTGCAAGAGCACTACGGGCCTGGATGACGGCGTAAATGTGTGTTTGTAAGTGCGAGAGAGCGGTTTGAAGAAGCAGACGTTTTTTGTTGTGGTGTTTTCTTTTGTTCAGCTACGTTATGAACAGAGGCCTAACACGAAGCAATAATTTCCTTTACTTCTTTCTTTTCCTTATTCCAATGAATGTCTTTTTTCTTTTTCTTTTTTCATTTGTTGTGTATATTTTGGAAAAAAATCTCACCCACCATGAATGTTTAAAAAAAGATTGTCAAAAATGTCAAAAGTGTGACATTTCTGACATTATTTATGAGAGTTTATCACTGGAGCAGAGGGGCGGTGTGCATCCCCTCTGCTGATTATCTACCTCTGTTTGCCTTAGGGTGAACTTTCCACTGTATATTTAATTACTACTTATGTTACGTGATGGGCTGCTTCAGTTACATGACATGTTAAACTTCCTGATGACTTTTTTTTTTTAAATACCCCTTTGTGTTTTTTCTCTTGTGTTGTCGGATTGGCTGGATGGTAAGGGCGCTGCAGCTTCTTCCTAACACTCCACATGTGGGCTGGAAATGGATTTAAAAACACACAAACACTTTGCTATTTATCTCCTCAGATGTTGCTGAGGTACTGAGCCAGTATTAATAATAATTTTTGTTCATTTCGTCCATTATTGAGTGATGATTGAACAGAAATCCTGAATGTCAGCTGGTGTTTTGTCTGTTAGCGTGCAGCTGCCCTTGCTATTCCTGTTTTATACTACCTCGTTTTAAGAGTTACTTTTATTGAGTTACTTTATTGTTTTCCTAAACTCAGGGAACAAGGTTTAGTACATTTGAAAAGTCATGTAGTGTTACATGGTGAACTGACAGGGTATCTTCTCAGTACTAAACTGTGGTAGTTTGTAATTGCCCAATAGAAAATGCTATGAATGTATCTCTGACATTTTGTGCCAGTAGCACAAAAGTTACTGCTGCCTTCCCCACAGATGGAATTCCCCTCTATATGTCTGTTTTTACAACAAACTCCAGGGTTTGCTGATGTCTTTATTCGATTTGCATTAAGATTCACACCAGAAGTGCTTGCAGGGGCATGTCGGAGTAGAAAAGCTTTATAATTGGCCTTAATGTTGAAAGCGTCCGTCAGACGGGGAAACCAAAGCCTAGACTGTCTGGGGGAGCAGCTCCACGTGAGGATGCGACACATGAAGAATGATTGTAGTGGAAGTGTTTAATCAGAGATTCAAGTGAAGAATGAACACCGTGAAATGTTTTACCTCTAAAATATCTATTTTTCTTAGAAGAATGTTCTTCAGAGGAGTATACTTTGTAGTTACTTTGTCGTTTGCTATTTTCCTTGGCTGTAGAGTAGATGAAAATTAGCACTTGTCTGCCACGTAGTTTTATGTTAATGCCAATGTGTAGCGGTGACTGTGAAGCTATGACCCAAAGAGTTGTTTGCTGATTGAGTTTAATTTAGTCTCTGAAATCATCAGAGGCAGAGGGGTTTCTGGGGAAAGAAAAATAATTGACACGCATCAGACCAAAGATGAGACAGGGCCTGGGAGACTCCTCCATGTTAGTGCCCTTGACTCACGACTGAAAAAGGGCTGAGGGCTGTGGGTTAAAACTCTGAGAAAGTGCCAGCAGATTCTTCAAGGAGTGACTGCTTAATAATCAATATTATGCACAATGACCAAATGATCCTGTGTTAGAGTTCCTCGTAAGCTGCTGCAAACAGACACCTGTACATTGTAGGTGAATATTATAAGAGATGAATACAGTTTATTATATTGAGTAGTGGTCTATGTTGCAGCAGTGCAGTTGTGTGTTTTGATGTGCACCCACTGATTTTTCTCCTCCTCAGAAAATGAAAAATGATATACTGAACAATTTAATAGTGTATTTGAGAGAATACTTTATTCACAAGTGTATGCTTATACTATTTAGATTTAATGTCTCTTTTAAGAGCTCGCAAATGAAAGTTATTGCAGACTTGAATTTTTTGATGGCGCAAGAGAGATTCTGAAATGTCAGTGAGTGCACAAATCTTCACATGCTTCTGTTTTTTAATCAGAGGACTCTGCAGAGGATTCAATCATGGGACACGAGTAGTGACACAATCAGTTAAACTTACTTATATAAAGCAAACGATATGAACCAAAGATTTTTTAAGTTATTTGACGTCACCGCTGCATATTGGCAAGAGATCAGTTCAAAAGCATCCTGTCTTTGCGTGAAATGTAATTTTCTGTGTTTTTATGCTGATTTTGTAACAATGACAAGGAGCAGAATGGAAGCAATCATCAATTCCCATCAAATCTAGCTTTGCTCTTCTTGATCAGTTGACTCTCAGGACAAAATGTTTTCCTTATGGTGAATTTTTTGTGTTATCCAACACAGACAACTTGTAACTTCATTATCTTCATATGTCCTGTATTGGTGGAGCTTTAAAGGACCAGTCCTGAATCTGATAGCAAAGAAGTTTTTCTGATAAGCTAAACACAAAACTTGTGGAGTCTTTCCAGGTTCTGAGTTGGGTCTTTAGAGCTCGTGCAGGTACATAGTTGCTACCTCAAGAATTTTGTTAACATTTTGTGGTTGGTGCAGATGGGGTTGCGGATATCTGTACCAGTGAAGACAAACAAGTGACCCAGGATGTTGGTCTGCCTCTTTTCATCTCAATAAATGTTTTGTTTTGTTAAGATATGTTCCTGTCCAAGGATGTGAATTTAAAGGGATAAAACTCAGGTCTGCAGAGCGACCGGCTTTTTGTTCCCTCCTCTGAGCGGCCGGGCGCTGCGGGTCATTTACAGTCACACTCAGGGGGACCCACAGCTGCCTGCCGTCAGGGTGAAAACAGGTTTCAGGTTTTTAAATTGAATGTATTTTTTGTAATAATTATGTTATCTGATATTTGCTGTCAGTGCTTTGTTATATTTCTGTTAAAAAGATTAATTGTAAGTTTTTTTCTAAAAATTGTTTAGTTAGGAGATTTTAGACGATGCTTACTGACGAAAAAGTCTGATTCTCAATTTAAATAAAAATGCAAATATACCTGATGTGGACTGTTTTGTTTTTTTTGTACCGATTATGTTGTGTTTTACTGTGTAGTCAGGATAAAGTGTTGCTTTTTCTCCAAAAATAAAAGGATATTCTGGTCAGAGTAGGAGTACCACAAGGGTTATGGATCTACAGTTGTGTGATTTTACTGTATATCTTCACAGATATCTGATGCAAAACTATTCATGGGTGCATCAGTGTTTAAAGCTTCTTTAAATCTAAACCCAGCAGAAGGAAAAAGAGAACTCTGGTACCTTACAAAAGACACAAAAAATTACACAGCAAAACATGTTCAGAGTCCAGGTGATAGTGGAGCCATTTAACAGATAACCATTTTGGAAAATGCAAACAACTAAATTCAGAGTATGGCCAAGAAACAGAAAATAGAAACATTCACCACTGTTGTTCCAAACATGACCCCACAAGTGCTTTTAAGGCAAATCCAAACAAAATAGCTGCATGAAAGACATAAATGAATGTCCTTTGACATATGTTCAAACTATCATTGAGCAAGGTGTTTAAAATTCTGAATAGTATTAGTGTTTAGGATTATAGTGGTAAAACTGCTTTGACTGGTTTTGTGGCAGGTATAGAACCAGACATCAATGGAATACATTCTGTCAGATGTCACATAAACGACAAACAGGTGTTTTCTGATTTCTGAGTCCGCCACGTATGCCATTTAATATGAGCCGACGCTAAAACACTTTATGCAACTCTGAGTCGGACTTGTTTTGCTTCTTAGTCACCCTCGTTAATGCTTTCTTTGTCACGCTTCCCTGTTTACGTTTTTTTCTCAGCTGCCAAGTTTTGTTTCCATGGTTGTTTTGCGCCACCCTCGCTGAGCCTGTTTGACCACCGCGCTGCTTTATGGGAAGCGTAGTTCACAGAGTTTTTTTGGTCAGTCTATGCAGTGATTCCGTGACGCCACTAAAAACTACATTTCCCTGATGTTGTCAGCTTGCTGTGTTGTTAACGGATTACCAGGGTTTGGGTGTACCGCAATAACTGACGCTTCGTGCAAACAGCTGTGCGGTGGCTGGCGCAAAAACAGTCGTGAGTTATGCCGTTTCCAATTGTCTTTAAACATTTTATATAGTTCTTCAGCTGCTACAAACGATGGGTATTTCCCATATCGGTATAAGAGTACGTGTTAAGAGCCGGCGTTCAATTTGAACACGTAAAGTAGGCGAACTAGTAGCGATGCCACACTAAATGTCGTTAATTGATGTTTCCAGACGGCGCTAATGTTAGCTACAGTTCAGAGGTGAAGGGGTAACCGTTGACATGGCCAGCCTGTGGTCAGCCGGTCACTGTTTTCAGTGTCAGGCCGCGTTGGCTGGCATCATGTGTTAGCTGTTTACACGGGTATGTGACCGCTAGGGTCGCTTTTGCGTCTGTCTCTGTATTAAATGGAAATATTTCCAATGGAATCTGTTCGATGTTTATCAGCTAAATAAATTGATTCACGCGGGTCTCTTTCCTGTGCTCTGTAGGCCCCGTTATTTAGTCGGAAATGTCAGACACATCAAGTGATGCAGAGTCGTCCTGTGGCTGGACCATTATCAGTAATGAGGTACACATGCTTTCTCCTTCTTGTAAATTTACATCAGCAATACCAAGATGTTTACTTAAGGATATGTTTACAAATCTGACCTTTCGGCAAAAGGTTGAATTGAAAAATACTTATTGATATTTTCAGTTCATATTGGGCAGATTTAATGTATGCCTGGTGTGATATCACAGGGTTCAGACATTGAGACTTTGGGATCAGAGGCTGTGGTTGAATTTGGAGCAGAGGCTTTAGAACCCCATACGGTAGAAGAACCAGAGCTGCTGCAGTCACAAGCCTCAGCGTCTGCTGGTAATAATCTTTTGTTGTCTTTTTGTTTTTATTTAAATTGTGTTCCAAGGGTTAAAACTACACAAACCATTGAGAGTGCTTTGTCCTCAAAACCGTAGCTCATTTAGTGACCAAAGGGTGGCGACTTCAAAAAGAGAGGCACTGCCCAGTGTTAAAATAGGATTTACGGCCTGGTGCTTCAGATTTAGTTTTCACTGTTGTTATAACTGTTTGGGAGTTAATTTTCTGTAACTGATTCTATTTATGTATATTATTGGATGTGCATGATGTTCTAAGACTTGGAACATTTTAATATGAAGATGGGGTTGTTTAGCTTCTAAATATTTTATCTACCACGTGATAAATAGATTAATAGCTGCCACGTTCTAATAGACAGATGTAACCTTTTCTCCGTAGCTGATGTTGCATGGATATTTGCATGTTGTTAAATCTATCTGACTTAGTATTATTTGTGTTTCTAGCTTTGTCTGCTGAAGAGAATGCTGCTGATATACTTGAAGACACACTGGAAGAACAAACGTTAGATGAGACGCTCTATGCTCCAGGGGTGAGAGGACCTGCAAACGATTAGTATTACTCTGTGGATAAGCCAGGGCCATGTAGTCACAGGCCACCTTAACAACCTGTGTAACAATATTGTTTGCAGGCCGGAGACCGTGCTGCTGGGAAAGAGCATGTGTTATCCTCCAGTGATCACTCTGACATTGTTACTCTTGGCGACTTGAAGGAGGGTGAGCATGTGCAAGAAGAGCCAGCTGTCAGTGAGGAGCTCTACCTGGGGATGTCCTGTAGCAGTCATTACACCTTCACTGCCACAGACACTGGTAGGACTGCACAACAGCACACAGCTACTCACTGAACAGCTCCCATCCTTCTTCCTAAAAGTGGACTATGTTTGCACTCACATTCAGTCAAAATGGAGGGATTCAACCCTCCGTTTCTCCCCTGCCTGATCAGGTTTGTTGTTGAGTCACTGGAAACTTCCACAGACTCTGGTGAACCTAAGCTGCCACCTGAGGAGTCGGCTCACTCCAAGACGTTCTTTTAAAGGTGGCCCGCTTGAAAATGGAGTGGACCTAACATGCTTTAAAGCTTGATGTTAAGTTTTCCAAACTAATCCTGTTGAGTTACTTACTGAGTGAACTGGGCAGATAAAATGCTATGTGTTTTTGCCTGTGGAGATGTGCAAATTTTAGAAATTAACATTTTTGCTTTAATTGCACACTCAACAACTCCCCTAAGAAATTACAGTTAATGTATCTTGGAAGCCATAAACTATTATAGATGTGTTTTCCACCCAAAATAATAGTTTGTCTCATTACATATAGTTTGACATTTATTGAGAGGATAAATTCCTACATGTCATTGGAATAGTATTGGGCTGATAATGATAATATTACAATTTTGAGTTTCTTTTCATTATTTGCCAAAAACAAACAAACAAAATAGCAGGCTTGACATGCATAAACGACCTGGTCAAGTCTTTCTGGTGTTTATCACTTTCTTTATTTGTATTTGCCATGTGTCATTGATATGTCTATGTCAAACTTTGGCAACATATTTGTGAAACTAGAGTGGTTGTTTTCTCAGGCAACGGTGACATTTTGCATGATTTGCATGTTAAGCAAACAGCACACTTCACAGAATTACATAACACCCACACTCTCCACTGTGTTGTGAAATTAAAGCCACCTTCATTTCCTTGGGCTTAGCATGAACACTGGTGCAAAACAGAACAGCTGCCGACTGTTGACCAAAAAGAAGAAAAATGTGATCTGTGTGAGGAGCAGAGACATAGATACATCTTTGATTGCAGATGTGGAATAAGACAAATTATTGTTTTTCTTTATCTCTATCTGTTAAACAAAGCCTAGACTGTTGTGCTTTTAGCATCAAAGAGAGTCTGGTTCAATTTGCATGATGTACAGGACTGTGAAAAGGTCTTTCACTTACCAGGATTTATTTATATTACCAGGGAAACATATAAAAAACAGGTTTATTGAAACATAATGGAAGTAAATATAGATACGTAATAAAAGAGTTTGTACAGTTCTAATAAGATAAAAGATTATAATTTTGACGACTGTACTTTAATTCTTCACCACAACCTGAGAAAGGCTTTTCTTTTAACCTTTTTATTTTATTTTGCAGTAGTAGCTTTTCAAGCTTTTTGAAGGACATGTGTTGCGTCCCTACAGAATGTAACAATATCTTAAATGCTCTTGTTTGGATGTTGACTCCCTTTTTGTCCATGCCCCGCAAATGATCCCTCACTGCGTCCATCAGCCACTGAGTTTCAGACACTGCTTGTGTCCTTTGGCAAAGCTCAGCCTTTCCCCCTTGTTCCCCTTCTTGACAGCCCCCCTTCCATGGAGTCCTTTTCTGATGAGGCCTCAGCGAATGGTAGATGGATCAAAGGCCAGATGCATCTCTCAGTTCTGATACAAGGGCTGGACTGTAAATGAGTAAAAAAGCAGCATGTTCCATCAGAAACTTTTTGAAAAACATACATTTTCTAAATAGCCTTGCTGCTTGTTTGCAAATTAAATATATCAAAATCAAGGGTGGACATTTGTGCAGTCCTGTAAATGTTGCAATTTGCTGAAGTTTTCATATGATCGCCAACACATTTTGAATGCATGGCTGCATCTGTAGCTTTGATCGGAAGTGCAAAACACAGAATAATATTTTCCTTGTGCATGTCCCGAAGAGAATTTGACAGGCCCAAATAAAGAAACTTCAAGAGGTTTAGGTTTTGTGCCAAGTCCTCTTTAGTGTCTTCAGAAAGGCAAGAGAGAGCATCTTATCAGGAAATGTCAAAACAGGTGTAGAACAAGGGTTAGGTTAGGTCTGAGCAAGGAACTTTGAGTCTTCTGCAAAACCAAAAAACACTTGCAGGATAATTAGGAAAGATCTTTCCCAAATTGTGGAGCAACCTATTTAAAGTATTAGAAGCATTTGATTAACACAATAAAGAAAAAATAATAATAATTTTGGCTTGTTCTTTGTGTGTCTGCATGATTAACTTTACATTTTCTACTTGTATCTGAGCCAGCGCCTTTCTTTTTTTTAACATGAATGTCTCTTCAGCAGTTTTCCCAGCACAGCAGCCAGCAGTCACAAACTCAAGCAGCAGCGAGGATGAAGCCGGTCGAGGGGCCGGTGCCATCGTACGAAGACGCAGGGTGAGGAAGAACACCACAAGCATCATGACGGACCCAGAGGAAGAGGAGGAGCCTGTGCCTGTGTCACGCTTGAGTGAGGAGGAGGCAAAGGTCAGAGAGGGGGAGCAACAGGAGGAACAGACTGAAGTTAGACCAGCTTCTGCTGCGGATGATGGGGGGCAAGGCCAGTTTGGCAGCATCCTCAACAAATGTATCCTGCTGGCCCTGGTCATCGCCCTCAGCATGGGCTTTGGCCACTTCTATGGTGAGGGGGTCCCTCATGAATTGTCTTCATCTCTATCCTAATTTCTGCTGTATATGGATGGCTTTATGTGACTTAACACTGTTGTAGCCTGATTCTAACCTGTGCATCAGAAATGCTAGGAATTATTGGTCTGCTCCTGAGTTCTTATTAGTCAGTAGCAGCACATTTGTTGTATCTCATCTTTCAGTGGTTTATATCTTTTTGTGAGAACAATCTGGTTTCTGTTAACACTCCAGAAAGCCTCTACGTGTGTAAACTTGCCCGTACAGATCTTTGTGTTCTGTGTGTGTCTGTTGCAGGCACAATGCAGATTCAGGAAAGGCAAAAGAATGTGGAGAAAATCAGAGTGAGCGAGCTCGATGTTGTAAGGGATCTGCTTGAGAGAAAACAAGGTTTTACAGAGGTCAGTAAAAACACAGCTAAAAGAATGATTAGCCAACGACTTGTTCCGCTGTCATCCTGGTGACAAACGTAACCAGACATAAATACAACTACAGTTTGGTAACTAACCTTATCAGAGATTACAGACACATATATTAAAGAAAATATTATAAAAGGCACAGTTTAAATTAAAGAAAACATAAAGAACTAAATAAGATTAAAGGTGCAGTTTGAAATATTGTAATCTCTGAACCTCCCTTCCACAAATATGGCTTTGAATTAACACTAAGTAAATGTACTGATGATTCTGACATCAACCAATTAACCATTATAAGCATCAAAAGAGCAGCAATGGTGTTACATGGTTCAGACATGAAGTATACAGCGTTGATGTCTTTGACCAGTTCTTTTTTTTTTTTTATCTCTGATTGGTTCAGAAGCTGGATTTTGGAGAAGATAGCCTGGATGAACAACAGATTATTTCACTGCTTGCAGAGGTGATTGAAACAATGAAGGTGGAGAACCAGGAGCTCAACAATAAATGGGTACACATCCAGGTAATCTGGGTGGCAGTTTGATGACAAAACACTAATCCAGTACAAAATGCTCTGAGTTTTGTTTAAAAACAGAACCAGAAAGAAATCAAAGTTAGAGACAGAATTTCTTTTTGTTTAGTTTTACAATTGAAATTATAAATAGATTCACTGAACTGATTCACTAATCACGACACACCCTAAACATAATTTAGACGGCCTCGAATGTATCTCTTTTCTTCTCAAGGCCCAGAGAGATGACCTGGAAATGTTGTTGAAACAGGCGTCTGAGGAGAAAACCAACATCCGGTCTGAGCAGCAGAGTCTGACAGCTGAGAACCAGCTGCTGAAAAGCTCTCTGGAACACGAGGAACAGTCTTTGGCTATATTACAGGAAGAGCTGAGAAAGCTGCGTTCTCAGATCAGAGATCTGGAGGCGATGGGGGCTGGAGCCGACTCGCTGCTGTCAGAAAACCAGAGGCTGAAGGGCCAGCTTGATGAGGACGAAGAGACATTCAGAGACTTCCAAGTCCAGAGGGACGACCTGGTGGCTGAAGCTCAGATGCTGCGTAGGAAGCTGGAAAAAGAAAAGAGGGTGACAGAAGAGCTTAGGAGAGAGCTGAATCGACTGAGAACCCGCATCCCCGAAACTGGAAAGGAGGGCTACATAGAGACTGAAGAGCTGCAGTCACGGCTGACAGAGCTGGAGAAGAGGCTGAGCTTTGAGCAGCAGCGCTCCGACCTGTGGGAGAGGCTGTATTTGGAAACTAAAGAGGAAAGAGCCAAAGGAGACCGAGAGCCCAAAGTGAAAAAACCCAAAGGGGGCATGGCAGGAAAAGTCAAGGAGACGTTTGATGCCGTGAAAAACTCCACCAAAGAGTTTGTTAGCCACCACAAAGAGCAAATTAAGAAAGCCAAGGAGGCTGTGAAGGAGAACCTGAGGAAGTTTTCGGATTCTGTCAAGTCCACTTTCCGACACTTCAAAGATTCAGCCTCCACCTTCATGGACAAAGCCCGAGGGTTTTACAACAACAGATGCACCAAAAAGAACACAGGGGAGTCCTGCCAGCACAGACAGCACCACAGACACAAACCCGAGCCCTTCCAGAGCAACCACAACACACGCAAGTCAGGAGGGAAAGCTCATGACCATCAGGGACAGAGCGGCCGCAAAAGCAGCACCAGGGGATGCGCCGGAGTGTTCGACTGTGCCTACAAGGAGTCCATGAGCCTCTTCAATGTAGCCGCAGAGCCAATCCGAGCTGACGAGTTCTACCAGCTGCTGCAGAGCTACCTGCACCAGGAGGTCGACCACTTTGAGCACTGGAGCGAGCTGGAGATGTTCATCAATAGCTTCTTCCACAACGGCGTCTTCATCCACGACCAGATGCTGTTCACAGACTTCGTCAGCGGGGTGGAGGACTACCTGACGGACATGCACGAGTATCACATTCCTGGTGATGATGTGTTTGGAGACCTGGACGATTACGTCTTCAGGCACTTCTTTGGAGAAACATACTCAAAAAGTTACGGGCCGCGGTAAGTCCCCCCCCCCCCCCAAAAAAAACATAAAATAAAGCCCCACCCCCCCCTCCCCTACTCCTTCCAGCTCCCAGGTAAGACCAATGCTCTGCTTTGTGTTTCCACCACACAGCGGGCCGTTTGAAAGACCCGACGCAGACTCAAAGGAAGAGTCGAGGGCGAGGCATCAACAGCGGAAGCAGCAGAGAGCCAGATCACAACCACACAGCGAGCGCAAGTGGAGCAGGTCAGGAAGAGACGCAGACAGACCCATGGCCGACGTCAAAATAGAGCTTGGCCCGATGCCGTTTGACCCCAAATATTGAAACCATCTCAGCTGGTTTAACAGAATGACTGCTAATCGTTTATTCCTAGGTTTTGGTTTAATTTAGCAGCAAAAAAGTTCTTTTTGTAAGTTTGCACAATCTCTTTAATGCTACTGAATGTTGCTAGCTGTTTGGAAAAGATATGATGTTCAGATTCCAGTGGATTATGTGGCATATTTACACAAGCTGCACAGCCGTAGGTGTGAGCTCAACCTTCGGCTTGTTTGTGAATTCACAGCTGAAATAGGAACCAAATGAATCTTAATGACACCGTTTTCTGAAAAATCATTCAGGAAATATTCATCTTTAACTGCATCGTTTAGGGATAACAAAACACAGGAAACCACATTTAGACACTTAGAGTTCAAACGCAGGTTTTTGTGACATTCCACTGCAAGGTTGTTTTAAATGGACGTGGCCGTTTTATTTCACTTTTACGTGTGTAGGAAAGAAAAGACTGGAAAATTGTCAGAACTATTTTAATAGTTTTTTCACAGGGGATGACAACATCTGAGTAAAAAATATTTATTTTAGTCGCAAATAAATATGTTACTTTTTTGATGAGCGAAAGTTGCCATTGTTCCTGTTTGTCAGTGCCTTTCATAAATAAAGATGCTTCCTCCAACTCTTCCCTCAGGAACATGTGTATGAAATATCTCTGCTGTCCTCACAAAGTTGTTCCCTTTAAGAAACACAGAGATTTCCTGCAAGAAATGGAAACAGGTTCAAATTCAACTCTTTTTATTTTTCAAATACTGGGAATGTGTGTCTCTTACCTTTTCCAAAACATCAAACAACGCCACATGTGTTGGCAGAGAGGATTTGTACGGAAATGAATCCTTGAGCCACTGAAGAGGCTCGTTGAAAAATCTCTCAGCCTCATCAAAATAACCCTCCTCTCCCAAATCTGGTGGGCATTCCAGAAACCTCATTTTTAGTGGGCAGTGGATGTGGCTGCGAGGAGACAGGATGGTCAGTGGCTGCTTGCTTGTCAGGCCGGAAAAGTCATCAGGTGTGAAAAGATAGGATTCTAGCCAGATTACTGCAGTGAAAAATGGGGTGGCCTTTTGTAAAGCTTTGGCTTTACCAAAGAAAAAAATAACCGACATTTCCATCTCATGAACGGGCCACTTCTGGCCCTGGATAAAATATGCAAGTCCCTGGTATCCAGCGATTGTGTACACATAAACAGCTCAAAGGATGGGAGGATGCTGTACCTGTAGAAGGGCGTTGAGTGGCAGGGCATGAGGAAGAGGATGTCAGGCTGCGGGTCGCTGACATCGCAAAGCGCCCGAACGTGGCTCATCACGTCCAGGGTGCCTCGCTGGTGGATCAGGCCGGTGTACAGAGCCAGCACCAGATTGGACACCAGCAGAGCGACGGCAGCCGCCCGACGCCACGCTTTGAGATGGGCCAGCGAGGTTCCTGTGGTGAGACCAAAGTGTAACGTGGACACATCCGTCTGGGAGCAACAACAGGTGGAATATGTGGAGGTGAAGCTGACAACTAACCACAGAAGACCATACAGAGGGGCAGCACGGGATAGATGAACCTGAACTCCTTGTGAGGGAGAAAACTAAAGAAATGAAACAGAACATTCCTGGCTTTATACACGCTGGAGACACTAAACATTTTTGCCAGTTATATTTGCAAACATCTACAACAATCCCTCCACTTAAACCAAGAACAAGTATTTGGTGCTCTTGCTTTTTCAAAAACCTGATTTCAGTCATCTTCAGAGGTTCACCTGTATACGCCTATGGTCCAGACCACTGCCACCAGGAGGATTTTGTATCGTCTGAAGGCGAGAGCGCATCCGTGAAGAAAGAACGGGAGATGAGGGCCGATCACAACAGCGAAGCCCTGAGAGAGGTACCAGTGCCAGGGGTGAGAGCCGTAGAAATCGGCCACGCCGTGGAAGATGTTGAACTTGAGGAAGTTGAGCTGCACCAAAGTCCACTGAAACGCAGAGAGGAGCAGTTACATCCCACACCCACCGCAGGAGCCGGCGGCTCTGTTTGATGCCCGTTACCTTTTCATAGAAAAGACAGTCGACCAGCGCTGAGGTAAGAACCGCCAACATCCTGGAAAGGAAAACAGCGACCGGAGAATGAGAGAGAGAAAACCAGTTTTGATGGAGATGATCCGGAGTACAAACCCGATAGGAACGTAGTCGTGAGTGATGAGTCTCAGTTTGCGTTCATCCTGCCAGAAATGGTAAATCAGCAGAGGAAACCAGAGGATCAGGGCCGTGGGTCGAACGATCACAGCCAAAGCCACCAGAGCCAAGTACTTTTTACTAAAAAAAAAACAAAAAAACAGCACTGGTGGGTCAGGGACATATCTAAGAAAGGGGGGCCTATAAAACTGAGACGGGTTAAGGCTTAACAAGCACACACCTGCTACATGTTTTGGAGCCCGGCAGAGGAAAGTAAAACAGAGCCAAACAGGTGAGGGTGGTCTCGGTGCTGTTGGTAAGCGTCCGGGTGCAGCAGAACCACGAGAACCAGCTACACAGGTGACAGAAGAACTGGAACCCAAAACAAGCAGAAACAGCACAGCGGCCGGTCAGTTTCAGAGGGATGGTGCCAGGGGGCTCTTTACACCGACACAAAACAAACTTTCTATTCAGTGGTTTTCTCTCCTGAGCACAAATATCAGATATTTGCCAACAAAGAGATCCGCTCTAAAGAAAATATGTTGTTTGGATAACTATTTGTGTTGTGTTTGGGGACGCCTGACAAGTTTCTCACCGTCCATTTTGCAACGTCGCTGTTTTCCAGCGTTCGGATCAGGAAGAAGAATTTTGCATCTGCAAACGCAGCCAGGAGCGCCTGGACGACTCGAGGAAGCCAGATCTGCAGGAGGGGTAGCATCATTTTTAGCAGAGATACCATCGTCTGATGAACAGAGAGTTGATTCACAGGAAATAAAGGGACTTGCCAGCAGATATACTGAATCGTAGTTGATAAAGTGAAGTATCTTGTATATGAACGCAAAGAAAAGAGGATACAAGAATCCTCTTATTCCTGCCTTCCACTCCCAGGTCAGATAGCCATAGGTCACTGTGTTAAGGTCGAAACAGCAGAACACAAATTAAAAAGGGATTAATAACTGACTGTGTGCGCTGGCCTGATGTCAAAGACCTAGTCTAGATCTGAACAGTGGATATCCATTTGTATTTGCTTTTAATTAAAAATCAATCTAAACTGATGGACACTTATTTAGTTGGTTAAAGCAGTTATCAGAGTGAAATGCTCCATAGCAGTCTGACTGTGAGCAGTTTATAACACACACTCCCTCTATAAAAGGATATTTAAAGACCATCCGATGGGACACCTCCAGGGACTGCCAGTACTCATCCGGGACGAAGCTGGTCTGGACCAGAACACAGTTGATCAGTCTGAACACGACACAAAACGCCAGCACTTTGGCTCTCAAAGAACCTTTGGAGATCACACAAAACAAACACAGCTCACGACATGGTCATACTCAGCCCTTTAACCGCACAAAACCTGAGGCAGAGACGCACCGTCCTTAAGAGGGCTTTCATCCTCCCTGGAGTAAAGCTGGGATTTACGTTTCCTCAGCTTCACGTCCTCCTCTTTGCTCCCAAACTTCAGCCGCGACCGGAGGCTCTCCATCCGCCCTCAGCATACTTCACCTGTCGGGGTGTGTGAGCCAGGTGAGTCCCGCCTCATCCGGAGGCTGACGGACGAGGGTCCAGCCAGTGGCTGGTCGACACAAACAAACTCTGTCAGCTGCCCTTTGGCTGCTGCCGCTGGACGTCTATCTGTTTATCAGGCTGTTTTCACACGCTGTATCTCCCCCAAAGCAGCAACACACTTCCTGTTGGAGGAGCAGTGCTCAGAGCAGCTCTTCTTCCGCACTCAGACCCACTTCCGGTGTCCCTTCTCACGACTTCAGAGTATAGGTCCTTCTCTGTGCTATTTGTCTTCATGGTTTTGTTTTGAACGTTGTCATGTTTCTGCTTTGGGCTCGCTAAGAAGCCAAACTTTTTGCTGTCATATTCCCTATAGAGTCCCCTAAAATGTGTTTAATAAAGAGCCAACAAACATTTTCTATCTATTTGATCTAATTTTATGGTGTTGTGGCAAATGCAGGACTTTGACAGGATAATAAAAGTTATGTAAAGATACATGTTTTTTTTTTTTAGATTAAAATTAACCTTTTTTTCTGCGTCTAAGTGACAGCCACCGGGGTAAGAGTTTAAATAGTAAATAGAAGTATATTCATTAGTAAAATATTCATTGTAATGAAAAACATCAACAAAAACAAAAGGGTTTCTTATCATTTCCTTTCTATGGAAACTAAAAGGTCCAGCTGATCTCTGAAAGCATATATATATATATATATATATATATATATACATACACACACACATGAACAGTTGATAAGACTTTTCATCAGCAATATATTTAGAAAAGCTTTTTCATGGAATGAAAACCTCTTAAACATCCCACTGATGCTTTTTAGTTACTAATGAATAAAAAATCTCAGGAAGATTGACTCATCTATGAAATTGTTTTAAAAATGTGAAGAGGTCCTGCCTGTAATAACATACAATGAGACTGATAATGATTTTTATAATGCAGTTCATCTTTAGATCCACTAGCAGCAGAACAGGCACATCTTAGAATGTCTTTTTAAATATAATTTACCAGAAATAATATTATCTTATTATTTTAGGGGTGGTGCTGGTGGTAGGGGGTGTTGAATCAAGTCCCTCCACTTAGAAGACTGGGGTTCAGTTTGACCTTCAGTCACAGAGCAGCGCCTCCCGGTGGCCTCCGCTGGGGGGCGCTGTGCGCATGCGTGCTGCTGCTCCCGACACGCAGCAGAAGAAGAAGAACGCGCTGCTGCCGTACATAACCGTCCTGGTCGTCGTTTCTGGTGTCTTTACCTTTCCGTTTCGTCTTTCTGTCTTTGTATGGTGATAGTAATCTTATCGCACAAACGTCCTCCTTGGTGAGTTTTTAGATTGCAAATTCATATCTCTGAAAAAGGCGAAAATAATATGTATCAAAGTAATAAGCGAAAGGTCAGGAAATAGTCAAGTGTGCAGGTGTGTTGACATCAAATCCGGGCTGGATTTTTCAAATAAGACTAATAATTAGGAAAGCCACGCCTCTTTGTTAAACGTGTACATTTATGCATTCTTTTGCAATGTCAATTATTTTGCACTGAGCATCTTTTTACAAAACCCGAGGAACAGTTTTTGTGTAGGCCTTTAAAACAAAAGATTCCCATACTATAGTTGTCGATCTTCAAATATTGTTTATTATTTTACTTCTTGTTGAAGTACTGCTTGCTGGCCTGAATGCATTAGCACAATCATCAACACAGCCTATATGTTGGACAGTCTGTGGAATCCATGCAAACACGAGCGTAAATTTTAACAACAACATGTAACATTCAACACAGTTTCTGAAATGTAAAATGCCAGCAAAGACTCATTTAGGTTTTGAATAGATGATGTGGATGACACCCCTTTGTGATTCTTTCAGGATGATTTGGGTGCTGCTGGATTGAGATTTCCCGTTAAAAAGAGGTCATGTTTCAACGAAGACTGCCGTTCACACAGCTGGCCATGGCCACGCTGCTGGGAGTGATTGGTGGGATGTATATCTACAGGCCTTATTTCGAGACAGTTCCAAAGACCCCAGGACAGCAAAACCCGGATGTGCCAAAGAAACAGAAGGAAACGGACTGAAGCGCTTCACTACAGCCAGGAAACACTTTGGAGACAGAAGTCAGAACAATCGGTGGATCATGGACTGTCACTGCAACACTAAAGACCACATAAAACACATCAGTGAATGCATAATACTATGGGTTGCACTGTGCCTTTGTAAAATAGCTTAAATAAAATACGTAATGATTTGACGCAAATGTATTCTTTTGTGCAAATTGATGTGCAACAGCCTTACACAGTTAACACATCATCTGATTGTTGTCTGTATTAAGTTGTGAAAAAAATACAGTCTTCCAACTATTTGCTTCACATATAAATTAGTATTTTTAAGTAATGTTTAAGCAAACACGACAAAGTGATCATTGATTCTTTGACACTGTGACACAGTTTTGATGGTGCTGTGCCAGTTTCAGTCCCCCTTGCTTGCTCAAACTAGGTCGAGTAAAATCACACTGACGAGCAAAATTTCACCATTAAGTTTTTAAATCACTTTTTTAAAATTGATGCACCTGCATATCTCTGGTCTTTCTTTGGGTTTCCTCCCAGTTCATGCAAACATTGCTGTGCTGCACCTGCTGGATTTTATTTGATCCTCCACTTGTTCACTTTCCTAAATTACTTAGGAATTTACGAGAGATTATTGCTTTGCCAAGTTTTCATCAGTTGATTTTTTGGATTTTATGTTGCAAAATTGCCATTTCATGTCTGTCAAAACTTATGTAGCCTACTTTGGCTTTTTTGTGGAGATGGGGCTAAAGGCCTGGGAACAAAGGGTTTTTCTTAATGACAGATTGTGATTAGGAGTACAATTCTTGGGCATCATTTCATTTAGGTGTGCATTTTAAAATAAGATCAAAATTATCAGTGAAGGGTTAAAAAAAAAGAAAACATTAAAAAAAACATATTGGAAAAAGTTGAAAATGTTTTGAGAGCTATATTTTCGTACCAAAAACAAATAAAGTGACGTATTCGTAACCAAATAAATAAATAAATAGAACTTAAAGAAAAGCACCGTGGATCTTTTCAGATTCAGAATCAGAAATCAGCTCTGGGACAGTTAGTGGGAGTTTGAAGTGTAACGTCTGGAGCCGTTTGAGTGAGCGAGCTGCCTCCGTGGGGAGGAGCTGTTCCCCGCACACACGACACGACACACCACACGGAAAGTTAAGGTGGTGCTCAGACTAACTGAGACTCGTGTGAACTAATGGGCCGGAGGCGACAGAGAAAGTAAAGAACCGATTTATTCACCTTTCCAGAAGTCTCCGACTGACATCAGACACTTTTTTCTTCCTCTTTGAAGTGGACGACGATTAGCAAAAACGCCCCGCGGCTGGTGAGTACTGTGTTTTCAGGAAATGTCAACCGAGGGGAGGAAAAAAAAAACCCAAAAGAGCCTGTAGCATCTGTCTGGAGGTAGCCAGACGCTGAAAAGTTGACTTTACTCCACTCCGGGACTCGGTTTTAGGCGTGCCCGGGTAGCACTGGTCACGTCCCCCCCCTCACACAACGGCTGGCTTCGGGAGGCATTTTTCCACCTGCCTTATCCCCTCCTCGTCGCTGATAGCTTTCACAACACTTGCTCAATAACCGATAGACCGTTTTGCGAACGACTAAAATGTGGCTTTGCACTTGCTGAATGTGTGACACTGCACAGGTGCGCTGGCACCCTCATAAACGGAGCTGGGAAGTTGGCCTCCAGCTCGGCAGGATGCGAATTAAGTTTTTAAAAAGTGATCAATTTCTTGCTTGAGAGGTCACACGACCGTCAATAACAGCCACATGAGGACCAGCTGAGGATCATTAGATTGTCTATTTGTCTGGGAGGTTAATTGATTTAGAGGTTAAGATATAAACATAGCTTATCCTTTAAAAGAAGTCAAGCCCAATGCTGATAAACCATCACATGGTATGGACTAGATTTAGCATCCACACGTTTAGGAGATGAGCATCCGCCAAAGTTCATGCATTAGATTTAGTTGTCAACACTCTTAATGCTTGGCTTTGTGTTTTTGGTATGTGTATATCCGCCTTTTCCCGAGGAGCTGCCTGCTTCTGTGCTGGATAGCTGCCCAGGGTGGGCCCTCCACTTTATCCATAGCAAATGATTAAAGCAGCTATTTGTTTGCTGTGTTGCATGGCTGGTAGCCTGGCACACAGTCATAAGCTCCACTCCCACAACAGAAGAACATGCCTAAAAATACCAAGGACAAGACCAGTTCCTCATCCCTTAAACCTGATATTTAAAATGATTAGTATACGTATATTTTTTTTTACATGATCCAGTCTGAAAAAGAAGCCAGTGGCAGCAAAGAGCAGCTGTGGAGCTGCCTTTAAACGTGTTAAGGCCCTCAGCAAAAATAAGTTATTATCTGATGGTAGATTTTGAATATGATCTTAACTAACTTTCTGACAGACGTTGATAAATTCCTTTATTGTCATTTTTGGTCAATTGAAAGACCAAACAAGCACAGGATTATTTTTCAAATATGCAAAAGTAATTCACAGTGAAAATGATCCTCAATTCCAGCCTGACTGTTGGTGGAAGGAAATGCTACATTTGCTCTGTCACATTAAAAATACTCTTTTAATTTCTGTTTTGTTAGTCATGGCAGTATTTAAGGTGTTTCTAAAGCAACAGCATGTTCTTTTTTATGTCTCACCATCTTATTATAGGAATCAATGTGGTGATATTTTGTCCTCTCAACAACTGGAAGGAAGCTTTATCAGGTCGAGCAGTAGATGGTTTGTTACTCCAATTTGAAATAAATGTAAAATACTACTTTGACAAATAAGGCAACGTACAGTTTGTATCCCAGTACGTTGCACCTTAACAACCAGCTCAACACAACATGTGTATTTTATAGTTTTGTTGCTGATCTTTAAACAAAATAAGTTGAGCTACAACATTTGTCAGGGTAAGTTCTGCCCCGCTGTTTAAAAGCTGACGCTCAGGCCTTTCCTCCTGAGGGGCGGGGGAGGATGCTATGTCATGTCTCCATCTCGCAGTAGAACAGGAACCCGTTTGTTGTCTGTTTTAAAGGTTTTAGGAAACATGAGACTGAGGTAATTTCTTCTCCAAATGAGTTTAACTTGCACACTTTGCCCAGAATCAGTCATAATGAAGTAAAGTTAATATATAACAGATTATTTCGTAGACATTTGAACCTCGGGCAGTAACTCAAAGTAATGATTTAGCTTTTGAAGCTTTGAGTGATTTGTCTGCTAGCTCTTTTCAGCTTTCAGTGTTGCCTCCACCCATTTGCGGAGAACCCCGTTCATGGAGGAGGATAGGCTGTGACTTTGTTGTGTCAGGAAGGCTTGTGTAAGGCAGTAATGAGGAGAGTACTTGTTCTTTTTGATTGCCAACTGCTTTCAGTGCTTTCTTACCCAACACAACGGAAGACCTGCCGTCAGTTTGCTTCCTTCTCAGTCAGTGTGACTAAGAAATTGTTCAACAGTTCTAGATGTAATCTTTTTTTTTCTTTCATTAATCAGCATCTTTACCTTTTGGGGCTGATTTGTTTAATCTATCAGCGTTTGATTAAAACGCTTTCACATTCAAAATGGGGTTCCGTGAGTGCTGAGTTGCGTTATAAGGATGATATTATCAGTAGAAATTTGCTGACACACTTTTCACTTCAGTAGTGTGGTTTTGCTTGAAATGTGTCACTTGTGTGAACTGTTAACATTTAGGCAAATGTGATCTACTTTCAAAAGTTTTACTGTGGGGTTTAGAAAAAAAAGGTCAATAAATAGATCAAATGCAGATTAGCAGTGGAATAGAAAAGCAGCAGGTGCTGCTGACACGGGCTGTGAGGCAGACTGGTTTCAAACAGGACTGCTTGGCAAATTTTGACTTGTCATAGAAGGAGAACTTCTTTTACTTGTCACTGTAAAAAACCACAATAAACACAACCAGGACTTTCACCTGGCCTTCATGTGTGTGTGAGATGTCTGCTGGTAAAAATGTGTTGGTTGTAATTACTTATCTGTGATCTAATTATGTAATGACATTACAAGATAATTTATTTTAACTCTACAAATATCTACTATTATTTGATAAGATATACACATATAAATCTGTTGCAGCCACTAGAAATAAAGCCAATATTAAAGTATAATTGTACTGCATTTGAATTTTTGTTTTTTTAAACCATAGGAGTATAAATGTTGTTTGTTTGGACATTTCAGGTCCATTTGAAACTTTTACAAACTCTTTTTCACTTAATACAATCCAGAACCTTCTTCATTAAAGTTTTCTCCTTCTTTCAGGCAGCAAAGCTTTCAGTTTGAGTTCGGCCCCCCCTTCGAGTTTACTCAGAATAAGCAGTATAGAAAATGCGGTTAGGGATGATTAAGGCAATGCAGAAGACCAGGGGGTCAGCTTGGTGTTGAGGAGCCCAACAGCGTGGGCTAGAAGCTGCCCCCCAGCCTGGCAGATCTCACTCTGCAGATACTGTAGTATCTTCTATTGGGTGGCAGGAGGAAGAAAGCCCACAGGCAAGGCCTACACAGTGCACATCTTACAGGCACTTTGTAGATTGAGTCCTATGGTGTCTTTGGGGCTGATCATGTGGAAATTGTCATACCAGACAGTTATGCAGCTCCACATGGTGCCTCTGTGGTGCCTAGTTTGACTGGACATCAGTTGTGGCTCATGTAGCTTGCTAACTCTTGGACATAACTGACCTGCCTTTATAATATCTTGCAGCTAATGGTATGTTTCTCAATCTAAACTGATCTTGGGAAGAATTCCAGAGCAATTCTGCAACGTTTGAATTTCCCAACAATACAACAGTCTCTGTTATTCTTATGATTATCAGCAAGCTTTTCAGGGCTGGCTGTGAGGCTGAACTGCGTAATAAGGTGGTAGATATAAAGGTAACAACATGCCCAAATGACCATAAATGAGATGGAGAATTCCTGTAATGGGGATGGGTTATAGAGAGGCAACAACTTGTGCAACACTCCAGACTCAGATCAGATAATTTACCCATAATTCCCAATGTTGAGGAAATCTGGCACAGACCATCACCTCATTGACACCATCAGTGCTTTGTAGCATGCTGATATGAGGATGATTTTTTTCTGTAATGTGGGCTCGAAGACTGTATATAGGAATGCGAATGAGAAACACGACGAAAGCAGATTAGACAAGGTTTAAAATTAGTTTTATAGGTTTTGATCCTTTTACAGGAAATCCTGCGATGACACAGTCGGTGTCTGAACACTGAAGCCATTAGAGGCCAATTTAAACACAATTAAAGCCATTCATATGTAAAAAGAGATAGAGACTTTTAACAGAATGCTTTCCCAGTATTACTGGGTCATTCCCAGGTAGCCTCGAGGCATTCATTGCTTCCACACAGAGTCCTAAGAGGAGGATTGAAGTGTTCTCACCAAATAGATTGAAGTCTTAGATTAGGACTCTTTGGTCCAATGAGGGACATTATGTAAGAAATTATTTATCAGAAGATTATATTAGCTGCTTTACTTTGTTCTTTTGATTGAAATGAGCATCCCATAAGGGTTTTGTTTACTTTATGATCATGGAATATTGAATTTCAGTTTATAAGAAAATTTCATCAGTTCATTTTGGTCTGACATAATGAAAAAGAAAAAATGAAATCATAAGTCTTTAATTTCTCTGAATGCTCTGTGCAAAATCAGCTGCTGCTCTGTTAGACAGCCTGGGACTTCACATTTCTTATCTATGAGCTTTGGCCATCTCAAACTTTATCCATCCATTTTCTATAATACCTATCCCAGCTGACAACGGGTGAAAAGCGGGGTACACCCTGGACAGTCCATCGCAGAGTCACACAGAGACAAACAACCACACACGCTCACTATCACGTTTAGGGATAATTTAGAGCATACAATCTAACCTAACGTGAAGTTTTTGGAAGGTTGGAATAAGCCCAATTGATAACCCATATGGCAAATAAAGCTATAGACAAACTTTATTTAAAACTTTTAACCTTCCTCAGTTAAAGCAAATCTGTCAGCAGGAATGTAAACGTCACAGGGTTTGCTGGGTTTATCCCTCCATTTATGGCCATATCCATGGCCCCACACCCACTTCCATCATAGTGCATTTATTACGGCTGTTGATTTAGCACGAGACCCTAATCCTGCTTATGCTTCCAGATGAAAGGTTCAGGGTGGGATGTAGTGAAAGAATGTACAACTTGTTTGAATCCTTGTCAATTCAGTGATCATATGATCCATCTATGCCTTATTTTAACAGTTTTGCCCTCTTGGTGAACCATTACAAATGGGAGTAGATAAGTGGATAAAGCAGAGTCCCCCTTTTTACCATAGGTTTGTGCATTAAAATGTAACCCCTTTGTAAAACTTATCTTTCCAAAATGTCGAGAACAAAGGTCCACTTAATAGTGAATTTGTAGTAACATACAGGCCAAAGGGAGGAGGTCAATTTGATCCTGTTTAAGGGTGCGCCTTTGGCTAAATGGCGACAAATTAATTTTGGATGCTTGTGTCAAGAGGATGAAACGGCATTTTACGTTAGTCCGCTGTGTCATTAGCGTTACAAATTCATGCCTGGAATACTTACATGTAACATCTGAAAACGTTAAATAGAAGGCCCCCATACATGTCTTCTGCTCAAGATGTGTGAAAAAACTACTGAGAAGCTATCTTTCAGTTTCCACATAAGTAGTAAAGTATCATATACATAAATAAAAGGATTTTCCACAAAAATTGTGTTGCAAACATGGTTGTGTTTCTCCATTAAGTAGACGGGCAACGCAGGAAACATGACACTGAGTGTCACTTCCAACACCATTTTACGTTTTGTTTCTGCTTGTCTGTGCAGTGAGTGTTACAGTTAGTGTGCAGGCATTGTGAGCTCTGTATCACTTTAATAATGAGCTAAATTCACCTTTCATGGATCACCTGCAAAAGAGTCACACATTTGGCATTTGAACAGGGAATACAACATGAAGAGGAGAGGATGTCTCCCTCCTCTCCTCTTCATGTTGTTCGATTTATAAACAGCCTCGTCATTCGAAAGCTAAGCTGTCCTTGCAGGAAGCCAAAGCTTTGAGTACAAAGTATAAAATTAAGACTTATTTAGAGCCTTTTATAGTGTGATTTCAGATGTTATTTCTGTACCTAAATGTGGTTGTTATGCAGGGACTGTTCTAATCTGGTTAAAGAAAAAAAGAAAGCTTTTAAGTTCAATAGGAATGTGTGTAGTGGTAATTTGTGGGCTAGAAGAACTTGTTGCCCCTGAATTATTAGTGGCATTATTAAGCTACGGCTATTGTCAGCATTGAAGAGGATGCAGCACCCCGCTGTGCACGTTACTTTTCTGTAGTGCTGCTGCGTTTTGGGCTTCAGGAGTAAGCTTAGCTCACTTTTGCCCAAAACAAACTCTCCCCTCTTCTGACTAACTTTTCAGAAGGAGGCTCCTAAACTCTCACCAACAGCTTTTTAAAAAAAAGACAATATTTTAAAAACCTGTCTGCAAACAGCTTATAAGTAACTCTGAAGTCCTGCTGTTTGGGATGGAGATGATGGTCCGATTAATCATATCGGCTACTCTGAATATATCGGGCAGCTGTGCTTGTCAGTAGCTGTGGTCACACATCGCTGGCACGATGCATCCCTCCAATCTTGTCCTAGCTCTATGCTGTTTCTTACAGTGTCGCTGCCTGGAAAAAGATAGATATGACCTCTTTATTTCTTTCTAGAATTTGTTTGTTGGCTTACTTGTTTTGTTTGTGTTTCAGAAATAACGGACTCACTATGTCTGATGGGGACTACGATTACCTCATCAAATTCCTAGCCTTAGGTGACTCTGGCGTGGGAAAAACAAGCTTTCTATACCAGTACACGGATGCCAAGTTCAACTCCAAGTTCATCACTACAGTTGGAATAGACTTCAGAGAAAAAAGAGTGGTAAGGCTGGACATTTTTCTTTCGCCAGCTTTGAAATAGTGGGGCTTTCCTTCATTACTCAGGGATTTAGCTCCAAACGTGTGATGTAACATTCCCATGTTAGCTGTTTTATTTAGGGCTTAAGTGCTTTCCCGCAGCCCCTTAGTAATACTCTGTTCACAAAAGACTCCTGTTGGATGTTGCCACAGAACTGAGATAGGACTTACGGTAGTGAGTGGCAGGCAGCACCCTCCTTAAGAATAAATACTTCATGCCATTGGCAAACAGCTGAGTGGCGTTCATATTTACTCTGTGCTTTAATGGTGCTTCGCTCTAACAATGTAGCCTAGTTTCCGAATAATTATTTGTTGTGATCCTCGTTCAAAGAGTGAAAGATCAATTAATGCCATTTTGAATGTTTTTGAATGTCTTTAATGCCTCTTGTTTTAATGACGTGTTAGATGAAAACATGCTGTTCAGTGTGCACAGGCATGCAGCATTAAGCAGGAACAAGCAGCTAGATTACTGACTTACAGTCAGCGGGTTAGGCAGCGTGTTGAAACAGGTATGTTCAACGCAGGTCAGGCCAGTTAAACTCCCTCACATTTCCTGGAGCAACACGTTTATCTTTCATTCTCTATCACTGTTCTGTGTTTAGACCAGGATCCAAAAATTAACACACCACCAGGGAGACAAGTGAGCACCAAACCAAGACAATATGAAAGGGAGGCACTACAATGTATTCTACAAGCAAAACTTTAGCAAAAATGCATCCAGTTTAGCATTTAATCAGGTTCAGATAATCGCCTCATCTTAGTTACCTGTTGTGTGGGGGGAAAAAAGGAATGTTTCCTGGTTTTATTGCACATAAGTGTAGTAGATTCAGACAAATGAAATGCAGACCTGGTTTTTCCTTTTCATTCAGGTATACAAATCTACGGGTCCAGATGGGACTTCAGGAAGGAGGCAGAAGATCCACATGCAGCTGTGGGACACCGCTGGACAGGAGAGGTCAGATAACGTTTCACCTGCTTCTAAAGGTTAAATTAAGTGATTGTATTCCCAACCCCTAAAAATTTCAGGTTCCGAAGTTTGACGACAGCTTTTTTTCGTGATGCAATGGGTTTCCTCCTCCTGTTTGATCTCACCAATGAGCAAAGTTTCCTCAACGTCAGAAACTGGATGAGTATGTCTCAAATCAGTATGTCTCAGCAAACAGCAGTTAAGATCTTTGCAGACATGTAATGAAAACTATATGTATATACATATATCATTCAGTGAGGACGTTTGCAATACACTTGTTCGACCCAGAGAATGACCATCTTTTGAACAGGACAAAAAGAATAACAGATTGGTGGGTCTCTCAGGTCAGTTACAGATTCACGCATACTGTGAAAATCCAGATGTCGTCCTGTGTGGCAACAAATGTGACCTGGCAGATCAGAGAGCGGTCAGCGAAGACGAGGCCCGTGAACTGTCAGAGAAATATGGGTACGTCGGTCCCTGTTTGAGCCATCGCTGCATAAACTGCCCACAAACATTTGACAAGAAGGCAGTGGCAGCAGTGTTTGCCCTCATCTGGTCCGGAGACTGTAAGATTATATCAGTCCTCCTCGAAAAGCAAATATTTGTTCAAATGTGTAAGATATCCTGCTCGGTTCCCATTAGACACACCTTTACAGGGAGCACAGCTACATTACAGCAGCTTATCAGATCTTATAAATGCCTTCACAGTAAGAATGTCTCCTTGAACACTGCTGTATGTACACCTAAAAGAGTTGTGATCACCCTGTGTCATGACACATATACTTATTATTTTTGAGTTTTTACCAGCATGCGGTGTGATAAAAGCAGAAAAAGCATGCCAGTTGTACTAAAAACGGAAACAAACTCTCTCGAAAACCTCGATTTTGTGTCCTTGCAGAATCCCATACTTTGAGACAAGTGCGGCAAACGGACAGAACGTCAACGAGGCGGTGGATGTTCTGCTGGATCTGATCATGAAAAGGATGGAGCGGTGTGTAGACAAGTCCTGGATCCCAGACGGGACAGTCAGAGCTAATGGACCCACCAGCCAAGACCTCTCTGAGGGCTCAGACAGAGGCAAATGTGCATGTTAGAATGAATTTACATCACCCATCTGTATTTCACACAATATTTACGGGGGAAAAAAGAGAAACGTCCAAGTAAACATTACACTCTGTATTAACTAAATCCTCATTGTCACCAGTGTCTGTGCTTTGGGCCCAACAGGGTTGCAGACTCTCCCTCCATGACACCCCTAATAATTTGTCAGTATAGTGGTTTTATTGAATCGAGGCAACTTATTTGGACACAAGGCTTTGGAGTATTGAATTCACCTAGGATATTTATTTCTTCTGAAGCCTAGCATTTATTTCCGATTTTGATAATCACTTTATTAGAGCTGCTCAGATTTTCAGCAGCACAAAATCATGACCTAGGATGTCACATGAGATATATTGTTAACTTTTATAAGGAAAGCATTAGGTAATAGGTCTTTTTGTAGGAACTCACCACTTATGTGCTAGTGTTACTTTAGACACTGAATGTCTCTTAAAAACCTGCAATCTCACGACAGCCAGTGAAATGTAGCTCCAACTGACCATTCAGCATCAGCTGCATGGATAGTCGACACTGGCAAGTTTTTTCTTTTTCTTTTTTCTCCGTGCATCTCTTTGACTGTAAAAAACGCTTTGCTTTTTGTGCAGTTTCATGCAGTTGTTATCCTAGTCATTGATATTGCTTTCTTAACAAGTACAGATATGCAATAAAAAAGTTAGACAGCGGAGTAACTCAGGAACCCTGTTAATTCAGGTGCTGTAAACTATGAACAGATACAGAATGGAGGAAACAAATTTCAAGCTGTTTGGCTGACTGCATCACTCAAATCTTTATCAATTTTGTATATTTTTCTTTAAGTCCATGCTTCATGTAAAAAATAAATAAATATTTTAAAAAATTATCCCACATTATGATAAATTATGTGTGAGGTAATTTATTTGTTAAGCTGCCCTGTTTTTCTTTTCTTTTTCTCTTTTTTTCTTTTTCATCAAAAAAGCACAAAACACAACACTGTTGTACTCAATTCAAATTGATGTCAAATTAAAATGACGCTTCATAACATTATTTTAGCTTCTAATAGGACTAATTGTTTGCCGGAATTTTATATAGAGCATTTGTAATAAGGTTGTAGCAAATTTTTAATATGTTTTAGGATTATATTAAAAGAAAAGTGTGACAGATGTCAGAAATGTTCTTTACATTTTTAAACGGAAACTGCTCTGCTGATGATTCAACTTTTTCAACGGGTTGCTAAATAAATGTATTCTTGAAACTGGTAAGTCTGCTACTCTGGAAAACCTTTGCAGTAATTTGGTATTAATATATATTTAAAAACATTTAAATGAATTTAATTACTCTGATGCTTTATAAAAGGAATAAAACAATGGAATACCACTTTTTAACAGTTTCACATTCAACACAATGTATTACACCCCGTTAAACAATTTCCTTTGAAAGAGGCTGGTTGGGATATTTTTATGGCCCAACCATATATCTTCAATATCACAGTTTGATTATGCAAATTGAAATATTTAAAATCTGTTACATCTGAACCATATAAGAGACTGAAATATATCATGGTGTCCGTTGTTACGCTAATGTGTAAATTATTTCCAAAATAAACATTTGTACTTATGTACGACTTTAAAGGTGTTTATTGTACTCAGTTATTCAAACCTGCAGCTGAGGCAAGATCCTCTATAGACTCACATGGGAATGAAAATCAAACCTATTGCTGTGTTTGCACTTTATTGACACGGCTGTAAAATATATGGACGCTTACCAATAAGGTGGGTAATATTGTTCAGGATCGCTGTCCCTGCAGTTCCCTCTGTGGCCGGTGGGTGGCAGCACTCCAGCTTCGTAATTCTCCGCCTATGTGTTTGTGAGAAGAAGAAGAAGCGCCAGCTGAACCCAAACAGACAGGGCGTAGCAGGAGCAATCAGGTATCATTTCTGGTTTTACGTTTATTTCCTGAAAGAGGCCACTTCTAAGTTTCGTTATCATCTTAAACTGTCACGGGTTAACTTGACCACTTAATACACACGCTGTGTTTTTTTAAAATCTCAAATAGATAGGTTTTATGGCCACAGCATAGATTTTGTTGTTGGTACAGAAAGTTACAACCATCACTTGGCTCTAAATGGTGCAGATGAGTTATTTGCCCTCTCACCAACACAATACTGTTGGTAGTTAGCTAACGTTTCTTAACCAAACTATAATAAAAGTTACGCTGTCTGAGTTGTATTGAAACCTTATAAAAAAAGAAGTGCAAATGGTCTTTTCGTTTTAAATAAAAGCGAAACTTTAATTGTGCATCGTTATTGATGTCATAAACTGCTTATCAAAATCAGATTATATGTAACTGATTTGCTGCTGATAATTGAAGTGAAACTACAGTAAAACTATGCAAGTTATGTGTAGAATCTACAGACACATGAGCTGTTTGCCTTGTGTTGAAATGGGTACGTTACTGCGAAGAGTTTTAATACACAAACGGAAACAATCCTCTGAAAACAGTCAAAACTCTTTTACTGAGGTGAAAACTCTATGTTTGCATGATGATATCAGTGTTTGCATCCAAGTGTGTGTGGGGGACCCACATTTTTTACTTATTTAAGCAAAGCACCAGGTTTTATTTGGGGGGGAAAGGAAGGACCATCTATATAAGATGGTGAGGATGGATTTCTAATCATTTGCATTTGTGTGCTCCCTCCTGCAGAATGCCTTTCCAATTTTGTCCCCAGTGCGGTGTGAGGCTGCGTCCTGATTTCCGATATTGTCCATCGTGTGGAAAAAAACTGCCCTGCTCTGCTGACGAATCTGGACCCCACGAAGAAACAGCAGCACCTGCAGTTACAGCAAGCCCAGCTTTAAGCACGAGTTTTGAGCAAACACAAAACACAGGTGAATGTCTTAGATTTATCTAAGAGGATTTTTTGTGGTCATAGAACCATTTAGTCCACCGTTCATTGATTTATTGCTTCAACCTCAGTTTCCCCCCGTCCTGCACTGCGAAAGGCCAGAAACGCCCTGCGACCGGACAGAGCAGTGAAGTTCAGTGTCACAGATGATCTGAGTTCCTCCCCTCCGGTCGAAGATGAGAAGACTGAAGGTGATCAAAAGGCTCTGGGTGGAGTTTAAAGCTGCGATTCATGCAGTTACATGAACAGTGTGAAATGTCTGTGTCATTAGTCCGTGTTAGAGGTTCGAATTTAAACTCACTAAACTGCACTTTTCTGCAATTTTCTTCACCGTTTTAAAATGTTGCGATTAATTAGAACAAGTTAGACATGGCAGCATGAAGCATCCGGTAAATCTACTGCTTTAAAGCCTCATATGAAAGGTTGTGATGTTCATCATCAGATGTACATGGAGGGTGTCGGGTGTCGCCATCAAAGCAGCACACAGTGGCTGTCAAAGCCAGAGCGGAGGTAGAGCCCCCGTCAGCGTCTTCATCAGCGCCTGCTGTAAAATCCCCCCGACCTGGTGAGCACAAACCCCGTCTGCTGTCCACTCAACACATACGCTGGACTCATCTTTGCTGCCCTGTTTTATTTTTTCGTGGGTAGTCAGGGGAAAAGCAAAACTCTGCAGCCCCATAAAGAAAGCAGAAGAAGAGGATCAGAGCCCGTCTGATAAAACAGCCGGTGTGACGCAGGGATCAGCGGTGGACGGCTCTGTCTCCTCACCCATCACCAAATCTCCTGTAAAAGGTCTATATTTGATTTTTTTTTTTCAGTGTAGTCATACTTATTTGTGTCCTCTTTCTGTTGGTCTTTTTCATATTGCAGCTTTTCTTTTAATTAGGCTGTATCTCGTTGATTTTCTGAGGATGCTGAAGTCGAGGCTTTCTTTTAGAGAAGAAGTTGCTGCTTTAAGGCTAAATTCTGATTCCTCAGCTTGTGACTTTTTGTCTGGTTCTCTTCAGTCTTTCTTAAAACTATGGATCCTAAAAATGTGTTTATTCTAACCTGCACAGCATTGCTTATGTTAACTTTTAAACCACAAAGCAGGACGCTTGAATATCACTGCTGAATGTGATTGATTTTTTCTCCCGTATGATTACCGGACTTTGGTCTGTTTTTGTGATTTGTGCAGCTACAGGGCGAAGCAAAGCCAAGAAAGCGAGGCTTTCGTCTGCAGTGGAGCCGCTGCAGGACGGCGAGGAGGTGACGGACAAGATGGGCAAGAGGTGGAAGCTGGCAAAGCTGCTCAGTCAGAGCTCGACAGAGCTCCTCTACGAAGGTGAGAGGTGCCGTGCTGTGCTCCCACTCTGCCACTGTAAGCTGTTAAACCAGCTTAGGTGGTTTAGTGGTTCATGAGGCCAAACTTTAGTTTTGATCACACTATTTAGAGAGTCTTACAGAGTCTTGTTTTTCAGTATTTGCTAAAGCAGACTTTGTAACCGCAGTGGTTTTGATCAAAGTTTCTGAATACAGCCACATATAGCAGCTGATTCATAATTTATGCTCATAACAGGAAAATGTTTTTTGAGTATTACTTTGTGCATTTCAGTCTCACAGTCCTCATCCAGTGAAGCGGATCACATCCTCAAACTGGTCAGTGCCATCGCCCGTTTTCCATTGAAAAAGCAAAGTCTTTGTATACTCTTGTTGAAATGCCTCCATGTATAAATATCCCTCATTTATACTCAGTTACTCCAATGCTTAATTTATTCTTGGTCTCCTGTATTTTACCGCCTCTTTTTAAAAAAAAAAATTCCCTGCATAATAGCACATGATTGAATGTCTCTTACATCCTAGGGAGCAAAAGATGGACGAATCTTCAATGAGCAGAACTTTCTTCAGAGAGCAGCTAAGCCTGCATCTGGTGAGGATTCAGTGTCATGTCTTTAAGTGTCTACCAGGTTTAGTCTTCAGAAACAAGCATGGCACCTTTTATTGAGAGCGGAGGATTTTAACGCAGATGATTTGTTTCTTGCTGATTCTGTCAGGATAAGGTGCGGGAGTGTGATGTTACATGATGACACGCTTATTTATTGTCTCCTTAGTGGTTAAGTGGATCAAGCAAAACAAGATGGACTTCCTGGGGATTCCTGCCTGCGTCGGTTTTGGTCTTCATGCAGATTCATACAGGTGTGCTTTAAATCTGCTTGTATTACCACGTTCTGTGACTTTCGAAATGAGCCCTGATCTTTTCCTTTATCTGTAAATGTAGATTTCTTATTTTCCCCGACATGGGCCGCTCCCTGCACTCAGTCTTCGAGGAAGAAAAAGAGCTTCTGTCTGAGAAAGTTGTGCTTCAGCTGGCCTGTAGAATTGTGAGACGCTCTTTCTTTCTCTTGGGGCCCCATTAGTAAAACATGATGTTACCACGTCCCAACTGCAGCTCTTCTTTCTCTTTACAGCTGGATGCGCTGGAGTTCATCCACTCCAATGAGTATGTCCATGCGGATATAAATGCTGAAAACATCTTCATCAAACCAGGACAGAAATCCCAGGTGTGAAATATTTAATAAAGCACAATCTCAACTCTGAACAGCCTCACTGAGAGGAGAAAGGGCTCCAAACCAAGAATATGTTCAAAACCACAAACTAATTCACCATGATTCTATTATGTTATGTTATATTATGTTCTGACAAACAAAAAAGTGTGAAAAAACAGCAACAGATATTATATCCCCCCAAAATATTGTTATTGCAGATTAAAGATAAAGCAATAAAAAGGATATAGAAATATAACATAACTTGATTTGATATAATATAAAAATGTTCTTGTATTTTCAAATGCTGTTTCCTCTTTTGTTTTTGTTGTACACCAGCAGCACCTGTTGGTGTCTCATAAAGTCAGTTATTTTTTTGTTTCAGGTGTATCTGGCAGGATATGGCCATGCCTTCAGATACTGTCCGGGAGGGCATCATGTGGAGTACCGGGAAGCCAGCAGAACCTCTCACGAGGGCGCTGTGGAGTTCATCAGTCTGGATGTGCACAAGGGAGCAGGTGTGTTTCCTCTCTAGACGCTCCCATCAGGGTCAGCAAACAGGGCATCGCTTTCTAAAAGTTACTGTAAACAAAAGCTCTTTAGCCTCGCCTAATGAGCTTTAGGGTTTTGTTTTTTTCTCCATTTGCAGACACTCTTTCTCGTGTGAAATAGGACAAAACAAGCTGACAGAGCAGCTGAGCTGTGCTGTGCTGTTCGGGTGTGTGAGGATAAAATGTGGCCATGCCTTTGTTGTGTTTCAGCTCCGTCTCGCCGCAGTGACTTGCAGTCTCTGGGCTACTGCATGCTGCACTGGCTCACTGGGGCTCTGCCGTGGAGCCAGCAAGCTCAACCCGCCCAGGTGGCCACCCAGAAACAGAAGTAAGTCAGATCATCTGCGCCAACGTTCACACAATTGAAGCTCAAAGTTGTTCTAAATGTCTGCCTGTGAAGCTTTAAGCTTTGCAAGACAAAAAAAGTCTGCGAACGTTTCAAAGTGAAGCTCTCTCCCCTGCAGGTACATGGAGGACGTCAAAGGCCTGTTGAGCCAATGTTTTGGGAGAAAAAGCGTTTCAGGTGGGTTGAAATGAAATGCTCCTCCGTAACCTTTAGTGTCAGCTCACACTAAATGCTAATCCGAGGCTCTTTGTCTCGGCACAGGCGCTTTTCAAAACTACCTGACGGCAGCGATGGGCCTGCAGTACACGGAGGAGCCGGACTACGGTGCGCTGAGCGAGGGCCTGAGCGGCGCCCTGCAGCAGCTGGGGGGGGCGGTGGAGCTGCCGCTCAGTTTGTGGTGAGAGCTCTCTGTTCCTCACCTCATGCAGCCCTGCGCATCAGTTGAGAAAGTTTAACACCTCCAGATTTTTTAGAGGGTGTCGGCTTGTGCTTCGCAAGTCGGATTGTTTTTTGTGTTTGTTTTTTTTAATAATCCTGAGGTAACTCAAGTTGTCACGATGTTAGCGGCGTCTGCAGAGGCTTCAGTTGTTCCCACCCCACACGCAGACTGTTGCACCGGCTTTTATATCAGCCCCGCCAATTACAGATGCCAAACATCTGTTCGTTGGAGTTTTACGAAGTTTCACAAAAGTAAATCTCCTTTTAGCTTCCTTTTAACTGTCTAGTAGTTCAGTGTGCTAACAGAAGAGCAGTCTGCATGTCCGGTGGCAACTTGAGAGATTAAAACAATCTAAAACTGTTAGAGAGGTGGAAATGACACTCTGACTGAGAATATAGGACAGAAACTGATTTAAACCTTTTGAGTGATTATAATTTATATCGTTCTTCTATTGTTGTTGCTCACTGAAATTGGGCCATAAGACGACTGGATCGAATTTTTACTTGATTTTAATCTGCTGTGTTTTTATGATTATCACTGAAGTTCAGTTTGTGCTGACGACACACCAGGTTTGGGTGAGGTCCTCATTTCAAGCGTTCGTTGTATTTCATAAAGGACAAACTAATGTTCTGTTCTGCACAGGTTCTGGGAAAATTGGACTCTTAGCTGGTTAAACATGTCACATTGTTGTTACTGTGCTGCATTTTTATTTCCTGTGAATGTACAAAGAAAGAAAGACTGATAATGCATTTCTTTTAAGCTTCAACACAGTTGAAACACTGCCCTAAAATGAGTCAGCACAAAGATGTGGATTACAACAAATAAAAATATGTATTTTTCACTTGCAGGGTCGACTCATTTTCCTTGACTTCCACTGTTTTACACGGAGGGGAAAAAAAACAGCCGATCTGGCCAGCTGATTTATTCTACACAGAGGCACGTTCATTTTAAAGAAACCTTTATAAAGTTTAAACATTTCTGAACATAAAACATTTTAACATTTCAAGACATATACATTTCTTAATATGAAACAGTAAATATCTCTTGTTGTGCACACTCTTAAAGTGGTTCAGAAAATAAACACTGTTTTCGTCTGCCGGATCTCCCGTCATGGCATCTAAAACCTTTAACATCTGTCACTTGAGGCACTTTCTGAATGAAGAGGCTTTTAAACACTTAAAAGCACAACAATGAAAGACTACAGCGCCCCCGTGAGGCAGCTTTTTGACACAGTTACAGACTGGGTGGCTTCCTCGGGGCACAGCCTAGCTTACACACTTAAACTGATCAGTTGAGCGTTTTAAACACATGCTGGCAGCATGAGGCAGCTACACATGCAGGTTTCCATGTTTGTTTAAAGAAAAGGACTAAGATGGTGGTTTATATTCATCTCTTATATAACATGTCCGTTCAGCTCACACGCCTGGTACAGACTGAAATGAAAAGGATCTTAAAGGAGAAGATCCTCTTTGTTTTCAGGGTACATTCCTGGTTTGGAAGTTACTTCTTGTCCTCAGATAAACATCACATGCTCATGAAGTCCTTCCTCTGACAATGAAATCGCTTTGGGCTGTACACAGATTTAACACTGAAATTTTGAAGCTCGGTAGATTTTCATACACAGACACTGCTGCTTTTGGGGATTTTGAATGAAACCTGGGAACCGAATGCTTCTCTGTATATAAAAGCAAAAAGACTGAACTCATCAAACCGCTTTAAAGAAAACTGCACTAATAAACTCTGAAACAAGGCCGCTTTTATCTGTTCCTGAAATGTTTTTGGACACAGGATTTTTCACATGACAGGAGCAGTTGGTGAGATTGTAAACTTTAGTGGTGTCCCACTTTAACCCAGGCAATCTGATGGAGTGGGTGCTAAGGGACGGCTGCCGTTGAGAGGGTGGGTGTCGGTGGGTGTTTTCTGTTGGGCTTGAGGAACCTCCAGGTTTATCGTTCGCGGTAAACAAGGCAGAAATGAGCACAAACTCCACACTGGTGGATAAGCTTGTTTGTCTGAGCATTAAGTGGAACATCCTCAAGGCCTCCATTTCAGCAATGTGAGGGAGAAATGGCACCGGTTTGTCACGGAGGGAAATAAAAACCGTTAGCTGTGCTCCCACTGAGTCATTGGAGGACAGCATTGCCCAGCTGGCTGGGAGTGGATGGACGCTCTTGCTGTTCGGTTTCCTCTCCTGAAAGATTAACGCGGACACGTTAAACCTCTGCAATCACATGACTGATTACCACATCTGCTCAGAGGCATGCTCCTCTCACCGTCCTCTTCGTCTCCCTTTTCCTTGCAGTGCTCTTCTTTCTCCTCAGGAATGTCCACCTGACCCAAATCCAGCAGATCATCCACGTTTGAGTCCTTAAAAAAAAGAAGCCTTTAAATCACCCTCTTTTAAAGGTTAAAAACAGCCACGGTAGCCGGGTTATGACATGAGGCTGTTCACCTGTGATTCAGAGAAACGATCTTCATCCGAGTTCCTGAATCCTTCTGGAGCTTCCATCAGGATCTCCAGACCATCTGCCTCCTCTTCATCACAGCTGAAAGGTAAAAAAAACATCTATGTGAGGCAACATAGATGGTAGATGTTTTTCGAGCTCCACCCTGCAGTGGCTTCACACTTGGGTGAATATTCCCACTGTGCACGTCTTCAGTTTGTGTGCACTTTTCTACCGCTCAGCCTTGTGGTCACATTAAGTAGCACACAATTAATAAGCTTTTACGTCAGCCCTGCAGAAATCCTTGGTTAAACATATGAGAAATGTCTAACATTTGTGACAATTCACACCCACTGAGCTGGTAAGTGAGAGAAACAATCAATCACATAATATTGCATCATTTAATAGAATGATTTCCAACTTTTATTAGGAACAACTGGCCTGTTTGGTGCTGGACTAAACTGTGCACAGAGGTAGTCTTTCATAGACAAATGGTAACGAAATGTTCCTTAAAGAATTTTCTGATTGATAAAAAGACACGTTTTTGCAGATATTAAACTATATATATACCTTGATCCAGCACTTTTTATCAATGCTTTTGACTTCATCCTGTTTTTCCTTGGCTAATCACAATCCTTTATTAAGCCTTAGTTAGCTGGTACCACTGTGATTCTGATATTACGGTGGACTCCTCATTTTGTGGCATTATTTTAAGAAAGTCTGCTGAGAGAAACATCTGCTATTAAATCATTATTAGCTAGTCTGTAGCTAAAATTAATTCAGAGTAATACTAAACTAAAGCCAAAAGCGAACTGAGCAGAACAACTGAACCAACCATAAAGCTCAGAGAAGAGCTGCTCTGCTATGTAGGTTCATTCCACATATTGATTTGTTATATACTGGTATAAAAATATTTGGTTACATTTCTGATTGATCAAATAGAGAATTGTAGGGGGAGGCAGCCATCTTGGAAATATGTGGTGGTTTTCGGAAAATTTTTGTGCAGTGGAGACTGACCTCCCTTCAGAGCACAAGTGCTCCGGTTTCTTTTCTTCTTCCTCCATTCTCTCCTCCTCCTCTGTTTTATTTTGGTCCTCTTCACATTTGCCCTCCGGCTCTTCTTTTTCCTCTTTTTCCTCCTTTTCATGCTGCTCTTCGTCACCTTCATCAATATCGGAGTAGTTGAGAAAGTCGAAGCTCTCGAGGGCAGTCTCCACCTCCTGAGTGAAGCTGGCCGAGGCGGGAAAAGGAGCCTGAGGAGAAACAAATGGGCAGACAGATTTAAAAAAAGAAAAAGAAATGACAAATCCCCACACGAGCCTTCGCACAAACCCGCTGAATTTCTTCTCTAGCTCACCGCTGGAGTGTCCTCCTGTCGCTTTAGGTCCTGGACGGAATGAAGGGGCTCACTTTGCTCCACCGCGTGTCTTTCTGCAGCTTCACCGGGGCCCTCCTCTTTTTCTGCCTCTTTCAATGCCTCCTCTGGTGGATCACCGTTTGCCTCTGAGGCTGAAAGCTCAGCGCTCTGGGCTGCAGAGGAGTCCTCGGGGCAGGAGCAGCAGATTTCTGCTGAGGTCTCAGAGCCCAGCTCCTCCGACTGGACCGAGACCCTGTCGGCCGCAGCACAGTCCGAGCTCCTCGCCGCGCTCTGAGAGCAGGAAGTCTGCAGGTGGCCGTTGGGCACCGCGTCCGTCGGAGGGAAAACCTCCCCGCCCTCGGTTTCGTCCTCCTCCTGGTTGGACGACAGCGAGGGCGTGGAAGCGCTGGACTTGTGCGGTGCGAGCGACAGCTGAGTGGTCAGAGTGGTTTGCAGCATGTTGGAGGCTGTCAGCCTCTGAGTGTGGTGGGCCAGCGCCGGGCTGGAGGAGTCGTCAGAGGATTCGGAGGAGTTGGACCACACAGTTCCGTTCTCCATCTCTCCCTGGCGCTTCAGTAGGGACTGGAGAGCGAGAGAGAATGGTTAAGTGAGCACAGCTTTAGCAGGAAAATACAGTCAAAGATAAACACTGACTGGGTTACTCATTTCTGATGTTTGGCTGAATTTGGGAGGAAATGTGCACCGAAGATCCATCACAATCAGAACGGGAGTCGTGTGCAGGACAGTTTACAGAGGTCAGCAGAGTCTAAATTCCATTTTATTTGCCTGACTGTGCTGATTCTCTGGAGTTTATATGCATGAATAATAGAGGAATAGCTCTTTCACAAATCTCTCTCTCATTAAAGCCTTGAAATGTTCAGGTTTTGCCTTGATTTCTTTCTGTTCAGACTGTGGCAGAGTTTAAATGTTTAAAAAATCCTGCTGGCAGAAACTGATCCACTGAGTCTGTGCGATAGAGCGGCTCTATATATTGAACGAAAGCAGTGTGAATGAAGACGTGTGGCGTTCAGTGTCTGTAGGCTCAGAGGTCAGTAGCTGTAGGCAGATAAAGAAGGTTTACGCTGTCCTTCTGCTTATGTGGATGTTTAGTGCAGATTTCAAGCTTTAAAGAGTCAAAGGAAGGTGAAGTTTGGCAAAGCAGCTCTGACGTCAGGATTTTCCTGTCGTGCGCTGTTATTTCTCTCTGGTGCGACGGCGGCCAGCTAAACTACGGCTACGACTACGTCCCAACACACCGGCTGTGATGAAACAAAGTGTGCCTTTGCACGGCTGAGCTCCCATCGCAGGGACGCCGCCTTGTCCGTCGCGGCGCCGTGGAAAGTCCCCACCAGCGGGCGGCTCCGCCTGGGCCCACTGCGAGGCACACTCTTCGTCGGGGTGAGGAAGAGGAGGGACACATTGGAGCGCTACTCAACCACTATTAAACAGCTACACGGGCCGCAGCTCTGCTCGTACAAGCTGCTGCCGCACAGCCCTGGGCTGCTCACACTGCCACCTGTGCTAGCACACAGCCCTGTGCGCACCTCCTCACACACACCGGTGCTACCGCTACACACAAAACAGTTGGAGAGCCGCTGAAACAGATCAAGCCAGTGAGATGACAGTAATGACAGTCGTGAGTGAGATGGCTCTCCGGAGGGCTGTATTAGTGAGAGCTGCCCGTGCCGGCAGAGAGTGCGGTCGAGCTGTTTCAGTGGAAAACACTGGAGACAAACACGTCTGATGTGACTCACATAGAACACCTGCTCTCGCATGGACGGCGTGTCTGGAGGGCTCTGATTGGACAGCAGCCGCTTGGAAACGGTACTGCACGATGATGTCTGGTCATCCTTATCAAATGGACTAAAAAAAAAAGTAAACAGACAGAGAGAGATTTTATACTTTTTATACTATGAGAAAGGTAAAGTGGGCGGAGAGGCGCTAGGGTTGTGGGCGGACGTACCTCCAGGTGACTTCCAGGTTCAGTTTCACCGTCCCCAGGTCGTTGATGTCCACGGCGAGCGTCTGGGGGAGCGGGCAGAACAGGTCCAGCATTTCGCAGGACACGCTGCCCACCACCACGTGATTGGCCAGGCTCTTAAGCTCCGTAACCTTGACAACAACGAGAAGCAGGTCTCAGACATGGGGACTAAAACGGGTGGCTGCAGCGTGGAGCCGCGGCTGAGGATGCGTTCTCCAAATGTGTGGCATTCCCAGGGCAATGGGAGACTTTTCCGGGTTATTTCACTGTACTGTGAATGATGTAATTATGTGAACGCGTCGGCTCTGTTTTGTTACAGAGAGGAGAAAGCCTGGGAGACTATTTTTAGAAGGGAAGCTCTTTGCACAGCAAAGTCTGCGTCAAGATGCTCAGATCAGTAAAACAAGAGAAGTTACATTCAGACTATGACTTTTTAGGTAATCAGAAGGACAGCTCGCTGCACGATGGAAGTCAGACCATTTTTCACATGAACTGTTGGACAGTAACTGACAACAATCACGTATCTGTTCTGTCTCAACCTGAGCTGTGTGCTCTCTTTAAAGTGTCCCGGTTTGAGTTTCATGGCGTCTTTTTCTTCTCTCTTTAGAAAACAAAAATCCCCTAGAAGTATCCTCACTGACAGGGCAAAACTCCTCTTTTCAACATGTTCCTTAACCACAATAAAGACAAATACCCGCCTGCTGTTCCTACAAATGTAAAACTGTCTTAGAAAATACCACTAGAGCTTGATCTGGAAAATTCAATAACATAATTTAAAAAACAAACACTTTATTCATCCCTTGGGGAAGTTCTATAAATCTATTTCATTTTTAAACATCTGCATGTTTAAATGGAAACATGTGGGGGTGGGGGGAGGGGGCAGGGGTACTGTCTCTTGAAACTGCTGATAAAGAGAAATTACCCTTGGCACGTTTCCTCTTAAAAACAAGCCAAAAAATGATGGTGATACTTTTCTTAAAAGGTCTGCTGTGATTGGTCTGCTGCCTGGGCGTAAGCAGGCACTGCCTACCAATCTTTATGGTGTGATAAAGCCATACTCAGACATGAGATAAGAAACACAAATGCCTGCATTTGTTTAAGCGATACCACTGAACCATTCACATGTTAATATTCCCCAATCCTCATCAATCTCTGTGAAAGACTCAGGAAGAGCCCTGCTCTGCATGGAGCCGGACATGGAGGGAGGGTTTTCCTTTTTGTAAAGAAAAAACAGGAATAGGAACCCCAACAAATGGTATACATCTGTTTGAGTTGTTTTTTGGCATGCAGTTTACAGACATTTAGAAACCTCTGCTAAGAACACATTTATTCAGTTTTCTGTCCTTCATTTGACCGGACAGCTGAGGAAAAACCAGCTGAGCTTCCCGTGATCTTTGGGATTCCTCTGAACAGCTATGTCAGATTAACCCACCGCCACCACGCTGGTTAACACGCGTGTGCCGTGTTGAAAGCGACATGTGAAGGTAAGCGCTCAGCCAAATCCCAGCCAGACAGCCGTCACAACATGGAACAGAAAAGCAGCAGGCTGGTGGACAGAGGAGCAGGTGTGAACGAGGAAAAGGAAGGTCTTAGTCACCCAGTTCCTCTGCGTTGGATTTTTTCAGGTTCAATCTGTCACCTCATTGTCAAAATACATTTGTCCTCACTTTTCTGCATCACTGCAGTCATCCAATAAACGACAGCCAATGGGCTCACAACCAGTGGGCTTATTTCCATCCTTATTCTTTCACTTTTTTTTTTCATCGGGCATTCTGGGGCTACATCACCACCAGCCTCTGCTGGCTCTACCCTGTAGAGTCTACTACAGGAACCTGCTCACGGCCTCCTCTTTTTGCAAGGCCTTTGTTTCCCCTGCCATTATTTCTGGTTTTAATTCTTCTTTCCTTGCTGAAGTCAAATGACAATCTCAGAAATCTGTTTCACCTAACACTAACTTAGTCGGAATTATTTGCAATTTTTTAAATGTTTTCCAGATAATTGATAAAATACCATCAAGAACGCTTACGAAACCACCTTTTTGTAATTGGTAAGAAAGACACTCACAAAAAAATAATGAATAGTGTGAGATATATCAAATTTGTTGCTCTGGAACTTGGAAAGTTGGCTTCACTACCTTGATTGATAGAAGCTCAGTGACGAGAGGCAGGAAAATGTACTCGTCGCTGTCCCACATCTGCTTGTTGCTGACTTCCACGCGGCCCCGGAGCCTCCAGCGTTGCCGCCCATAGCGCATCAGGACCTAACGGGGCCAAAAATAGTCGAGGAGAGAATGCAGAAGATCAAAAGGGAAAAAAGGGAAGTGTCTCACTGTTTGTGTTTCCCTTACTTCATACTGGTCACCAGCGCACAGACGCGCAAATCCGGCTAGGCCTGAAACATCAGAGATCAGCAGAAAAATCACAACTGGACTGAGAGGACAGTGCGACAAACAGGAAGTCACATCAGCAAGGAGAGTGACTCACCCTTCATCTTGACATGAAATTCTCCCATATGGCTCTCCAGCTCGTTCTCTAGAGAACACATGTGCTGCAGAGACAAACAGAATATGGATAAGAAGTTTACACCTTCATTCCCTCTTCAAATTGTCTGTTTATACTGAATACCTTTGATTATTACAATGTAACTAAATAAGCAGCAACTGCTCCGAAACATTCACAACTTGCTACTTATTCTTTTCTAAAATGTCTAAAAACACATGCATCACAGAGAAGCGTCTGAACTGGCCTCAGATCAGTCTTTTACCTCTGTACATTCCCTGTAACCCTTGTTGGCTTCACTCAGGCTTTCTCGGGCCTCCTTGCTGCCGGTGGCAGAGTTAAATGCTGCTACCATCTTACTTGCTCCGTCCCGCAGTCGCCGCTGTATGCAGTACGCATCATACAGTTCCTCCACCTGGAGACATGACAGAGGCTTCAGTGTATTTTTTTTCTTACATATGGTTTTTAAAGGTCACCTTTAAATCTCTGAATCAAAAACAGATGACCTTATAAAGTTACAAGTTTTTCACATCCTATAGAAACCAAGACACACAGGCCTCCATTTGGAGCTGCGCTGAAAATGAATTTCAAATTAATGACAGCTGTTCAGGCTGACAACCCCTTCATGAAGGGAATATCAGGCTCCTTGGATGCTGAATGTTTTATCATGTTCACCAGCTATTCTCCCAGCCTATGATTTGTGCAGCAAGCTATGCTAAGTGGGTTAATCAGAGTGGTGGCAAATGTCTCCAGGTTGTTAACACGAGAGGCAACACAGAGGCAAAGCTCCACAGAACGGAGACAAACACTACAGCCGTCAGACTCTCTTGAGTCCTGGTGGGCATCACAATCTTGCCAAATCAAATCTACATCACAATGTAGATTTCAGTGGTAAAGTATGAATCATGTGTGCTTACGGACCTTACTGAGATGGAACTCTAATCGACGCATGAACCTCTCAATGGCTTTGACTTGCTGCAAACAGAAAAGAGATGGTCAAACTCAGCAGGAAGGTCTCTGCTCCACTCATGTGGAGCTGACCTGTGCTTAGATAAACACGTTTAAAGGAAACTCACCTTATCCAACTCATACAAAGACCCCTGCCAAGAAAAGAATGGGGATAAAACAACATTCAGTATCACTAATCATCCAGTTAACACCCTCACTGAAGGCTGGTCAGTACTAGTGTGGCCGGTTAGACCACAGGAGCTCTCACCAGACGACTGTTCTTCTTGTTTTCTCGGATCTGCTGACCCAGGCTGTCCAGCTCCAGCTGGTGGACCTGCAGATACGACCTGGCAACACAACCACACCACCTTTACTTCTTTATGCGCCGGCCTCACGAGCAGCTGCGCGTTCAGAGAGATTCCACCTGGCAGCCATCCTCTGGCTCATTGCAAACAGTGTCTGAGATGTGTTTACTCACTGTAAGCCTCTGCGTAAGGCGGCGTACACTTCATCCAGCCGCTCGGGCTGGGGGGTTTTAGCCGGCGGCAGCTTGGTGGAGCCTGTGAACATCCTGCTTCCTTACAAGGCACGTTTCTCTTGGATCAAACCGGACTGGCGGGGGAAGAGGAAGAGGGAGCTTTATCGTCTCTGATAAGGCAGAGATTATTTCTATTAAAATGACCGCAGAAGAAACAGAGTTGGGAGAAAGTGCGGTTCACCTGCTGAGTGGAGAGATACTATCACTGCATGCTGGGAGACTTGTGTGTGGCGGTGTGGCTTCAACAAACTGAAGGACATGTCCTGTAATTAGACGAAAAGGAGGACTTCAGAGACAAAAACCAGCCCTCTTCTCTTCATACATGTCTAAATTCAGCCTGACTTCTGCTCCTATTTGAACGAGGAGGAGTGTGTTTGTGTGCGTGTGTGTGTGTGTGTGTGCGTGTGTGTGTGTGTGTGGGGGGGGTGTTAGACGAAATCACTCTTTCACTTCCTCATTTTGACTGGGCAGCTTTGTTGAAAGTCTGAGATGGCGATCTACAGGCTAGCAGCAACCACAGTGGCCACCACTGACAACAGATGGGAGTACAGTCTGCTTATGCTATGCTTCTCTTCCCCTTCCTTCCCTCCGCCCCGCCTGCTCCTCCACATCCAGCACCACAGCACAGGAAGTCTCATGGCTGACTCTAACACAGGAAATTCTACACTGAAGTTTGGCCCCGTGAATACAAAACCATTCCCCTGCCGCTAGGACGAGGGTGTTAGGACCCACTGACGGCGGCGGTCAACAGAGACCTCAATAAGTGAGGGTCCATTCTGTGCTAATAATCCACTCACTACGGAGATTACAGACTTAAAACCAAATCTGTTCATTAGAAATCGGCTCCACACAGGACACAGCAACTGGTGGCATCTCCTCAGCACTGTCCTAAAATTTCCATTATTATCCTGCAACAGATGGGAAGAGGGACTCCACCTGTTGCTGAGGTGAAAAACACACACACTACGGTTTTACACGACCAAAGCTGCATTCAAAACAAAGCCCTGCTGATAGGAGATGAATCTGCCCACAGCCCACTGCCCTCCTGCAGTGTCCTGCCGGTGAGGACGTGGGCTCGGGGGTCCCTCAGGGGGTCCAGTTAAACCTCTAATCTCTGCTGCACCCTGAGGGGCTTAAGTGGAGCTGGCTGAGGTTAGAGCGCAGCAAAGGAAAGGTTCCACATAATGAGAGCTTTCACAGATAAAACAAAACAAAACAAAACTCCACCTTCAGCCAAACATGGAGCGAGGCTCGGACTCTGCTGTGAAAGTGCAAAGTCATCCCGATATAACACACACATGGCAACGCAAAGGCCCGCGCACAACACCCCCCACGTCCGTGCATGGACATCTTGGACTCACACATGTCCTCAGCATGCCTCACCGATACTGATCATTACGAGAGCTAATCGCCCAGTTTCCTCTCGGTTCGATGTGCTTTTATCCCTTTCCTTACATTAGAGGTCATTAGCGGGATTAATCCTTTTCGTAGAGTAGTGTGAACAAAGAGGACGCTGTTCCCAAACACCTCACAAGACTGGAGATTGTTTTTTTTTTTTTTAAAGCAAAGAAAAAGGTTTTAATGCACATGCACACCTACATATTGTGCAGTCATCAAATATCTCATCTCATATCTGTATTCAGTGGTTATCTAAGGTTTATTAACTGAAACAAGGCCACAATACTCTCCCTTTCCACCAATAAATATATGATCAGTCATGATCCGGTCTTCTCAACATATGAATTACAAGACCAAGTCTGGTCTTATTTGTATCTAATAATAGAAAATGCAATATGGCAATTTCACACCTGACCAATGCCCTAAATCATTAATAAATGACCTATGTGTCTGGGTGTAATTCATAGAAAGAAAGAAATGTATCAGGGCAAACCAAGTCACTAGGGATTTTTTCACATTCATGCCAGTGACACGCGGTTAAATATAAACCATGTGTCTGCAGATTAGAGCAGAAGGAGACTTTCACTGTCTGCGTGTGACAGGAGATTCTCAAACTAATGCTGGACACTCCTCTTCCCCCTGTGTCGAGCTGAGCCCGGAGCAGCCATACCTGCCCAGAACAGGGAACAGTCCATCCACTCTTTGGCTCCCTTTGGGGAGGAACGGGAGGATAAAGGGGGAAGTTAGGCTCAGATGCAGCCACCTCTTTCCCAGATTACTGATTCCTGGATTAGCCCGGGCCGGCGGCAGCAGGCCACCGGGCCAGATCAACCCCAACGGCACCGCAAAAAGGGACGAGGCTCTCACCCCGGTGTTCCGTCCATAGCCCACAGCCCAGCGGCCGGCCGGGGGAGCCCATCACAGGCCGGAAAAAAAAAGTCCTCTCCCGTCCACACAAGGACCCCCCCCCCACCCCCACCACCCCGTTTCCCCACAAAATCCCAGCCGCTTCAACTCACGACAAACAGCTAAAGCCGCAGGGGGAAAGAGGCAGAGCCGATCTCTGTTCGACAACATCACAGCTAAGCAACTTCACGTCGGACAGACTCATGCCCGAAGAGGCAAAAAAAAAAAGAAAAAAGAAAATGGTCAGGGTTCTTGTTGTGACCTTGGCGATAAGAAAAAAGAGCCCGTCCCTACCTCTGATTTAATGTCCAACAGCCCGGAGGATGTGCGCGGAGTCCCATTCCCCCCGCCGAGATGCTGCAAACAGTTTGCAGAGGTTTACAGTTATTCTGGGCGCTGTCCTTCTCCTTGATTTCGCAGTTTTTGTGTCCACAATCAAACCCGCTGCACGCACCCGCAGCCGCTTCCGCTTGGCTCTTTTCGCTGTAAAACTATCCGGCGCCCAGCCAGGACCGCAGGGAGGCAAAAAGTTTCGCACAGAATAATCTAAATGTTAGACGGCAAAACTATTTGTGGTCCCATCATAATATAGTCATGAAATCATGCTTCAGATCATTGGCTTTCTGTAGCATGTTAAAGTCATGATTATCATTTAAATATTCTAAAAAAAATAATAATCATGACAAATTGAGTGAAAGTTAGAAACATAGTTAGGATAATGTAAGTGTAAGATATGAGGAAACCTCCCAATTCAGGCACAACAACATCTATACTGATAACTACATTGATGAAAAAAGTTGTGTGGAAAAGATGTGTAATTGGGAAGATATATAGCTGTCAATTAAATACCTCACTAAAATAGTAAAGGTAATAAAGTAAAGATAATCATAAGCTATTAAGTGATAACTATTGACATAACAGGTTATGATGACCATGTTTCTCACAGGTTTAGCAAACGTTCCTGTACTCTTCCAGACATTGTCATTGTTTTGAACAACTTAAATTTATGTACATGTTAGCATAGATTAAAGATGGGGAGTCGATAGGACTTAGTGGGAAAAACAAGTAATACAGCCTCGTACAAAATAAATATATTAATGTCAATTTAATTAACTTGGAATTTACATTGAATAATGTGTTAAACTGATTTTGAGTATGAACAATGCAAGGAGCACTTGATGTTTGTTTCTTATTTTAGAATCCAGTGTTTTAATCAAGGAAGGACGGGGCACAAAAAAAGTTCATCTTAGAAAAATATTTGTAAATACAGGACAAAGATGAGTCCTGTTGTTTGATATCACTGTCTCTTATAATTTAGTACTTAATTTGTCATTCACTCTCCACATCCACCACAGTTTTAACAAGTGCATAATGAATTATCAGTGTATAGCATAAATATTTCTGTCAACCTTTCACTTAGATAATAAAATGAGATACACAGAGTAAATATTAGATTATTGTTCACTGACACATTTTGCTCTGAATCACACTAATATAACCCATTTCTAATAACAGAAAGACGGCAGGTCAATGTTTACATTCATGCATTGAGCAGATGCTTTTTCCAGAGCCACTAACAAGTATTTATGTGTATTAGAAATGTGGCACAGACAGAACGTTTACAGGCAACGTCCCTAAACTACTCTCTTTAGGGGGGTTTCCACGAGTCAGCTCCAAAAATACAAGAGCCGAGTAACGAGGTTTGTTTTGAAATCTTGCTCATATGACCGGAAATGGGGTGTAGGTAGTTGCTGTGGCAACGAGCGTGTCCCTCAGCCTCAGTTGCTGTTTTCTCCGTCGCTTCCTCCGCTCTGCTGGCGACACCACACAGTGAGACCAACGGAAAAAAAACACACACAGAGTTTCCAAGGGAGACGACGGGGCGAAGTACCAACTTTCTAGAAACGTGGTGGTCACCAGAGAGCGGCTCAGCGAAACGCGAAAGTTGAGTGAATCTATCAGGTGCAGCTGCCCGGGGACCCTTTGGCCGAGCTCGATCCATGCGGGAGGAGGGGACGATGGGGGAGAGCATGTGGCACTTTCTCACTCCAGGCCTCCCCATAAACAAGGCACTTTAGATGGTAAAACTTGGAGTTAAGCTGTCAGTGAGCAATAACAAACAAGCGAAGTTCAGTTCTCCACCTTCCAGCCTGCGGCTGATAGTAAATTTAGCCTTTTATTCGTTTAGGCGAGGACAACGGAAGGCAGAAAAACTGCAAACGCAGCAGCTGATGGCTCCTCACACACGGTGTAATGGAACTCATTTGCATATTAGGCACAGAGTTATTAATGTAAAACTATCCTACCCGAAAGTTTTGCATCTGTGACTTGATAGTAAAAGGTCAGGTGAAGTTTGAGCAAGACGGTTTCAGCTTCTGGGGTAACACTCCTAAACCTTAACCGGTTAAAGCTCAAAACCACATAAACAGTAAGCCGTTCAATAATCAAGGAAAATAATACATGGTTTCATGTTTTTCTACATGATGGGTACATGGATATAACTGCGAGAAATACTTGTATTTCAATAATCTATTTTTTAAAAATCTTTCTGTGTAAAAAAAAAAAGTTTTTAATCAGCATGGTTCTTTCTACCATGAATAACACCTCTGGTTATTGTCTCAACTTTCTACCAGTCTTTTTTAAAGAAATGATATTTTGTTACAAACAGTATTCAAGGCCATGTGTGCAGTAGTTATCAGCAGGAACAAATTAAGTCACACAAATCAACTTTCAAGCCAATTTTTAAGCATTATCATTATGTTGAGAGGACATTATTGTATTTCACCCGAGTAGGATTCAGAATTCTGTCAAGTCTGCATGAATTTTGTCACTAAGACATACTTCATCATGTGATGGAACATCTCGGATGGAGGGTTCCTCTTGGATTAGACTGCATTAGAGGGAAAATATTCATTTTTAATAATACGAATGAAATATTGCTGAATGCATTAGTCATCCATTCCCCAAAGAACTTCAGAGACCTGCCAGACATTATTATTATTATCAGTGCTCTGGTTCCAATGTAAAGGATTCACGCTAATAAGCAGTGCAGCCAACCTCACATGTCCACGTGGCTGACGTATAACTAATATATCTTTACTGCGAGAGATGAATTCACAAATTATTTCAGTTTGATATTTTGTAAGGAAACATGTTTACTTATCCGGTATGTTGGGACAAAGTATACCGATGTTGTAGTGTGCACTTCTTCCCAAAACAGCCACAATCCAGTAATTCACTTCCATATCTGATCAGTTATACGGTGGCAAAACTTTATTGGGGTGATGTCTATTGGGAATGACAACCTTTGTAATTAGTTTCAGCATGTATTGCTCACATGATGCAGAGCCAGATCCATGTGACATGTCACATGCAATAGAGATGGTCATGTTTTTGTTTCTGCCCACAATAATTCAACAATATTCAGCAGTGCTCCAGTGGAAGCAGCAGCAGCATTTTGTACCCTTCCATAAAAAACAGAAGGCAGTTCAGCTGTAATTAAGGGCTGAAAACTTCAGCCATATCTTATTTAACTTTAAATGTTGACAAATTAGAAAGCACTTGAGAAATCAATCAATTGAGAATAGAGCGTATTGATGAACATACATGGGTCTGTTTGTACACAGGGGTTTCTTAATATACACACACAAGGTTAAAATATAAAGTTTACCATTTAATAAAATATATCGGCAAGCAAAATACACCAACATTTGCCATTCTGTTGTTTCTCAGACTATTTTAATGAGTCAAGCAAACGCCTTTGCTGTAACTGTACCGGAACATGGATATCAGCCAAACCAGTCTCCATTTAACACTCCATGATAGATCATAACAGCTGCAGAAATCTAAAACAGTTTCATGTCTACTTCTTTTTCAATTTTTTAAACAGTCACACAGCTTTTCGCATCTGCCACACAGTTATTAAAAAGGTCATTCGAGCTGCTACGTAGGTTTGCAAACGGTACAAAAAGGAAAACAAAAACCCAAAGTGGAATGGCTACACGCGAGAGCAGGATGCTTTTTCTTCCCTGGCACGCATCTGTGACAATGTTTAGTACATACACATTTTCTACGAGTGTTACAGTAGCAGGAAAAGAGCAGGAGATAAGCCATCTATTAAGCTTTTAAAAACTAGAATATGCTTAAAAAGGGACTTACTAAAACAGGAAAAAAAAAAAAATCTTAAAAAGGGCTGTTCTTAGCTGCAGTATCCTCTTTCTGCAAGTCGCTCCATTTGTACAGTTTTCAGTTTAACTGTACTTGTCCAACCTCTTAAGCTTATTTCATCTTTAGCACATACTAGTCAGTTTTCTGACAAGACAGGTACAGATATCTAATCAGCCAGCAGAACTGGGGGGAGGTGGGTGCTAGATGACAAAGAAAATTTCTACAATACAAGTGAAGTCAAAAACCTACAAATGACGGAATCCAACTTCAACCCACCACCACAGGTATTCGACAAGTAAGCCGTACAAAGCCAGGCCTGATTAGAAATGTCACCAGATTTAACGGTTCCTTTTGGTGACACACTTCTCAGCCTGAAAACATAAAAAAAGTAGCAACAGAAAGAAGATACTGCTAAAAATGACAGCCACTCCAAACTTAAAAATGTACTGAAATGTTTTTTTTGGTTCAATAAATCCTCGTTAAAAAAAATCCCCCACTTATCCAAGTCTTTTTCAATGCATGATTAGAAAGCAAATTTTTAAATTACAACAGTGATGTTTGTTTCTGTGCAGGATGCAAATGTTTGTTATCCTAAATGCCAAGAATTAAGATTGAATCAGGGTCTGGGTGTTGTTACAGGCTCCACCCTTATGCCCATCATCGGTCCATCATACTGAGGATCATCTCAGGGGTCAGGTCTCCGTTGGGGGGGGCCTCAGACAGCTGCACATCCTGTGCTCCGCCTTCTTCCTGGGACAACTCCACCTGAATGGTTGACTTTGCCCCGCCAACCACCACATCCTCCGCAGCATCCTCGATGCCTTCATCTTGCTCGGCTCCAACCTCCTTCTTAACGATGATGTCATCTACCTCTCCAGTGTTCTCGTCCTCCACTCGAATGATGGCCGCCGCTGAGAAGAACGTCACAGGTACTTTAACTGCATTTTACTGGGGAAGTTTGTAAAAGTTTACCAGACTGCCAATTATCGCCTTACCATCAGGTTTATTCTTGGGGGGGCGCCCTCGTTTCCTCTTGACTGGGGGCTCCACTGGGGCTGGGATAGGCACAACTGGAGCCGCCTGTTCCATTTCAATCTCATCCAGCAGATCTTCATCCTCCTCTAGTTCATCTAGCTCACACTCTAGGAGTGACAAGAATTAATTTATGTGACAAACTCTTTGTCTCATGAGGCTGCGACAGCTGTAATGGACATGTCATACTAATGAGTGGCTACAAAAAGTAAGGCTGTCAGACTTGAATTTCCATAAAACATGGCCAGCATTGGCTTAATTGGCTTTCTGAACAGCCTACATCATTATAGGTTTTCTAATACATATCAAGACTAATACAAATCAGATATGCACAAAAAAAAAATCTCTTTGCTTTTTTCAGTCATGTTGTGAAGTTGCATTCTATAATAAAGTGAGCTATGCTATGCATTGCTCACGCTCAAGATGAAATAACTAAACTCCAAAATCCAATGAAAAGCTAAGAGATTGTTGGTCATGTACACACGCATGTTCATGACCATCCATCAGTGTGTACCTGTGTCTTCTTCATCATCATCGTAATCCCTCCTTGTTTGCATCTTCCTCTTCCTGCCACGCCGGCCCTTTTTGGGGGTGGGAGTTCCGTTTTCATCTCCAACAACTTCTCCACTGCAGTTCTCGGCATGACGCAGCATGGTGTTCTGTGGAGCAGTTCTCACACATCAGTGACATAATGTCAATAAGATGCACATTGACAGGGCTCCTGACAGCCGTCTTACCCTGCGTGTGAAGGTCTTGCTACATTTGCTGCAGACGAAGGCAGTGGGGACAAAGTTGGGGTCATGGTAGCGCTTGAAGTGCATGTCCAGAAGCTGCTTCTGTCGGAAGGTCTTATCGCACTGGCTGCAGGCAAACGGCTTCTCTCCTGTGTGTGTTCGCTTGTGCATTATCATGTGGCGCTCCTGTGGGATGACAGCCACAAGTCAACAGTTATTCAAATAAATCAATTGGTGTAGAATACAGGAACTCCCACAGTCCACCCTGTACAACACAAACCTGTCGGCAGCAGTAATCACACTGGTCACACTTGAAACGCTTCTCATTTTTGTGGGTCTTCTGATGTTGGATGAGAGCATAACGCTCATGAAACACAGCATCACAGTAGCGGCATTTCTTCCCCTTCTCAATAAATGAGTGCTGCTTTCGCAAGTGAACACCTGGGAGAAAAAAAAGGGTGCAGAGCAAGGAATCAGTAAGATCATAACTACAAAGAGTGCATCCAATTAATTTCTTCCATCTGTGGAACAAGCATTTTGAAGCAGAACCAATAATACTGGACTTACCAAGGTCACTCTTGCGAGCAATCACAGTATCACAGTGTGGGCAGTGGAACTTTGCCACGTTCTCTGTGTGTTTCTGCAGAATGTGCATCTTCATGGTGCCACTCTGTGTGAAACGAGCATGGCAGATGTAGCACTCGTACGGCTTCTCGCCTGCAGCACAAACAGGAACACAGTGAGTGAAGAGCTCCTCTTAAACCGGAGCGCAGACAGGAAGAGTCTGAGTGCATCTCACCTGAATGCGTTCTCATGTGTCTCTTCAGTTTGTAAGTGTCTCTGCTGGCGTAGCTACACAGGCTGCACTGGAAGGGCCGCTCCCCTGTATGAGAGCGGATGTGCCGTTTCAATTTGCTCACCTGGGAGGAAAAAACAACAACAAAACAGACACCACAGTGAGAATTCTCTCCGATGGGAGGATAATTGCAACTAAAAAGGAGCACATTACCCACCTCCACGCTGGAATAATCACACATGGAACATTTGAAAGGCTTCTCATGTGTGTGTTTGTAGCGCCGGTGACGCACTAACTCGCCACTGGTCACAAATGCCATGTCACAATCAGTGCACTTATGTGGCCGCGTGCCTACAAAGATGTAAAAATAATTTATTACTACAGAGGGACGGCATGAGGGCAGCAAAACACACACCAGGGTGTGACATCTCCAGCCATCAAACTCAGTCCAATAAAAACTCTTATGACAATATCAACTTTTTGCTTCCCATGTCGACTTGCCTGTGTGTGTATTGAGGTGATTTCTCAGCAGTGTGACTGTTCTGAAGGCTCTTCCACACAAATGGCATTTGTGTGGCCTTTCGTCCGTGTGACTCTTCATGTGTCGGTCCAGGTTAGAGCGCCTCGGGCAGGTGTAGCTACACAGCTCACACTGGAAAGTCTTCTTGACACCTGGACACAGAAAACAGAGACGTTTCCTACATGTCTACAACCTGTTAACTTTATTGTTGATTCATGCTTTTTGTACTGTTATTCTATCTTGTATTAAGAAGCAGAGCAGGAAAAGCAAGTCTAACCTTTTTTCTTGATCTTGGTGGGTTTTGGGGGTTTCATGTTGCCAACAACCTTCTCAGCATTAACTTCCGACAGCAGTCCCTCCTGCTGCTCCTCCTCAAAGTCATACACAGAAACATCCATGTCTCGGTCACCCTCGGCGTACCGCAGGCGGCTCTTCTTTCCCTTCTTCCCTCTGCGGACAGCTGTGATTGGCTGGTAGTCTGGGTCTTTGGTCCATTCTGGGTCATCTTGCTGAGGCTCAGTGGGTTCAGCTTCTACTGCCTCTTCATCCTCCTCTTCCCCACCCTCCCCTCTTGTAGCCTGAAGCTCGTCGTGAGCAGCCTGGAGCTCGTCCTGCTCCACAGTCTCCACTTCACCATTGGCACCCACTTTGACAACCTAAGAGAACATTGGTTAAAAACACTTAAAACAGTTAAAAAACAGTGCGTGTTGAGAGGACAGTCGTAAAAATGCACAGCCATGCAGCTACTTCTTACCTGAAAACCTTCAGGCAGAGGAAGGGTGTGACAGATGACCGGTTCTGCATCCTTGTTAGTCGCTGATGCCTCAACATAGGTGGCCTGGAGTCCTTCTACGGTTGCTGTCGTGACTGGTACCTGCACCAGCTGAAGCTGACCAAGACCCAAAGCAGCCCCCGCCTGCTCCTCCATGTTCACAACCTGTAGAGACGTTTGCACCTTTACAACCTGATTCAATGTCGAAGCACTTCTACATCTGCCATCAGTTATTTGACCCGAGTTTGACATGTATTCCGTACAAACCTGAAGCGTGATGATCTGACCCTCATCTCCACCCGTGACTGTCACTGTTCCACCTCCCTCCAGCACCTCCGTCTTCATTTGCAGCAAAGTTGGATCGAGAGCATCCATCACCATCATTTCCATGTTACCAGCCACTTCACCCTGTGCTCCTTGTATCAAGGCCTCTCCACCCTCTGGTAGGACCTTTCCCTCAGAGGCCAGGGCAGCAGCCTGAGCCGTCTCCATGGAAACCACCTCGCCCTCCATGGTAATGGGCTAACACCTCCCTAAATAGATCAATTACACATTATACAGAATTATTCAGAAAAGGTTTGTAGGTACAACTTGTAAAAAATAAAAAAGCATTTATTATTTGTGAACACTTAGGACCCGCTAGCAAATTACTGAGTTTATTTAACCTTTGTTGGAGGTTAAAATTCCTGAAAGATGCAGAAAATACTCTTGTATCAAGACGAGATGCTGAAAACATGCGCTAAAGAGCCCACTGACTTCTGACTATGAATACCAACGAGATTCCCTCCCGCCACTTAAATTACTTGTTATTTAAGCCACAACTCTTATCAGAAAGTCTAACATTTTACTCATTCCGCTTAAGAGGAGCAAGTTATGGTGACATAAAACCTCTCCAAGTCGATTCGAATATCACTGAACTATAGTCACCACGTCTTCGGCCACAGAGAGCAACAACTTGGCGCAAAGCTGTGTCGAGTATAATGGAGGACAACATGACTTCTGGTTTTGTCTACAAAACACACCTCTGACAAAGGCAGTGTCTCTGACCCGAGCCACGGGAAGTGGAGTTCGGGCTGAGTTCTAAACAGTATTGGCTCCTCTCGGATGGTTTCACGACAGTAACACCGAAGCAGGCGTTAGTTTGAAGTTAGTTCGTGTCTTCATGTGATGATTAGGCATTGATGAGGTTTGTCTGTTTGCCTATCAAATAGTCGATCGGTCAATGCTTCCTAGTCTCTGGGTCGCCAGTTTCTACACATCAATTCTCCACATTCAATGTGTCACTGTTAGAAGGAGCCATGGTCTAAAGAATAAATTACTGTTTTGACACTAAAAACTACTTAAAACTGTCCCATATTAGTTGGTTAAGTGGGGAAGCGCGAGGTCGTCTGAAAACAGGAAACAAAGGGCACGATAAGATGGACGTCAGGCCTGAACAAACTTAAAAAGGAAACACCGCTTATTTGCAGCCATCCCGGTACAATTACACCTTTATATCGGCTAAAATGACCCAAAATACCTGACCAAAGCGGGTGGTTACAGTTTATAGACGGATTTAGTGCATTTTGGATAACGATAGAGGGAGACAAACACCCCCCGCCAGCCGCCTGGTCGGTAAGCCCTACCGTGACACCTAGAGGCCGTGGACGGCTCCTACAAAAACGTCCCCTTGTTTGGAGGCAAAGTAATACTTTCACTTACTCCTGGTTGCTTCTTTTTCTCGTTGTATTCACCTTGAAGCCCAGCGCCAGCGGTCGCTCCAGTCAGCTCTGCAGCAGACGGTCGTTTGAGCTCTGTGACGAGCTAATAAATTTCTCCCGCTCTGGGGGAGCAGGCCCAACACAAAATGGCGGCCTGTTGGAGCGAGCGCGGCTGCGCGCGCACCGGATCTGGGGGAGTGGAGAGGAGTGGTCGAGCTGCGGCTGCTGCTGATGGGCGCCAGATTTGAATTCACACGTGGGCGTGGTCATTGAGAACACAAACACAATCAATAGTTGATTATTTACCATGAATTATAGAAATTTGAATTAGGAATCACAGTTTTTGATTTGAAAATATTCCACCTCAATAAATGTACAGCGAAAATAAAATATTAATTTGATTTAACGCGTGAGTGTAATTCACAATATTATCCACACGAGGGCAGTAATTGGATCTCCGACTTTGACTACATGCACAAACAAACGAGTCGTGATTAAACTGGATCGTGTGAACGGAAAGTGAGGTAAAATTAGTTTAACTTTATCACCCGAGCACTAATTTTAAATGACTGAAACATACGAATCCATACAAAAAGCAATAAGTAGTTCACAGCGACAAAACATGTACATTAACACAATGTTTCAGTGAATATATTCATCATGAGCCAAGTGTCTCTGGCTTAGATATTTTTTTGTCTAACTCCATTGGAAGATCGTCTTTGCTCACTTTTTATATTTAGTTTATCAATTAGGATATGATCAGAGAATTGGCCTTCAAATATCTAACAGCTATTCAAAGTAAAGATACTCCTAAGGGGAGCATGTCAGATCACATCCGTTTTGTCTAAGGTTTAATGTACAGGTTGGATTCAGCATAGACTAAGAGGACAAAAAATTCAGATGTCCAGTAAAGTTCCAAAGATTGACCAACATTTATTCTGACTGATAAGTTGTTGGGCTGTGATTTTCCTTTGGTGAAACTGGCTTGCAGAGGTTATTGTGAGATGCATGATTAAGTAGACTCAGTTATGTATGCTAAAAGGTCTACACACAAAAAGCCTAATGAATACTTAACTGATGTCGTACCACTTTGAGAGAGGACACGCCCCGGTGATAAGAGGAGAGAAGTCAGGAGCTTTTAAACAGAAAACACAAGCTCTAGATAATGAGAAGACAATGTGAGAGCAGAACCCCACCAGCTGCTGCACCCGCCGGGAACAGGGATCACATTACTGACCTTGTGTCAAATAACTGATAAGTCTTCAATACAGTCACTAAATTTCTCAAATTAAATGCTCAGTTGATCTTTTGGATTAAATCATCAATATTTAAAATGTAAAAATATCTCTTAAATATAGTACTTTAAACAATATTCTGAAGGTTTTCCGAATTTTTATTTTCAGACATTCAGGAAGCCATATCCTGCTTTTCAGCTGTGTTTCTAACAATACAATATCTATTTTTCATGAGCCAGAAGCACTGAATGGTTTTGCAATTAAAATAAAAGCTGCTGAAATTCCTCCTTAAACGTGGACATTTTATCTCCCTTATCCTGTAAAACTTGTACTTATCTGTCACTGCCTCATGTGGTTTTCAAATCGTATATAATCTTTAAACTTCAAGATGATTAGTTTTGAATGGAGTGTGATGTTGGCAGGAGTCCTGACTGCTCTGAAGGACAACAGCCATCACGACTTTCCCTGATTTATGTAAATAGTTTCAGATGCAGTGAGAAAAGGGCCGTACTATCAAAGGGTTCTGTTGAATATCTTGCTTTGCTTTAACCAAATAAATGATAAACCATACATCACAGTTCCCATAAATCTTGTGACACGTTGTCCGGTGAATGAGCAGATATTTACATACACAGAAGCTGGAGCTCATGGGTGTGTGTCATGTGTGTTTTATGGAAGTATTAGAGATCCTTATTGAGTTTCCTAACTATCCTCTCAGGGATACTTAGCACAGCTTTCTCTTTTAGGGTTGAGACATGTTATTATGGAATTCACAAATGTATTTGACTTATTTATGCATCTTTTCAGTGAAAAATACCGGGTCATTCCATCAGTTTCAGCACCACATCATTATTTCCGCATATAAAATAAATTATTAATTTGTTACATAACTGGTGGAACATTTTGTTCATTCAGGTATTTCCTAAGGAGTATAACAGCTGATGCGTACTTGACCTAGGTGAGGAGGCATGGATGACGCAATTGGCAGTGGTTATTTTATACCTGTCTGTGTGCCTCTTCTTATTTTTTCACCATCTTTTTCTCGTGGTTTTCCTCTTGGAGTGGGGAGGGGGCAGAGAAAGGCGAGGTTCTGTTGTCAGATCTGTCAGTCTAGCTACCCAGGCCCCTCCCTCCTTGGTGGAGGCATTACATACTGCTGGTGCTCGTGCTCTTAGCAACCGTGCCTCAGCAACAGAGCCACGGCAACAGAGCTCCACGGCAACAGCGTGCCGTGTCTCCCCAATGGAGCTGCCATTGGGCGGACCGGCTCTCAGGCACTACACCCAGAGCCGACCGAGACCTCACCGCCAAAAACTGAATTATCGTCCCAGCAGACCGCAGGTACTGTGCAGGAAGATCAGAGGGGTTTGTTAAAAATGGAGTGTGAGGGAAAGGTGGACTGTGTGAGGAGAGAAAATGGAAGGGAGGGAGAGAGGCGAGATGGAATAGGGTACAGAGGGGAGAGGCAGGGGGAAGGGAAGGATGGAGAGAGAGTGCTGCAAAAAATGCCCGGACTCTGCTTGAATGAGACAGTCCCATTGTACCGGTCACTGGCTTATTTAAGGATACAATATTTTCTGTCTGCGAGAATGCTATGACTTTAAATGAGAGCCAGAGGTAGTTTGGTCTGAATGTCTTTTATAGCTCGTGCTGGAAAATGCAAAGCTAATATTGTTTTATCCTTTCACATCTCTCAAAATGTAACGTGAGTGTGATTTTCCAGAGGGCTGATCAGGTTGTCACAGCGCTATTAGGCTGTAGACATACAGTCACTCCCTTGTGGACAAAATTCGAGCTATTCCCCAGACAGGATATCATGTAACAATGACTTCTGCTATAATTGTATTCTGCAGCCAACCTCTTGACAATCATTGCTACTTGTGGGAATAGATGTTGAATTGATAAGTGTAATGCTACTCTGTATTTCTGCAATTTGGATATCAAATCACCTTCATTGGCTAAATGAGTTATCATGCTCTCATTCTACATGTAAAATGCAGCGACAACCCCCCCCCCCCAATATATGTTACTGAGCAACGGACTCCCGGGAGGCCCCGATCGTAGGATAAATGGATGAGATTCAACCCAAAATACACCTATAGAGGCAGGAGGAATACTACTCCCAGAGTGTGTGTGGGTTTTCAGATGTGTTTGTTATGTAATGGAAAGTTACATATGGTGGAAGTTGCTCTTCATGATCTGTTTGTCTAATTCTGTGTGCATGTCTGCCATAATTAGGAGACAATAATTGAGAGTGAAAATGAAGTCCTCGAGCTCATGGGGAGAGTGGATGAAGGAGTTGAAGAGTTCTTTACAAAGAGAGTACTACCCACTGATACACTGTGAGTACCCCAGCTGACAGATTGGAGTCAGACAGCGCAAGAACAAATGGGTCTGACACACATGATTCTTTGTGTAGGGACAAGGAAGATGAGGAATCTATCACAGTACATGAAGTGGCCCCGGCCAGCTCTGTCCCTTGTCCACCACCAACAAAAACACTCAGGAGGAAGCTCGGTGACTTCTTTACGCTCAAGAAGAGGCGAGGTTTGAAATCAGAACCGAGCCAAGAGGGGCGTCCCAAAAAGGCCTCCATCGCTGATCTCATTCGCCCTCTCAGGGAGGCCGCCAGGTCCGAAAAAGACAAAGAAAAGGACAGAGTGAAGGAACATGACAGAGAGAATGAAAAGGAGAGAGCGAAAGACCATCCCAGTGCTGTTACTGGGGAGTCAGCTGTTCCGGAGAAACCTGTTACCGGTGATGCGCCGCTGAGAGGCGAGGCAGTGCCTCCCCGCAGAGCTCTCAGAGAGGGGAAATCCCAGTCTCTCATTCTGCTGTCAGGATCAGCAGCCGCCGGGCCCACCAACACCAGAAACACTGCAAAGGTGGGTGCCTCTAAGGTTAAAATACTGCATGCTCTTATATAAATTGAGAAGACGCATTAATCGTGCCCTGTTGCTGCTTTCAGAAACAGTTTGAAGGCCAACACAGCTTTGAGCAGAAACTCCATCTCATGCTTCAGCGCATTGGAGTTTCCAAACCTCAGCCAGGAGACACAGAGGTTTGTGAATTTGAAGGAGTCTCAACTTATATACATATCAGTGAAAAAGGGCGTTAAAGTGTATCTTTCATTCTTGTAGAATCAAGAGGGAGAGATGAAGAAAGCAGAGTCTGAAGGTATAGTCCCTTATCTGTGTGATGTAATACACTACTCTCTGTTCCAGCTCTGTCTTAATGACGCTAAACTAATCTTTGAAGTTAAAGGATTGGTGTCAAAAGGACATGGATCAGATCTCATTTTGAAAGATTAAATATTACCGTCATTGTGCTGATAACAACAGGAGGATCATTTTGGCTGCTGCCTTCTATGGCGGGGCCTAATTGGGGCTTAAATCCTCTGGTAGAATAAGATGTAAATCTTTGCGCTCCAGGTACCATCATTGACAGTAAGCCCGAGCCACCTCCTACTTTCTCAAAACCTCGAACAATGTCTGCATCTTCAGGTAAATCAGTTTTTCCCCATCTAGACCGTCACTTTTAAAATGATCTAAATAATTTGCACATCCTCCCTTTTTTTTTTCAGACACACGGCATCAGATCCGAGCGAGTGTGTCAGCACACGAGGCTGCTGGGAAACCCGCTCTGCTTCCAAAGCCAGTTATCAAACCAGCTCCACCCCCCACAACGTCTGGCCGTAACACACCTGAGAATGAGCTAACCCAGATAAAGGAAATGGAGGCAAGAACATCCACTAAACTAAGTCCAGCTGCCGCCCCGCCAGCCCCTGCTGCTCTGACAATTGCGGACTCAGTCCCTGACTCAGCCAGTGTTACAGTCTCCTCTTCGAGTGCTGTCACTCCCGCTGACACAGATATATGCACTGACTCAGTTCAACCTACTGCCGCAGCTACGACACCCACAAGTAGTGCAGTGGTGCCGGACAGCAAAGCCTCTGTCTCTAAAACCAGTGCCCCAACCACCGAAATATCCACCCCTTTCCACCCAGGTGCCGCCACCCCAACAGAGCACCCCGACACTGTCTCAGTTCCTTCCACCTCCTCAGAGAGCATTACCCCCAGTCCTTGTGTCACTTCCGCCTCAGAAACAATAACGACGCCTTCTATTACCACCCCGGAAACTGTTTCTGCCCCCAGCATCCAAGGTTCAGTTTCCCCTGCTTCGGCAGATCTGTCAACAAGGTCAGCCGTGGTCGATCCAAAGGGGGATCCCTCGGTTGATGCTTTCCCGGCTGCAGGAGGTGATGCAGATACTCCTGTCACCACAGCAAATTCTTTGCCCTCCACCAGATTATCTGATATGCCATCAGGCTTATCTGCTGACGTCAGACCAGTTTATGAAGCTGGCCGTGAGCCCACTTCAGTGACCGGCAGTAGCTCTGAAACACGAGTGTCATCAGTACCTGAAACTACGAGTCCTCCTCCTAACTCCAGCATAAGAGTTACCGCTGCAGTCCCACACAGCAACTCCATTAACACACCCTCCACCATAGCCGCTACATCCCTTCCTTCCACCACCACCACCACCATTTCCTCTACCACCACTGAAAGCATTATCCAGATATCCAGCAGTGACACAAGCTCTGTCTCCACACCTGCCATTTTTCAGTCAGCCACTTTTAGCCCAACTGAAAGCCCCGCACCCCCGACTTCTTCCAGTGAAACAAACCCAACAGACACCTGCTCCACTGCCTCCAGTTTAAAACGTGCAGATACCACCTCCACCAGCAGTTCAGCACACTCAGCTGGTCCAGACCCATCTTTCTCCAGTAACGTCAGCTCCACCATCGCACCACCTGTCGCTATCCTGCCCCCCGCTGATAACTTAAGTGCCACTCACCAGTTGTCAAGCCCGGCACCCTCCATTGATAGTCCAGGCCAAGATTTTGTTTCACAGGAAGAAGGAGCTTTGGTGGAAAAAATAGAAAAGCCGATAACAGATAAAGTCACAGGTAAGTTAAAATGAGTCATTTGTGATTCCATGTAACATGTTTGTCGTGCTGTACTGAATGGCGTGCTTTTGGATTTTCATCTTTTTATAGCAGGTGAGGAGCTCGGAGTTGTCCAAAAGAGCAAGCCAGCTGAGTCGGAAGAGAAGAGGGAGGTTATCGAAAGCGGGACGAGGAGGGAGAGTGACAGTGACAAATTGATGCTTGACAACAGCGACGTGATAAGAGAAGAAGTGAAAGCAGACAGTGTGAAAGTTGAAGAAGGCACTCTGGGTGAACCTGCAGTGGGGGGACTGGAACAGAGTGACCGAAGCCGAGACGAAGCTGTCACAAAGGCTCAAAAGCAAGATGACGCTGCACCAGTGAGTGAGAAGTGATTCACATACGAATACATCGCTGAACATGGGACCAACTACTGTGACGGGCAGGAGTGGACACAGTAAACAGTACGGGGAAGGAGGGGGGTGGCGGCAATTCCATGGCACTTCCTACAGGGACCACCACATTACAGCAGCACACCACTGAGGGTGGGCCAATGGACCAAAGAACTGAGATCTCCTTGGTGTGATGTGATCAACAAATCCAGCAGTGTTTTGTCCTTTTTTTTTTTTTTGTAACTTATGTTTGATATTTTGCATTGCACGTATAATTATGTACCATAAAAAAGTATTGTGTAAAATACATCATGTTTACAATATATGGATAAGAGACATAGATATGACTAATAAATGGAATATTGAATTGACAGAGTCCCTCTCTATGCTTTTTAATGTGTGAATGTTTTGTATGATTATTTCTTGTGTTTCTGACCAGCACAATGACAAGCCTTTATGTTTGTTTAAAGATGTGTGTGTGTGTGTTAAAACTGTGGAAACTGTGTTATTTGTAAAGGACTACACAATGTGTTTAAGACAAATGTGAATGTTTTTAATGTCTTCATTAAACTATGTTGGGAGACAAAATCAAATAAAACAAGTATTTTATCGGTCAGAAAATCATCTCTGGTTCAAAACGTCTATGTATCATTTAAATCTTTTAGGATACCAAGCCAACAATAGAAATAGCATTATGTTTTCTTAAAAACTGAGTAAGTTTGTCGCCATTTTAGTCGAAGGAAATCAAAGAGCCGACAATTGGGGTTAATTTCAATGAAAACAAATGTCTGTTATCATACAATTTACACTGTTCATGTATTTATTTGCGCTGATTTGGTGACATTTCATTTTAAAACAATTTGCTAGAGATAATCAAATGAAATATGAATGGAAAAACATGATGCTTAGTTTCAAAACAACATTTTTTTAAAAATAAAAAGTATTTTTGACTAATTCGTGACACATCATGTTTAAAAAAAGTCTCATCCGAACTGCAGAACTTTCTGAAGGCGTTTAGTTATCTCCATCACAAACAAATCTATTCTGTGTCTAATTTGTTTAGAAAGGGAAGGAGAGATTAACAAAATTACATCCAGCTGTTGTAGTGGATGTACCAACATGAATATCAGGTTAAAGAAACAGTTAATGTAATCTTTGAGTAAGTGTACAGTGGTAAAGAAGATGCTAACGTTAATGAATTTGAATTGTTCCGTTTGAATAATTTAACCCCAAATCTCCGCCATGGAAGCCGGTCTCTGCGCATTTTGCTTGTTGTTCGCCATCCAGCCCAGCAGGCGTCGCTAGTGGCGCCATCATTCTCAAATGGCGCTGTTTTCACCCGGAAGCGGAGGAACAATTGCAGAGAGGCGAGCAGTGCTGTCTCCATTCTGCTCGCTGTTTAGGGGATACATTAAATTACAAATCGACTATCATTGTAGACGTACGTGCAGGAGGATTTTGTGTTACCAGTGAAGATGTCGGTCGTGCCTCCCAGTCGCTCGGCTACCGGCTGGCCGCGCCGCGGCGGAGATCAGTTCGGGAGCAAATACATCAGCGGGCCCGCTAAACCGCTCACACTGGAGCGGACCATCAACCTGTGAGTTCACCAGGAAAACAGGGAAACGTCTCACACGGACGGGGCTTGTAATCTTTAATGTGTTTGCCCATTAATGTATAAAGAAAGAAGAGAAAAAGAAGGCTATCAAACCAAAAACGCTAAATAGTTGTTTTTGTTTCCTGCAAGACAAACGCAGATGGAGCCAGCAGACAACTATCAATAATACATCTTTGTTTCAGTCTGAGTTGATTTTTTAAAACACCTTTATGGAAAATGTAACTTGTTTTTATATAAATATATTTGCTGAGAAAGCAGTTGGGTCCTATTGTTTATTGTCAAGTGATTACACCTACGACAAAGACATGTATTACGTTACAATGGTTATCCATATCAATCTGCAGATTTTTATAATCATTTTTTATCTTGTAGTAATCTCTTTGAACTATAATTCGATTTTAAAACTTAGAATCCAACAAAAGATTTTAAATATTGCATTTTCACGTGAATTTGAGTAAAAAGATTATCTAAGACGCCTCGATTTTCATTTCAAGATTCTTTTAAGCCATCTACTGAGCAGATATAAACTTCTGTACTTTCACTTATTCTGGTGTACATATGGGAAAGCTGTGTTTTCCCCCATCTTCATATTTTACAGCTCACAATTAACAATGACATGTCTTGTCATGCTCTCTGACATCTGTGTATTTTTGTGTCAGATACCCTCTCACCAACTACACATTTGGCACTAAAGAGCCTCTGTATGAAAAGGACAGCTCGGTTGCTGCCAGGTTCCAGCGGATGCGGGAAGAGTTTGATAAGATGGGCATGCGCAGGACGGTGGAGGGGGTTCTCATCGTCCATGAGCACAGGCTTCCTCACGTGCTACTTCTGCAACTGGGCACAACATTTTTCAAACTGTGAGTGGCTAATGTTCCTAAGTTGCTGCCTCCACCGGTTTCGGTGCTTCAGTGTTTGACGTTTTGCGTCTCCTCCACAGGCCTGGTGGAGAGCTGAGTCCTGGTGAGGATGAAGTGGAGGGTTTGAAGCGCCTGATGACTGAGGTACTTTCATCCCTGAACTGTGTGACCTCTCTGCTTTGTGTTGAGCTACTGAATGACAAATAAAAAGAATAAGTAAAAAATGAAGTGTATACTGGCTGTTAGATCCTTGGACGTCAGGACGGGGTGAAGCAAGACTGGGTGATTGACGACTGCATAGGAAACTGGTGGCGCCCCAACTTTGAGCCTCCTCAGGTTTGTATGCATAGATGGCTGGAACAATAAAACCTTGAGAGTTTGAATCTGGTGCTGGATATTGGTATTAAACAAATCAAGCTGTTTAGCAACCCCTGGCCCAGATTTGTGTGTGTAATCTTGTTTGATTAACTTTGTTTTTGTTGAAGATGCAGGCAGATTTTTTCACCTTCACCCAATGTCAGGCTTAGTTTTAGTTGACAACATTTCTGGCATGAACACCAACTGGTGTTTCACAGGGTGAAGCCTTATGAACAGAAGTGGTTGTGATGTCTCTTTGTGGCTGGCTTACACATTATACTGCAAGATCTCTGTATATATGTTGTGGTTACTAATGTAAAATGTTTTTGTCCTTCAGTACCCGTATATTCCAGCTCACATCACCAAACCTAAGGAGCATAAAAAACTGTTTCTGGTTCAGTTGCAGGAGAAAGGTCAGTGCATCATGTTGTCATCTCTGATAACTTTTCGATTTAGTTCATCACTAACGGATCACTGCCATCGCAAAAGCAACTGCATTCATGGGTAGAATGTCTTCTGAACTTTGTGAATAATGTTTTGGCAGCCCTCTTTGCTGTTCCCAAGAACTACAAACTGGTGGCTGCGCCGCTGTTTGAACTGTATGATAACGCTCCTGGATATGGACCAATAATTTCCAGTCTACCGCAGTTGTTGAGCAGGTAACGCTGACTCGTGTGTTTGGTCTGCTTCTATAAAAATGTATTTTTCACATCTTTTGATATTGTATACACACAGGTTTTGATCTGTACCTTTTTATTCCCTGTTTACAGGTTTAACTTCATCTATAACTAATGTGAGTGAGCAGAAGTGCGCCTGTCTGTCTCTGTGAGCGCAGCCAGAAACTCTGTGATGAACAGCATTGCCACCTCTGCCACAATTCTTACGAAAGCAAAACTTGTCACGCCAGGTATAATGAAAGTCCCCAGGGGTGTTTATACTGTTGTGAGATTAGAAAAAAAAGACAAATGTCATGTTTTTTTTCATTTTCTGTTTTTTTAAACGTGAAAAAAACTGCAACTTCTTGTAGTTATGCAGGTGTGTTTTCCAGTGTGTTGAGAACCTGATTTTATGTTCACGTGAAGGATGCCAATGTTAAATTAAACAAGCTACAACATTGTGTTTCCTGTTATTATAACCTGTAACGATGATATGCTTTTCTTTTTTAAAATAAAGCAGTCTTTTGAGTATGTTTTTATCAAGCTGAAAGAGCCGGTGAGTGTTTCTGAGCAGCAACCTTCAAAGTCAGTTAAATGGTAACCTCAGAAAATACATGTTTCAGACAATTATCAGCAAAACGTGTTTTTTTTTTGCTTACATATGTAATCGGTTCCCTAAAAACAGTGTTGGGGATTGCATTTTATGTTGCTGAAAAGCTTATATTCACTGATGGTTATTTTGTTCCGTGTGCTATCTGGCATCATGAATGTTTTTAAATCATGTTCTTAGTTGATGAATTGAGATAGATTACTGATAGAAGACCCCAATGACATGTTTCTCACTGGTTGAAATAGGGATCATACCATAGCATAATTGTCAAAATGAGAATATTCATTGAGTCTGGTCCATTTGTTGGTAGCATAAGTTCCTTATGTTTACTTTGAATACTGTAAAATGAAGAAGCAACCAGAAACAAGGATTTAAGTTTCAAGTTAAAGTGGGAATTTACCTCTGGTAAGATGGCTATCAGAAGTAGCTTTTTCATCAGATGTTAGTGAGATGAGTGAGTTAGAATGTGTTGGTGTCATTCATGTGGGAAATAGTTGATAATTACTGTCCTGGTGTGAATTTCACTTTAGTTTCAGTTTTACATGGACAAACACTCACCAATTAGACTGTTAGACTAAATATGATGGAAGATTAATACACAGCTGTTTTTCTAGATTATTGCTAGAAAACATTTTATTTCAGCAGCTCTTTGGTCATTGTCAGTGTGGTCCTTTGATGGACACGTGACCCATCCAGGGGGTACCCTGCCTCAGTGACAGGATGCTGAAGTAGTCGGTAGTATCACTGTGCTATGTTAAAGTTAAACAAACAGAAAAAAAGGACAACCAGAATTATGAGTGACAGTTAGGCAATGGAAACGGTGTGCACGCTGGCTCCTTTTTAACATAAAAATACTAATTCTGAATTTGGCTGACAAATTTGCTTTTACATTTATCATAAATATATAATGTCTGATAATATAATCATCTTCGTCTGAGTGTAGCACAATCAAACATTTAAACATCACTTAATAATAAATCCTTATCAAAGGAGTTGGAGGTGCTGATACGATAAAAGGATTTCTGACATTGAAAGTAACTTTGTGTCAAGGTCTTCTGAAAAGACTAAAGTTAACTTCTCACATATTTTTGTATTTAGTAGTTTTGCCTGAGAGTTTTAACTCGGGGCCCCTAATCTTCAATTGTGTGACGTCATATACCCGCGACTGGCAGCAGGGAGCTGGTTTCACTCGTAGTATTTACATAGCACGCGTCCCGGCGAAGAATCTAGTCTCGAAGCTGCCACACCGGATATTTTACTGCTATGACCTCCAAACGAGCGCAGAATGAGTGCAACAACACGGACGAGTTTAAAAAGAAGAAGAGGAAGAGTTGCGAGCAGAGCGCCCAGCTGTGTCCAGGTGTGGAGGACGAGCAGGTGAAGACAGCCGTGAAGGAGGCATGGAACCGCCGGACTCACTACAGCAAGGGTCAGTGGAGGAATACTTACCGCCTCCTTAAAGGAGGAGAACCTGGGAAAACCAAATTTTCCGCCAAATTGGTGCAGATATTATTGTTGAAACACCCGCTTCCATTACGTACCTCTTTGACAGCTTGCATGGGGTCCAGCCTCTGTCATTGTGTATCTGTTGTGCAGGAGACTTGGAGCTGGACTGCCACCCTTTCCCTCACTGCATCATCAGGAACTTCATCAGCTCTGAAACGTTCACCGAAAACCTCCAGAGAGAATTGCTGGAGCTCAACTTTCACGAGAAATCAAATGATCTATACAAGTTCAAACAGGTATTCATCAAAATGAGTCCCCAGTCTGATGTATTTCAGCTAAACTGTGTTTGAATCTTTTGTTGTTTTTTTTTGTCGATCCCTTACAGTCAGATGACTTGAAGAAAAGAAAAGAGCCACATATCACAGGACTGAGGTAACAAAGATGGTGTTTAGGTGTGTTTGAGCTGATGTTTGCTCTGAAAAGGGTTGAGCTACACATGGAATGAGATGATGGAGCTCTTTCTATCTGGTGGTAAATAAGCTGCTGGGATTGCTAAAAACAGATGCCCTATTTTTGTGCTCATTTATGTGTTATTATTGTCTTGCTGAAGAGCGGGGGCCCTGCTACCAATGGGACAATTAATAGCATGTTAATCTCTACTGCTCCACCACCTGATCCACAGTTTATCCAAGGCACCAGACATAAAAAAAATATTTTTATTGTAATCAATATTTCCTGCCTCAGAGTGTGTCTTTAGAGCCATGTCTCGTTGTAGAATCAGACATTTAGTTATGACTTACTTCCAGGGTCCAGGTGTTGTGATTTCTTACCCACAGATGAGACTTAATGGAACAAAGCTGCTGCAGATGTCCTGCATCATGTCAGAGTGACCACTGTGAGGTGGTTTGAAACCCATTTCGAGCCAGATTATTTTTCTTTTCATTACTCTCTTTTCATTTAGGCGTCAGCTTCGAAGTGGATCTATTTCGACATGCTGTTCATATATCTGTTATTACTGTTCACAGATCTTTTTTCTTTACGAGAATATGTGTTTGTGGCACGGAATATATTAAGTTTACGTTGTACTTGACTACACATACTGACTGAGAGGATGGTGCAGAATATTAGTACCCAGCAGGATATCCTTGAGCCTCACAAAGCTCCACAGGAAGGGCTCAGAGAACATGACCAAGCATGTCAGGTTTTCACAAATTTCTCTGGTACAACTCTTCTATGATCTGTGGGCACAAAGTCCAATCTTGAAAAACTCCACCCCAAAATCTACAAGAACCTAATGCTAATGTTAACTAGCTAAAGCTAATATCCCTAAACTAGAAGCACCAAGATGCCCTCAGATTTTCTGACTGGTCAGAGCTGTTTTGGCCCCAAAGTGGTGACCAACTCCATGTAGAGTGCTCTGTTACAAAGTCATTTGTTTCTACTGACAGCGGATCTATGTACAGTAAAAGTCAGGTTGTTACTATATTGTTGAATAAGGGTCTCTGTTAAAGAGTTAAAGTTTCTAATTGTGAAAAGAATCAAATAATCATTGCGTGCATTGATCCACCAGGTGGAGCCAGAGATTACATCTGCCCCCTCATTAGTCTCTTCATACCTTTTGGTACTGTGGACAGAATAAATACAGTTTATATTTGGTCCTTGAATCATTCCACAATCAAAGACTACATTTATTTATTTATTCTAAAGTGTTCCCCCACATAACTGGTAATATTAATGTGATTTATGTTATTTCCACCACAATGGAAAGTAACACATGACATGTGTAATTAATTGACGATATTAATTCTTACAAATTATAAAAAACAAACAAACATTTGAATAACCATTATCCATATTTATGGAGACTTTAATCTTTAAGTTATGATAGTACTCTGGCAGTGATCATTTTCCTTATTTTGCTTCCATATACTATCACAGCGGTTTGAACCAATCGGTCTGACCGGGATGCATTGAAGTTTTTAGTGATGTTTCGGAGAGGATGATCGTTACAGTTCGGCCTTGAAGGGAAGCAACATTAAGATGAGCACCAGCTAAAGACATGGGTGATTTCAAATCATGTTCACAGGATTCTTTGTGAATAAAAGCATTTTGATGTGTCATTGTAAGAGACAGAGTTGGTTTAACTCAAGATGCAAACCGCTAGTGACGCTGTGGTGGAGTGAGCATGTTAGCGGAATTGGGTCACTGATGTTTGTTGACGATGTGATGACTGGTAGAAGAAGCAGGATAAAATCCTGGGGAGTATGGATGGGTATGCAGAGCTCTCATTCAGCCAAATGCGACACTGAGAGCACTGAGTGTAGCCCACAGAACATATCATCTTTACTTAGATGCTCATAGACCTGATTGTGTGTTCTGCCATACTGACTAAAGAAGTCCATCCCTGGAGATTGAATCCTGCAATTAAATATACAATAACCGGCACCCTTTGTGATCATCTATTATTCATGTTGCTACAAATGTCAGTGTTGGCTTTCAGGCAGTCAAACAGTCTCTGTGTGGGGAGGGTTGCCAGATTAATAATTTTACATGGTGAAAAATGTTACTTTCTCAGTACAGTCAGGGACTTAACGGTGTACATGTTTCTGCTTCTAAAGGACAGCACTGTTTGGGCCATTTCGCTCCTGGCTGGGGGAAGTGCTGGGGGTAGAGCTGGAGCCCACAGTGGATATTTCTTGTGCCAAATATGAATACACAGGTGAGATGTATCTGCAGGCTCAGAGGGCTGGTAAATTAAAAATGACCGGTGGTTTTTAAAATGAATCACATCCTGTCTGGTTTGCAGATGTTCTTTTGTGCCATGATGATGAATTGGAGGGGAGGCGTGTCGCTTTCATTTTGTATCTGGTGCCCCCATGGCAGAGCAGCGACGGGGGAACCCTCGACCTTTACTCAACAGACAGTGAGTATCCCACTCTGTGCACTACTGTACCTTTCAGACAACCGCTGAATTTTGTGTACTTAAATATGCTTTCAGGTCATTTCCAGCCACAGAGTAAAATGAAGTCGTTGGTACCCTCGTGGAACACACTCATCCTATTTGAAGTTTCCCCAGTCTCTTTTCACCAGGTGAGGTTGAATACTTTGGTTTCTTAATGTTTGTTATACCTATGAAAAAAGATGATGTTGTGAATCTTGAGCCTACTGTGTGATATTTTTTATTCTATTTTTTTCAGGTGTCAGAGGTTTTGTCACAGGACAAGTGTCGCCTGTCCCTGAGTGGCTGGTTTCATGGACCCTCTTTGGAACGACCTCCTCGTCACATAGAGCCGCCCATTCCGAGGAACCCACACTTACCGAGAGATGTGAGTTGGAAACGCATTAAGCTGCTCTCATTTGATAATGGCACTGTGTTGCATGTCATAATGCAGCTGGAGTCAGGTTTCAGTTTGCTCTCAGACTTAAAATAGATCAGAAAATATAACATGTTCTTTTTTTTTCCTTTGTTTGAAGTGCAAATAGATCTGCTATCAGCACATCTTATGGTTTCAAATTTGTTATTTTGCTTGCTTAGTCTAGAGAATAAAAAAAAATGTGAAGGAAAAAATACTTGTTTTGTTGTGTTTTGTTTTACATGTGCTGAAATACTCACTATTCTTCTAATAGAAAACCGTCATTCCTTAATTTCCTTGCAGGAGACTTTGCTGATGGAGTGGGTCAATCCGCAGTACCTGGACATTTCTTATCAGGAGCAGATCCAGACAGAGTTCGAAAACAGCTCTGAGATTCAGCTCAAAGATTTTGTTAGGGTAACTTTTTAGCATGGTTTTTTATCTCCATTGCTGTGCCCATTTTGTCCAGCCAACTGATTGTGTGTCTGTTTCAGGAGGAAAAGTTCAGGGAGGTGCGTGAGGCGCTTAGATTGGCTGAGATTCAGTGGATGAAAAGAGGTCCGCCTAATAAGAGGCAAGGGATGTTTGAGAGATTAGCCTACTTTGGTTTATACCCTTTTAAGATCTGCCATGTAATTATCTTTATGCATTTAGATGTTATGAAGTGGCCTCCCTGGACAGCCTTCCCCCATGTTTGAACGCGTGTTGGGAGTTGCTGCATTCAGAGGCCTTTTTCCTGCTTCTCTCCAACTTTACTGGCCTTCGACTGCACTTCTTGTGTCCTGCTGATGATGATGATGACGACGATGAAAGCAAAGAGACAGAGGAGGGGCTCCAGGAAGGGGGAGAAGCAGCAGGATCTTCAACTGCATCATCAGCTGCAAACACAAACACAGAGAAAGGTGTGTGCAAATGCCAGCTGTTTTTTTCTTACTGGTTTCTTAGATGATTGTTTTCCATCCTTGGGTGTGCTTGTATCATTTAACTTTCGTTTATTCTGTAGTTCCAAGCACACCTATGTGTTGTGGAGAAGTGCGTCGCTGGTCTCATGGCAGCTACACGCTGTTGCACGATGCAGAGGCAGCACAAGCAGAGTATGCTTTAGACCTCGTGTTGCCTTTTGGCTGTGCAGGTAAGCACACGCACATCAGCAAATTGATAATTAGGTCAAAATCACTGTGGTGCTCACAAGAGTGTAATTAAATGTCACAGACTGGCTGTCAGAGTTTGGGGGTTTCACGTGTTATGTTGCCAATGAAGAGGACGAGGAGGTGAGTGATGACTATCATCAATAGTAAAATTTGTCTAACATATGGTGGCTAATCTTTAGTGGATATCATTGCTTTGTTTCCACCTTCCTCACAGCTTCTGACAGTGTATCCAGAGGACAATTCTCTTGCTCTCGTCTACAGGGACAAAGAAACTCTCAAATTTGTCAAGCATGTGAACCACAAAAGCTCCTCTGATGGCAGTTCAACCTGCAGGGAGTTTTATGACTTTTCTTTCACCTACTATGAATAAATATATACATGTGTACATGTGTTGTAAACAGCTGGCTTCTTGACATCACTGTGTACCTTTGATTTGATACTTTTTTTTTAGCTTGACTCTGCAGCTCATTTGGAAAAAATTGGAGCTCAGCTTCATGCCTAAAATACTGTTGACACCTGGTAACAATAAGCCAAAAATGAAACGCTCAATGAATAACAAACATCCATGTTACAAAAACGGAGTCACATCATCTCTAACATACTGACACATAGTGAGGCTCCATTTGAAACTGAAAAAATGTCTCTAGAAAATTTTCAATAGAATTGTATAGTTAAATACAAATTATAAATTCACTGCCTTAAAGGTTTGATGTTATTCTGGTAAATTGGCTGCAAAAAAAGGTAGAATAACCCATTGACTGGGTACCACATGTACAGAGGCTGGAAATCCTGGGAGTCCTACTCTGTGGGCCCCTGTAAATGAAAGCCACCAAGGCTGACAGCAGACTTTCTTTTTTCACATACATTTTAAGTTTTAACTTGGTCACCTGACATCACTTATGTAGCCAACATCATCATTTAAGTTATGACATACTTCTCTCTGATCTGGTACTATTGCCATAGGCAGAAGTCAGTTAAACATGACCTGGTGGTGATAAATGTACTAAACGGACAGCTAAGTGTTAAAATACCTCTTCATGCTTTTTCAGTCACTTCAGCCACTATCACATTCCATTCTTTGGTGTCGTGTTTTATCTTCTAAATAATTTTTACTTCAAGCGCTTGCATCACGGTGTTTCAGTCGTAATGAATCGTTTCACGGAAACATTGCCTAAAAAAAATATACGTTGTTGAGCCTACATAAAAAAAGTTTGTACGAAGGAAGAAAAAAAAAAAACTTCCTGCCAGTCACGATTTCTCTCCCCCGGGCAGTTTGCCGGTTATCACCAATCAGAATGGGTTTTGATTTACGCTCACCCAATGGGAAGCCAGGAAGTTATTTGCGTGTCAGAGGGTGCGATTCCTAGGGAGGAAGCGTCACCGAACAATTTAACAAAGTTTTAAAGGTAAGTTTTTACCGACACCGTTTCAGTTTTACCTACCACAGGGCCAAAAAAGTTTGTTAGAGGTCACGTGTGTCTACTTCTTTGTCTTAGAGCTCATAAGCAAACCGTTGATGGCAGGCAAAGTTTTACGGCATTTTTATCTACTGTACGTGAGTTGTTCTAGCACAAGCTGCGCATCGCACTCCACACCACATCATGACCTCCATACAGCTTGAAAGCAACTAATTTTAAATCTCCCGATGACCAAATCAAATCACCGTTATCTTGAATGACTGATTCATTGTACACCTGGTGGCAGATAATTAGCTAACTGTAGTTTTTTAAGAAAATCACCTGTAGCAGGGCGGCTGGGTCGCGTAGCAACCGTTTCTTTACGTGATACATTTTAATGTTTTACTGGCAAATGTATTTGTTACACTGAAATCAAACTTAGAATCACGTTATATTCATTGACCTAAGGGGTAAAACTCAGCCAAATAGTGGCGTTTCCCAGTGTAAAAGGGCTTTTAAATAAAGGTTCAAGAATCATTACCTCGTTTTTTTTATGGAACTGTGATTGAAGCACAAACACAACACTGGTAGAGTATATATCAATGCTTTACACAGTATAGCATACCTTGCTACCTAATCATCTATTTAAAAAAGGTGCCATTATGCAAAAGAGCAGTTGTGTGAAAATAGTCCACCCCGTTTTTGTTTTTAAGCTACAAGCACAAGATAACAAATTGTTTAATTTTATGACCATTACAAGGTTATAAGAAAGGGTTATTGCTCACTTGGTTGAACAGCTCATGCCATACAACTTAACAAAAACTGAGCTAAATGCCACAATATTATTTGAAAAACAAAAGAGTCTACCTTTCCTGCTTCATAGGAAAGGAAGGAGACTACTCTCAATATCCCAATTCATCATTCATGAGTAAGTAAAATGATCCATAAGTGGGAAACACTCAGTTTAGTTTGGCCACCTTCCCAGGGGAAACCTCCTATTTAAAAAAAGAACATGGCAAATCTGAATCTGAACCACAAGACTTTGGGAATAATGTGCGTTGGTCAGGTGAGACAAAACTGATGTCACGCATAGCACAACAAAACCCAGCCCAGCAAATCAGTGCTAACTCCTCCACAGTGGGGAATGGCTGATGACCTGGGATATGTATATTAGCTTGTTTTTATTTAAAAATTTAGAGTAATGTAGGAGGACTGCTAAAGCTTTGCCAAGACAAATCGGATCTTCAAAGGATGAGAGAAAGAGAAAAATCAAGGTGTGGTTAAAGCCGTGCTGTTGCTGTACGTAAACGTATTCCTGCAAACGGGAGTGATCTGCTCCAAAACAGTTCTCCAAAACACTTCAGTCAAAGTGAGAGGTTAAAAACATACAGAGATTAATTACTTCAAAGTTTTACTTAAATTTTGTTTTTACAAATTTGTTATTCATGTGATGTACTTTATAAAATTTTATCTTCCCCTTTCATAAAGGATATCAAAACAGGTCATTTTCCTAGATGTTTAAAGACATTTGAGAAATAGAAGCCTCCTCTTAAGGCATACCCATGATCCATAATGCTTGACTTAGTCATCCACTAAGGGCTGCAGGACTCTGGGGGGTAACCCTGTTCTTCCCCTACCATATTATTACAGCAGGACAGTATTACAGACAAAGTAAGAAGGTAATATATATTTACGGACCTGATCTTAGGACAGCAAGTCTTGTGTTTGATGTTATTTGATCAATAAATTAGTAACATTTTTAAATAGCAACCGTTCTGACATGAAATAATTACAAGCACATGTGTTTGTCATAAATTATTAAAGAGTATTCAGTTCTGTTTAAGTGCAGATTCGCATTACAGTGTCGGTTGATATCTTATTTGATACGATTACTTCATATGTAAGTGACTATCGTCAGAAATCCTCAGTTGCTTCATACAGTAGACATAGGCTTATGCATGTGTTGTGGAGCAGTTGTTGTTTTTGCAGGTTCCTTCAGCACAGATAGAGCCCGAGGCTGCCTAATGAGCAAGCACAGATGTGTGTTTATGTCACCAGCTGTGTACCTGAGTGCACAAAACACTGCTCGCTTTGCAGCGTCAGGCTGGCAGAAGCACACAGTCGCACGCTTTCACACAACACGAATGACAGCACGCGCACGTTCGGACATTCAAGCAGTCTCCAGGCACTTCCGCAGACAAAGGGAGAGTGATTGCTGGTCAGATGCACTAAGTCTCCTCACTTGGCTCTATTCCCCCTGCAACTGAGCAGAAACCACACCTCACTACCACACTGTGCCATCCATGTTTGGGTATTGTTCTGCTTTTCTGTCGTATGACACACCCACTCAGCATGAATCATCTTAGTCAGTTTTAATAATCAGGTTGTCTGTTGTTGGGCTCTTTGAGACTGCAGATGCACCTTTCTTTACATAGAAGACATTAGAGCAAAATTTGTGAACATTTGAAGACATCACGTTTAATGACTTGTATCAGGTTAACAACACCGGGAACGTGACTGCTTTGTTTGCTGGAGCAGCACAAATCAAGGAGTTATTTAACCAATTCGTTAGCCTTGGAACTTTATTCTAAATGTAAATGTTTCAATGAACCGAAACACACTACTGCTTATTTATGACAGCACCTGCGTTTCAACAGGTGCCACCAGAGGCGTTATGTCTCAGAACTGTGCAACGGGCCCTTTAAGACTTTGTGTCTTATTGGCAGGCAAATGTGAGCCCTCGTTAGCAATCATGAAACTGTTTTGTATTGGAAGACTGGTAAATTAAGAGCTAACAGGATGGTAAGAGACCAAGAAGTAAGCAAAATAGCATGACAGTAATATTTTTACATTCTGAGGTGTCAGTGCATATCACAACCAAAGCGGATGTTTTGATACTGAACAGAAAGATCTGTGAAGGAACCATGTCGGATTTCATGTACAGATTGAAGTCATCAGAAAGTTTTGGTTGACAAAAGCAATTCCTTTGGGGTATATTGATAATTTTTTAAAGAAAAAAAATCATAAGAAACATGCAGCACTGACACATAATGATGATAACAATAACAATAATAATGACATAGAGCTTTGTCTCTTTGTGTCATGTACACCAAAACTATTCATTCACTCATAAAGTCAACGCAGCTCATCACAAACAGCCAACATGCTATCCTGAAATGTGAGGATGTCATTTATTGAAACCATTTGTTCTTTCTACAACCAGGCTCATTGACAGCTTGAGTTTTGATTTCTGGAGCTTCCTGCCTCACACGACTTCATTTTAGCACCAGCCGCTGCTCATTGGGCTTTAGTGTTGCTACTCTTTGGAATGAGGGACACTTTTTTTCTCCAGCTAAGTTGTGATAGCATTTGTGAGTTTCTTGAAATCGGCCAACACCCAGAATAACTGGTTATTCATCAGCAGGGAGGGCTTTTTTTTACCCGGATGATGCCTTCAGACTCCAATACGTAGAAATATTTCACAGTGTTGTAAGTACACTTGGATTTATTTCAACACTCATTGTTGACAAAACATAGGCAGGGTGTAAAGCACTCTTAAGGACTTCTTAAAGTAAAAGCAGGCGCAGGAGATGATGTAACAAAACAGATTTCCGCTGAAGGTGGTATTTATAAGTTATGCATCTAACAAAGAGAAATGCCCAATTCTATCTATTCTTGCAAATGGGGGGATTTATTTTAGCTTAAGTCTGTTTTATGTCACAGCAGGATTGTTTTTTTCCCTGTTTGTTTTGTTGGTGTTTTGGGCCTGTGTTAGGAGAAGAGAAGCTATCGGAACATTAAAGCTGAAGAAATAATTTACTACATTCAAATAATCAAATCACGTCCAAGTTGCACATTTGGTTTTGTTGCTCTTATTTATGATATTTCATGGTACTTGTGCTTTCCTCATTTCCTGCGTGGCTCTGGGCTTCAGAGGATAATCCAAGCCTATCTTTGCAGAATGTTAGATTACTAATTTAATGCACTGTGTGTTCATACACGAATAAAATATTTTGTTACCCGAACGACAGATGAGCTGACCAGGGAATACTAGAGGTAACCTTTTGGCAGCAAAAGAGAAGTAATGTATTTTAAGCTCCCGGTGATCGTGTAATCCTCATACAGCTGGTGAACTAATCTCACAGTATACTTTCAGAGTGCCAGTAGATGGGATGACATATAATTGCATACTGGTTAAGTTGTAGACATTGCTGTAGGCCAAGTTGCAAGCCACATGTGTAATATGAGGAAATGCATTCTAATCCCGTTCGCTCAGAGGATGCTACATGGAGACGGCACCAAGAGAGAGCCAGCGGGATGCAGTGGTTCATCCAGGGTACAGAAGCAAGGGCCTGGGCAGGGGGAGGGGAGGAATGAGATTATAGATGTTTTTATATAATGAGGGTTTCTAAAGGAGGTGGTAGTGGAAGAGTACAGAAAAAAGGATAAGGTGAGCTGAGGTCACGGCCACCAACTACTCAGAAAGACATGATAATTATGTCTTCTGTTTCGTGTGTTTTTTTTTCCAGATTCAGTCTATATTCTCAATTTGAGTTAAAACACCGGGGAATATTCGATTAAAAACATCTATATATCTTTTGTAATCACCGGAAACATGTTCAACCTGTGGGGTTCTAGATAATACCAATAAAGCAAATGACAATATGTTAAAATGGCAACACAACCAACTCGTTTGAGAGCTGTTTATAATGTTTAATAAAAGCCCAAGGTTCTTATAAACCGTAGCTGATGTTTTCCCTTCTTTCTGTGTCACTACATTAGGGGACACAAATTGAAATGAGGATCGTTTCCCTAACATATTGCACAGCTTTTCTGTAACCCGATAAATCGTACTGTGTTCAGAGAATGGCGGACAAGACGGTAGACGGAGAGCCATGGACGGGGTGTGTGGTCATGTTTCTGCAGTCTCACTGTCCCGGTGTGGACCTGCTGGCTCTCTTCAAAGACGAACGGGAAAAGTTCAACGTTTACAAAGTCATCAAACTGACTCTCTCAGGTGAACAACTGGCTTTGGATTTGAGAAGCACATCTGCTAAAATGGAGGAATGCTTTCCCAGAATGTCACCGATGAATTAATCAGTGTTTTCCACGGTCAGATTCTGCAGGAGGTCTGGGTGGCTACGAGATCCTAAAGGTCCATGATGCTGAGCCCTTCCTGGGGGTGGAGATGAAGTTTGTGAATTTGGCAGCCTGCCAGCAGTTCCTGGAGTGCTACAGCTCTGGAGCGGTGCGTCAGTCCCTCTCCCAACACGCCTGCCGGCTCCTTGCTCTGACTCAGGAGTTCACGGTGGAAACCCAGCTGAAGGCCAGCACACACATCCTGGATCGGTGTCTGGGCGAGCTGGAGGTCTGCCTACAGCACATCCACCTTTCACAGGTACACTGAGCATCTCTGCTCAACTTTTTCAGAGCTGCCATGAAGTCAGTATCGAAAACGTTCAAGTTTGGTGGTTGTTTGCTTCATTGGCAGGGCAGATGTTTCATTTGGCACAGGACGTAGGTTATCTATATATGTGTGCAGTGGAAACCACATTCACCCAAAACAAAATGCCATGATGCTGGCCCAATTTTTGAGTGCACTATCTTCATCATCCATGGTCTAAAACCCAGAGCACTGGGCTCTTTTCTTGCACATTTGTAGCTAAATTTGTGGAGTTGTTTTTTTCTAAATCTTCTTCATTGGGCCATCGTTCATCGTTCCACTCTTAATCTCCATTGTGGTTGGCTTTTTGTTTATTTTTTGTTTCTGCATTTAGCAGATGCTTTTATCTGAAGCGACTTACAATGCAGAAAAAAACATTACAGTTAGCATCAACTCAATAATAAGCTGCATAGAAAGAAATTAATAGTCAGACTCTGTTCGAAGCAACAGTGTAGAGACAGAGGGATGTGCAGAAAGGGTGGTAGAGGGGGTGGGGGAGGTACAGGGTAAGAGATGCTCTCTGAAGAGCTGGGTCTTCAAAAGTTTCTTTGAACTTTGAACATTTTTTCCTCTCTATTTTTACCATTTCTTTGTGGAATTGTGTCCATTTTGACAATAATCATTAAGGGTGCTGGTCGGGGATATTTGATGGTAAAGAAAATAAAACTGCTGAAAAAGAGGATGAGAGAGGTCAACAATAGTTTTCATTCTCTACCTTGTAGCTGTGAGTGGTGCTTGAGGTGACAGTTTTTTTCCTGATAATTTAGATGGTCAAGTGGAATTCCCCTGAGATAGCAGCAAGACAGTTTATCTCCAAGTGCAGCATGTGTAAAAAGCAAGGGATTGTGTATTTCTATAATCCTCATTTGAAAATGGGAGTTAAGCAGCACATTTACATAACACTACGAAAAACTCTGCTTAAATGGCCCATGATGCTCTGCGCCGTCTCTAAAGTTACGTCATTTAGCTGTTTTTGTGTAAAAAAACGGGAAAAATGGTCAGTGTGAAGAACTCAAAGTAATGCTGCCATCATTCAGTATGTTAAACATGTCAAAAATATAGATTTAAATTGTCAACGGTTGCCGCTCTGCTCTAACAAAGTCCCCTGTGAATTTGGCTGCACATCACTGTTCGAGGCTCTCCCAAAGAGAAAAGTGGAAGAGGCAGGATTTGTTCTCTTACGGCCTGTATCCGACACAATTCAGAGGGTAGCATAACTCCTCTTTTGTGCATATGTACATGAACAAGGATTGTGGTCTGGTTAAACGGTCTCATTGAAATTGGACTATGTTGTGAACTGTGTGTGTCAGCGTCATCTTACAAAGTGAGGGAGAGGGAGCAGAATACAGGCAAAGTACAGTAAACAGAGATGTCCTGTGTAGAAGGTCGAATAAGTGTTTTTAAGTGATTTTTTTCATGTTGTGTCAGCCGGAGCGCCTGCGCGACGAGGAGATTGATCATTTGGAGGATAAGCTGAAGAGTCAAGCTCTTGGTTCGCTTCCTCAGCCCACGGCCATCACACAGGAGGAGTCTCCTGTCCCCAGCAACTGCTTCACATTTCAAAACAGAGTGTTCGGTGAGTGGAGACCCACTTTTACTTTTCACACGTATGCAATGTGCTCCTCTGAGAATATGTGCCACAGTTCAGCTTGAGATAGAGTTTGCATTAGGCACATTTAAGAAAATCTTTATTTCAGGTTAATCAATGAAGTCTTTGCGATGTTTTGTTTTGTTTTTTTCCGCAGTGAAGTGCAGCGAGATTTATTTAGTCATCAACAGAATCTGTCTAATTAAGAATGAATTTAACTAAAATACTTTTGAATTATCACTGCATGAACATCATAGAAACTGTACAAATTCTGATGTCGCTGCTTTGTCATGAAGTAAGAATAAAACTTTTTCTCTTCAATCTGTATTTGCTAGTGCAGCCTGTAATATTTGTGCTCTAAACATCAACTGCAAAAAGACACAATAGTCGGACGGATACTATCATACTCATAGCGGGCACCTTTTTGGCTGGTTCGTGCGTTAGATTCTCTGACAGCTTATGAGTTCATTGCAGTTTTTTTAGCCCTATAATCCATCTTTTTATAAGGTGATGGCCACCGGCCTATGGGAAGAGATTAGAGGAATCAGACAATGTATTTGGTTTTCAAATTGGGATTGATTTTATTTTAGGTTTTAAATAAAAAATTTAAATTTAAATGAAAAAATAGCAGCGTGACATGTAAGCCCTTTCCTTGAAGATTCTAAATATGAAACAAAACAGTGCTGCCTGGCTTTTATTCAAAGTGGACTTGCCATAACTCATATCGGTTGTATCATAAAATCTTATAGCTTTAAAGCTGTGCTGGTTGGTATTTTGATATTCACGCTGAATCAGGTGAGTTTGTAATTTGTGGGGATGTTTGATTTGGTAGATTCTGCTTTCTCCCAGCTACGCAGGGCTCCGTATTGATTTGGTTTCAGTTTTCTTGCTCATGACACTGCTTTAGGTCATGCTCTGATAGGCAACATTTGCTGTTGCTCAGCATGTCCGCCAAATATTACCTGCTCAGCACCTGACAGCTGACAGGCAGAGAGCCTCAATTGGGAGAGGGTGGAGGAGCAGTAAGGGGCCAAAGAATGGAGCACTGCATTTTGCAAGGAGTTAGTGTTAAATCAGAACAGACCTAAAAAGCTGTGAATGATTGTCAATGTTGCTTTTCAAAGGTGCGTCCACATTACATGGTCTTTTTTTAGGCTGTCCGTTTGTTTAACAGGATCCTCTAATGTGGTAGAATTTTAAAATGCTCATCCTAACAGATGAATTTCAAAAAATCTTTATGCTAACGTAAGGTAAGTTTGACAGTGAAAAGTGGAAAACTTGTGTAGGAAGAAAAACTTATTGGACCTGTTCAACGAAATGCTGTGCAATGCTTTACGCTTGCACAATAACAATGGCTCTTTGTTGTCTGTTCTGGGAAATGTTTGGTATTTACACAGACGTGTGTTTGCAAAGCAGAGTTTATGTAATGTAATTCACTGAAGTGCAATTTATTTGAATGTATTCTTCCTCTGTGCTTTATCTCTTGGCCCGATAGAGGACCGAATGCTGACAGCTGCAGATGTACAGAGCTTTTCCAACGGAGTGGGCCGTCAGTGGAAGCACGTAGGGAGGGCCCTGGGCAAGAGCTGCCGCGCTCTGAAGGGCCCGGCCATAGACAACCTGGCCTACGAGTATGAGAGAGAAGGGCTGTATGAGCAAGCCTATCAGCTGCTCAGCCGCTTCATCCAGGCAGAGGGGAGAGCCGCCAAGCTGAGCCGACTGATCAAAGCTCTGGAGGACAGCAAACTCACCAGCCTGGCTGAAAATATTCTGGAGATACAACCCAGAGAGTAGCTGGGTGTTCAAGTCGTGAAAACTGAGGGGACAGGTCCTCTGCAGGACGAGCTGGGGTGTCATCCCGCCTGCTTTTACGTACATGCGTGGTTGTTTCTGTCTGATGTCTGTTTTTCCTTACGTTAAAATCATTCCCCGAGTGCGCGTGTTTGTGTGTGTGCGTGTGCACGCGTGTGTTCGCACAGGTTGTGTGAGCACATGCCAAAATCTGTGAAAGTTGAATGATTCATATCAGGATTTGTTTATCAGTCATTAGTATTACCGATTGTTTTTATCATTTCTGAGATAATCTGTCATCACTGTTAAAAGAATGTGCCGTCAGGGGTTTAATGCACTGTTTAAACATTTTTCATCACATGCCTCTTTGATTTCTGCTTTACAAGTCCATTTCCAGATGAAACATGTTGCCTCTTGTTTCTAATCACTGCACAACTGAAGGTTATTGATTTTTTTCTATAAAATGGGTCCTTGCAAATTAAATGGTTGTGAAAAAACGGCTCATGTTTGTGTTTGATGCATTAGTGTAATTAAAACTGAAAACATAATTTCGCCTAGATTCCCTCAGGTATAATTTTAGTGTTAATCCTCGGCCACTGCTGGCCGTCGCTCGCGCACGCACACGTGTGCACGTGTTCGTACGACTCAATCGCTGTTTGCTGATGCCGATGGTAAAGGTCCATATGGGGCCTTTTCAGGGCTTTTTGGGGAGGCAGATATTTGATCTGAGATATGTATCTTCCAGCCCCAGTGGTGTCAGACAGGCCTCCTCCCCTCATACTCCACTTGACCATCCATCCAGATGTGATCTGTTGGATTAAAAGCTTTTATCACATACACTTATTACTGCTTTATGGGAACGCCAACATAGACATGTGGATTTTCCTAAGTTTTGATGAACAGAATCATACAACTCTCCACATCTGCTCCCACTACTAGGCGATCTAAACTTTTTTTTTTGATGCAAAATGTATTCAGATACAACTCCATCAAAAAGGAATGAATGCCCATTTTGTTAAATGCACACCAACATCAAAATTCTTCACAATTTTCTTTCATTTTCTTTTTTACACTTGACTTATGACAATCGGAAGTGTTGACATGGTGTTTTTACATATAAAAGATCAGGTCACTATAAAATAAGTATCTGGAATGCAGTGTTATTGCCAAATAACTTCATTTGACTAAAATCTTGAGTATTCCAGCTCAGTTTGATCCACATCTCACTTTATTTAGTCATATTTATTTCACGTGGGCCTAATTTGGGCTCACTTGTCCAAACCTGACGTCCCTGCTCTCAGATGTGCATATAAATGTTTACCTGATGCTGTTCTCCAGACCCACTTAATGCTGATGACACAACTGAACGTCATCTGGGTCCTGGAGAGAAGGAGGAATGAGACGGTGACCGTGTTGGAACGTTTTAATTACAACCACAGCACGACTCCCCACCCCCCCACCCACCACCCACCAACCTGCCCAACGCACCGCGAGAAGGGGGCCACGTTAGCCATTTTAGCCTCCGTTTCAGGGGAAGAGTCTATCATTGGACGTGATTAGAGCTCGGCAGCTTTGACGTAAGCCAGATTGTTAGGTGAGTAGGTAGTCTCGCGCGGCCAGCCCCGCTCCCTCCTCTTCCCCCCTCGCGCCCCTCCCTTCTGCCTTCGGGAAAAAGATAACGGCGAAATCGCTCGCGCTCGTTCCTCGTCGTCATCAGCGCCGCCCTGTAGAGATAGCGAGAAAAAAAAGAGAGAGATAGACACCCCCCCTCCCCACCTAACAACAACCCCAACCCTGCAGGCTCGAGCATAACGACCCCACCCCCCCCCCAAACCCCTCTGAGAGAGGGGACGGAGCGCGAGACACACACGCACAGCCGCGGAGAAAAAGACCGACTCGGGATCCCGTCTCTGCTTCGCCCTCAATCCGGGCCTAATGCTGTAGCGGACCGCGCGGGAGGAGAGCGCGAGCGAGAGACAACGCAGAGACAGAGCGAGTCGGCGAGGGACAGGGCGGACCGGGGAGAGACGAGAGACGGGATTGTTCATTCGCCTGGAAACATGGGATGTACTCTGAGCGCCGAGGAGCGCGCAGCTCTGGACCGGAGCAAGGCCATCGAGAAAAACCTGAAGGAGGATGGGATGGTCGCCGCCAAGGACGTCAAACTGCTCCTGCTCGGTAAGAGGAGAGGCTCCGGGGCCGGCTTTTGCTCGCGGTGGGACGGAACGGGGCGGAGGTGCTCTCCGTGGTACTGATTTCTCTGCCGGCTCTCACTCTGCCCTCCGTTCTTTGCAGGCGGCGGAGAGTCCGGGAAAAGCACCATCGTCAAACAGATGAAGTGAGTACATGCCTTTTTCATTTTTTTTCTTTAAAGACTTATATCTGCCGGAGGACACAGACAAAACAAAAAAAAATAAAAAAGGCCCGAGATTGCGCCTCCCCTGTCTGTTACCGAGGCTGGTGGAGCCGCCATGTTTCGAGAGGCCGAGGCCCCGGAGCAGCGCCGGGGACTCGCGCCGCCAGTGAGGCTGCGGAGGCCGCACCGGGGCGTCCCGGGGCTGCTGTTCACTGCCGTGGTGCTGAAATGTAGTCAACGAGGGTTTTACTTCGCCTACAGGGAGTGTGCGGATGTGTGGGTGTTGTTCCTATGTGTGTGTATGTGTGTATGTGTGTGTGAATTACCGTGAGGTCACAACTGCTCCATTAGTGAATACCTCTGCTTTTAATCTTAATGGCTTTAAGTGCCCGATATCGCCGAGAGTACTTTGCCTATAAAGCGGATTTACGCAGAAATATGGCATCTAAAACCGCATCTAAACCTGCCCATGTCTAAGCTAAATCACTCTTTGATGTTTTAAAAGACAGTTGTTGCGTCCCCTAAAGCTATTAGTCAGCTTTCTAGATGTTTCAGCTCGAAAAAGACACCGTCCTTTTCCATATTTTGTCCTGTGGGACCTCTCTCTCCGGCTGTGTTTGCGGGCAGCAGTGGGAGCTCTTTCCTGCACTGCACTGCCCGCACCCTCCCTCCGTGCCTTGCTTCCTCCACTTCCCTTCACCTCATTACCCTCCCTGTGCTCCCTGGATGCCTGTTACTGGCTGCTGTGCCCTGAACTCAAGACGCTGTGCCAGATAATGTTTACAGATACTCTCAGGGCTTGTTTTATTCTAAGCAAGCAGCAGATGGATGGGTTTTACTACACACCTTGGGCCATAAAGTTCAGGTATTGGTGGGTGCATGTAGAATGTGCTGCTGTGATTCGCGGCCCCATCGTCGTCACATATTCCGCAGCTTGGTGTCTCTTTGTGGCCTGCCACACCAGAGAGAGCCCTCTTCAGATGCGAGGTTTCTCTAATGGAGAGATGTTGAAGTGTACAATTCAAGATGGTGAGAAAAAATGAAGCTATGATGCGCTGAGCCGGTGCACACGGTGGGTTAGGTTTAGGCTGTGGATTTTATTAATTAAACACGGATGCTGCTGCTTCTCAGCTGCAGAAATGTCAGTGATGTCTATTTTTATACTTTTGCATTTTCAGACTCTGTGATTGGTCAGTTAGGGTTTCATTAATAACTCATGCTGTCTGTGTAACCGAACCCAAAATGTTTTATCCCTGATAAAATGAACTACACTGATGGTAACTGAAATGTGTCAGAAGAAAAAAAGATTTAAGAGTTATGTTTATAACGAAAAAAAGCCAGTAAATCAGGTGATGATGTTAATGTGATGTGAGGCTCAGGAAATGTTTCACAGTGGTGGTAGGACACCATTACTGACAGTCTTTCGAGATGAATAATAGTCTGAACCAGTTTGGGGGTGAATGACTGAGTTGATAATTAGTTAATCAATGTACAGAGGGAAAAGTTAACCATGATTAAACATTTGCACCTGTTTTACTGCCTGCTGTTCTGGGTAACAAAATGGGCATCATTTTAGTCTGTGAAGGCAGTCAGCCATGTTGGGGCCTCAAAACAATATCATTAAGTAGTCACTACTATGACAAAAACAAAACAATCGCCAGCTGCTGCCTTCTCTTTGCTCTGCAAAGCCACGCTTTTCCCCCTCCTGAGGGTTAATGTCTTATTTCATAAAACTATTAATTCTGATGATGGTGCTGGAAATTTAGGCCAGGTGGCTGATCTCAGCTGTAAAACATCTTTTCATAATGTGCGCTGATGAGATGAAATCATGAAAACCATCATCCCTCATCTAGTTTCCCCGTCATATGTCAATTAATGTTTAAAGTATGACTGTGGGCTGGAGGTCGGCTTCATGAAGATATTTCATTGATTCAGTCAGGCTGATGGACAACTTATCGCTGACTAGGTTATGAATCGTTTAAATGTATTCAGTCTTGTGTAGCAGTGATTGATTAGTGCTCTGATTGATTCCAGTCTACCAATTGTACATAATAACTGGTTAAAATATCACAGTACGGCCCAAGTGCACGTCATAGACTGACAAGGGGATCAGTCTCCTCCCCAATGTGCATGGGCACACTTAAAGATGGTGTGGACGGTCGAGACAAGTGGGAGTTGATGAGAAAGCATACGACAGAAATCACACACACGCACTCAGAAAAAAAGCAGAACATGTGGAGCTTTTTATTGTAAGAAGACAGGAATTTAAAACGCAGGAACATATGGACATGCGGGACCTTTTTCCCGTCAAGTTCAGGCTTGCACCACTGCAACATTATCTCTGTGCGCATGCAGGATTATCCATGAAGATGGCTTTTCTGGGGATGATGTGAAGCAGTATAAGCCTGTGGTCTACAGCAACACCATCCAGAGCTTGGCAGCCATACTCCGAGCCATGGATTCCCTGGGCATCGAGTTTGGAGACAAGGACCGAAAAGTTAGTCACACCTGCCTCACTCGCATACAGACACTAAGGTTATGTAAAAAAATATATCTACGAGCCCGGGAAATGGATGGACACAGGTCATAGTGTCAGTCGGAGTTAACAAGAGATGATATCTTAATCGTTCTTCGAAATATTTGACCTGTTAGTATCATTACAAAATACAAGAAATAGCTAATTAAAACATTGTATTTAATGCAGCATATCAATAAAAAAAAAGTCATGAATAAACAGAAATACTTTAGTGGCTGTTCCTCTGAAACCTGTGGGACGTGCTTTATCCAGGCTGATGCTAAGCTGGTCTGTGATGTGGTCAGTCGTATGGAGGACACAGAGCCGTACTCTGCCGAGCTTCTCTCTGCTATGAAGCGTGTGTGGGCCGATGCCGGGACTCAGGAGTGCTTCAACCGTGCTCGGGAGTACCAGCTCAATGACTCTGCTCAATAGTGAGTACGAAAAAAAGCCGACGTCAGTTCCCCTAGAGAGAAACCAGACCACTGATCCTTCCTGCTTGTTGTCCACAGCTACCTGGACAGTCTAGACCGAATTGGTGCTGCAGATTACCAGCCCACAGAGCAAGACATCCTGAGAACCCGAGTGAAGACCACTGGAATCGTCGAAACCCACTTCACCTTCAAAAACCTCCATTTCAGGTGGGCCAGTCCCTGCAGCCTCCAGGCAACTGACGTCAGCAAGGTTCGGGAATTTGCCAGCCTCCGGTTTGAGCCGTCATCTTTTCTGATTTTTCAGGCTGTTTGACGTTGGAGGTCAGAGGTCAGAGAGGAAGAAGTGGATCCACTGCTTTGAGGATGTGACAGCCATTATCTTCTGTGTTGCTCTGAGTGGATACGACCAGGTGCTCCATGAAGATGAAACCACTGTAAGTGTGACTCCCTCAGGTGCACAGTTATACTGTAAGGCAGATGGGACAGAATTTCATTTAATTTTGTTTCAAAAAGTCTTTGTGTATTTAAAAAAAAACCTCTCCTTTACAATCTGTATAAGTGTCTGAATGCAGACATTTTAAGTTAATCAGGAACAAAAACTGCCAGGTGCCTGTGGCTCCTCTTTGATATTCAATAAAGTCAAACCTTTCAAGTTAAAAATAGCTCTAAAATAGCACTGTATATTTACTGAAAAGTGTCTTCTCCTCATAATCCACTAATTCATCCCTCCTGCAGAACCGCATGCATGAGTCGCTCATGCTCTTTGATTCTATCTGCAACAACAAGTTCTTCATCGACACCTCCATCATTCTCTTCCTTAACAAGAAAGATCTGTTTGCTGAGAAGATAAAGAAGTCACCGCTGACCATCTGTTTTCCGGAATACACAGGTGAGTCCGGGACCCCTCTCCAACCCTGAGCAAACCAGACCAACCAAGATGCTCCTCCTCTCACACTCTCCTCTTCTCTCTGTTTCCTCCCTTTGTCTCCAGGTGCTAATACTTACGAAGATGCTACGGCATACATTCAGGTTCAGTTTGAGAGTAAGAACCGCTCTCCCAACAAGGAGATCTACTGTCACCTGACCTGTGCCACAGACACAGGAAACATCCAGGTAGTGTTTGATGCCGTCACTGACATCATTATTGCAAACAACCTTAGAGGATGCGGCTTATACTGAAGCCCGGCCAGAAGCACAGAGGTTATCATCGAGTGTGTGAGGTGTTATTTAATGATAATTTTGATGATACTTAAACACATAAATATGTAATTCTACACGTCCAAATGGACCCAAAGAGCTGCCGTCAGACACCACACCGGATTATTGCCATGATTTGTTCCCTTCCTCTTATTTTAAGTATGACTCCCCACTCCCCCCTCCCTCAGTTCTGTAATTTAAAAATGTGTTTTTAAGTTGACTGTTTCGAGCTTCGTTGATGACTGTGTCACCAACTGGGAAGGCCAGAAGCACCAGGGGTGTATTCAGCTGCAGCCCTGTCCTGCAACGCTCTCAGATGCGACATGAGGAGTGAGCCTTTTCACTCGTAAATACAGCGTGGGCCCATTCTTTGTGGCATCTAATGTGCTCTGAATACAGCCTCTGGTGCTCCGCTTGAAGAGCTGCTGTGTGTTGTGTGAAAGTGGAGATGATGATGATGATGAAGATGGTATCGGGGAGGTGCTGTTCTCGTGGCTGAGGGTCATGGATGGAAAGAAGGAGGCTGTTTTGACTTTCCTTCAGACCCACACATGACTGAGTAGCCTGCAGGTCTGTTCCACTCTGTTTTCTCTTTTTACTTTCAAACATAATGAAAGAGAGGATTCATCTGTTTAGAGTGGCCGCCCATCGCCATCGGTCTCTTGTAGCGTGAGGAAAGACCTATCAGCCAATGATATCTTTAAAAGAAAAAAAAGACTAAATAAAAAAAAAAAGTGATATTGGTGCCAACCATCTGAGAATGACAGATAGGGGAGTAGGACAGAAATCATAGCTCATTCTATTGACTATAATATTTAAGTGACAGATATTAGATTTTATTATCATTGAATGATTTATTTATTTAAGCCTCATGCCCTACATGCCTCCTCCTACCTCCTGAAATCCCGTGCCACATATGTTTCCTGTCATAAAAAGCAGGGGTGCGCCGATATCTGCTCAGAGGGTGGAGAGCAGCCCTCAAATGACAGCTTGTTCTCTGTGTGCTGGTTGACCCTTCGATGTGAATCTGTGTAGAAATAGAAAACCGCACCAGGAGAACAATGTCATTCGAGGCAGCTTCTGACCGGGGAGTTTTTTTGTTTTCTTTATTTTAAATAAAAAAATACCCTCTTCTCTCCCCTGATCAGTGAACAGGGAACTATTATCCCCACCGTCTGTCACGTTTCTCTTTGCATAGAGAAAAAGTGCAGCTCTCCATTTACACCCGTGCACCCAGAAATTCATCTTCCCATCCCCTGTATTCTCTTTACCCATCACATATCAGTCCTCATATCCTATCTCCATTTTCACCTTAAAAGCACCGTACTGTATATATATATTATGATTATACCAGATTTTTTTTTTACTGTGAATGTTTTCGTGCTGCACCCCATCCTATTCAGTAGTTTATTGGTTGCTCTCATGTGGAATGTTTGTGCTGAGCCAATCGAATGTTGTGTTTACATTAAAGCCACACTTTTCCTAACTATTCCTGCCCTTGTTTGTCTGAGTTGACGGTGCTGCGAGGTAACCGGGTTGATGAGCTGTGCCATCACAGGGCTGTTCTCTCTGCTCTCTGGCCTGCTTTAATCTGTGCAGAGAATTAAGGCTGGACCAGGAAATTAGGCTGAACATTATGAGTGCACCACTTTTAATGCTTCATTGCCCTGTGAACAAAGCTTTGTGTTTGGAGTCATGAATACAGTCATGTGAAAAGGAGAGTACACTGAGGTTTCATGTATCAGGACATAAAAAAATAAAAAAAATCTTACCAGATAAAAAGAGGTAAATGCAACCAAAGAAGAACGGCATGCTATATATAACATTGTCATTATTTATTGAACATAAAGACAAAATGAAAAAATGTAGGGTGGAAAAAATTCCCATCTCACAATTCCTATAAAAATGATGACAGTAAGAAGTAGCCTGGGGCAGTTCATAAAATGGACTTGATTAATAGATTATGAGGAAATGTGAAGTCTTCTGCGGAAGCAGAAATGCAGTCAGTTGTTTGTTGGTTTGGAACATTGTTAACCAAATGTCAAGGAGGAAAGACACCAGCAGCAAATATGATGTCCTGATGCAGAACCTGGACTCCTGGTTCCTTCAGTAGGAATGACCCAATAAATTGGGTCATGCAGCAGAAAAATGTTCCCAAGCAAATCATCAATTTCATCACAAAATGGCTGTCAAAGAGTAAAAGGATTTAACATTCAACATACCACTTCTGTATTTGGCTTTAGTAAAACAGTTTTTTTTTAACCACATCAGGATTTATTCATCTAAATTTGAACACCTGATAAGGACAAGACGGGTGTTCTTTTTTTTTTAAATGTCCTGACATGTAGTGCCTTTGCATTGAAAAAGTGGATGCGCTTTCTTTTCCACACGACTGGGTCTGTATTACAGAGTCTTTATTAAAGAACATGTTGTACATGGTAACAGGGCAGCACCGAGATGTAAAATGTGGCCAACAGCAGGGATCAGAGGCGTAGTGAAGCGGTGCTCAATTTATTAGGTTAAAAGTGTTCCATCATCACAGACAAGGAGCTATTCATATATTGAATGACTAGGCTGGATCAGCTGTCTGACCTGCTTCTGTCAGTTTAATGGGTATGATGTTCATTACTGCTCTGTTTCACTGTCAGCCCCAGAGCTCCTCTCCTCAGTCCCAGGGTGTCGTTTCTTGCTGCCAGTTACAGGTTAAAAGGTTGGAATTCCCACTGTGCTACAATCACACATTTACAACTTTAATTGCACATTTTACAGGTAATTAATATGATATAAATTACCACTGCTGCCGCGTAATCCCATCCCCCGCATCCCCACAAGCTCAGCTCTAACCCACGCAGCGGAAACGCCACCAAGAAACTGTCAATGTCTTCGTTTCAGGCTTGAAAAAAAAACACAAAAAAAACGCAGGTCCTTTTTCTACAAACGTACGTTTACTGAGCCATGGATGATGCAGGACCTGAGCTCTCAGGCGAACAGAAGGTGGGTCATTCGCAGCAGTCAGCTCGCTCTCTGGCTACAGTCGTAGCCTCTTTATATCTTCGCTCCTGAAGTCGTTCCGGAGGGCCAGAACCTGCCGCACCTCAGCCGGGGTCAGCCGCCATGTCAGCGGACCGGAGTTAGGCCCCCAGTAATCCAAGATCTCCGTCACCTGCAGGAAACGTGGTTGCAAGTGAATGTGAGGACATGGAAAATGTTTGTCGGAAAATTCTTACACCGTACACTAGAGATTATGTATTGTCTTTCCATTGTCGGAGAGGGAAGCAGAGGTATAGTTAGTGTTGTAGTCCTGAGACTGACATCTCCAGACAAACAGTCTGCATAAAAACTCTGCAATTATTTGGATTTCCACATCACAGGCTGCAGAAAATGCCTCAAATTGCAAATGGGAAGCTATAAAATGGTCCTTTTTTAATGACATCCTTGGAAGCAGGATGTTGTTTGTAACTCTTTGTATTTCTAAATGTTTTACCACAAGTTCAGAGTGAAGTGGGAGAAAAAAATCTGCTTCCACCAAAATAAGTAGCTGAAATATTGAACTCTTACTTTGATGTTTCTCTTTTTTCAATCCAAAAGCACTAAAGAGAACGTCTATCTTTGTATAGTTCACTGCTGGTGAACATCAGAAATCATTTGATTTCTCATTCTCATCATTGTGTGAGAAGGGAAAAAATTTTAAAGACTAAATTACCCGCTCCAGGTTGAGGATGGTGGCCATTTGCGTGAGACGAGCAAACTTGTCTCTGATGGTCCATGTGGTCACGGTGGTCAGATATGCCACGAGAGACCGAAGCTCTTTATCAAACTGCAGCCCTCCGAGCTGCAACAAAAGGGTAAGAAAACAGTAAAGCAACTCCTTGGGGTTGCATCATCCTGTGTGAAGATCAAATTAATCTGTGAGGAGACGGTCCCCCTGGACTCATTAATAAATCACAGCGGGAGCCCTTTTTCCTGTACGCAATGCAAACCCGCTGCCACCTTGTGGCTGAGCTCAGTCACTCACCCTGCTGAATGAGCATTTGAGGACTGTCTTCTCCATTTCGATAGATATCAAGCTGGTCATCAGACTGGTCAGAGTGTCGTATATGACAGGAGAAAGAGCAACCTGGTGGGGCAAGAGAGCGATAACTGCAACAGCAGACATGACTAAAATATTGAGGAATGAGCATACTCGATGCTTAAAAGGTGTGGGTACCTTAAACTCTGCCATGAGCTGCTCCAGGTTGACAATGAGCTGCTGCACCCAGGGATCATTGGCTTCATAGTCATTAAACTCCTCCTGTGAGGACAGCCGGCAGTTACAGCAACACCTTTCATAAGCTGTGAATTATTTTTGTGAAGAATTAAGGAGACAATTACTTCTTCTATGTTATGCGAGATGGACAGGAAGCTGCTGATCCACGGTTTGACCTGGGGTTTGATGGCAGTGGTGTTCAGCTCCGTCAGACCCTCCTGGGATTAAAATCAGAATTTGGGATCTTTCTCTATAGTAAAATATACTGTTAAACAAAGACAGCACCCACTGATACACACAGTTGTCTTTATATATGGGAAACGTGTTTGCTTAAAGATACTAAACAAATCTCCTCAAATGCGGCTTTTGTTCTTTCTTTTAGACTTTCTGCGCACCTTTCAAAGCTCATATATTACTGTGTGTGTGTGTGTGTGTGTGTGTGTGTCCAACCTGTAAAAGATCCTTGAACTTTGTGGACGTGCTGATGAGGTCAGATAAACAGCTCTCGATCTTGGCTTGTTCTCCGGAACCAAACCCCTGACTAAACAGCTTGGTGCAGTCGTTCTGCCAAAAGGAAGAAACTAGCGTTAAATGAAATGAACAGAGGTAAGGGTGTTTTGGGAATGGTATCCAAGTTACCTCTAAGTTCCTTTTTAAAGTTGTGATGTTCTCACTGCAAACCTCCACATTATTCAGAGTCACCTGTGTTGTGAATAAAAAAACAGATACTGGTTGAGTTTAAGCCAGGAGCGTTCAGCATAGCTCCCATTTGCTCTTTTAAAATATAATATACTGCAAACACCTAAACCTGTAGCTGTTTATTTTTAAAGCCATTTTAAGTATTAAAGCACCATTCTAGAAGCTTGTTCATGCTTCTTCGTCTTATTAATTCAATGTTATATCATTCTTAAGAAATGGTTTACAAAGTCTGAGTATTTCAATTAATCACAGACTTGCCAGAATTTTCGGAACTACTAACAAATATAAGGCAGAGGCGTCCTCTGTCCACTTATCTTACCAGGAATGCAGCCTTGGCATTTTCAGTGCTCTCAATGCCCATAGTGTTGAACTTGCCCTGCTGCAAGCTGCTCTGCATCAGGCTGACCGCACTGCTCACGCCCCGCTGGATGTCCTGCAGCGTTGTGGCCGGGAAGCCCTGCCGCAGCTTATTACACAGCACCTCCCTGACAGGAGGAGATAATGGGAGGCATGCACGCAAGAGATGCCAGGCAGGTGCTTTTAAAAGTGTGTAGTACGACTCGGGTAGGTGAGTCGGGTGGAGACCGACCTGAAGTCAGACTCCAGCAGGGAGTTGGCGTGGTTGATCATCGCACAGAGGCAGTCGATGCTGGAGCTCGACAGAGCTCGGCTAATGCACTTTTTTACTATGTAGAAGCAATCGTCAACCATGATGCTAGTCAGCTGACCCTTTTCATATGAATCCATGGCGACAGCCTGAGGGAGGGCAGGGTGACAAAAGAACTCAAGTTACATCATAATATGAGCAACCCAGTTTCATAGGGTTTTGTTAAGCCTTTGCTATGGTATGGTTTTCATGCTAGCTGGATTTATTTGGATTTACGTTTAGAAAAACTGTTACAATTCATTGCTAAACACATTAAATAATGCAGGGCTGCACTCATCCCCGGTAAAAACCAGTGCAACAACAACAACGAAACCTCCATGTTCAGGCAGTAGTTCATGCATCCTGCAGTAGTCTGGTAGTCACACTTCCCAAAAATATATTCACCCATGTATTTGTCACTCTGCTAATTTAACCCATTACTAAATCCACTTGCATCCCTTGAGGGTGTTCTCAAAGAAGTCGTTACCGAATGTAAACTCTAGATAGAAATCAGACTATGATGAATTGCACACCGCTTAAATCCTAACTTCAACTGGAAATAGCACAAAGACGCCTTTGAGGAAACCTCTGAATGAACACCCTTTGTTGAATGTAAGGGTTTCAGTATCTGTACATAATATGATTAAAAGATTCAGATACTGATTAAAAGATTCAGAGACTTCACAGAAATAACTCTATTCTGACAACAAACAGTACAGAAAGGCAGGGAACAAGTTGCCATGTGATCTTTGGGCCCTCAGGCAGCACAGACTTGTTGTTTTACTGGAAATCCCTTCATCAGCTCAGGAACATTCCTAAAAATCATTGGCACTGAACAGATAAGCCACAAATGTAGATTAAAACTTGACCATGTGAACGGACAACAACAACACAGAAACAATGTGTAGAGCTGCTTTTTGTCTTTTCCAGACATTAATTACAGACTTAGTCAAACTGACCTTGTTAACAGACTCCCTCATATAGTATTCCTCCATTGGAATGTAGTAGCCAATCAGCTCCTGCATGGTAGTGCTCAGTGCACAGTGTTTCAGGAGCTTCTCCACGTTCTGCTGATGCTCTGAGTGTTACAAACATACTGTTGAGCATTTCAAAACCCATTCCAATGGCAAACATCCAGAGATGAAGAATTAATCATAAAACTACCCTGCGTGATGCTCTGGGCATCTCCCACTTCAAAGTCGGCCATGATGCGCCGGCGAAGGAAACGCAGGTAGAGCTCCGCCCTCGCGTTCATCAGAGTGACTTCTGCCAGCACAGGGTCAAGTTCTCTGTTTGGGAAAGACATAAAGCACCAACACCTCAGGGACAAGCAGGGCGGGGAATTAAGCGTGCTGCTTGGAAAGATGCACACCTGGGCTCTATCCTCTCTCCCGGCGCGCTCTTCATCATGCTGCTCTGCACAATCTGAAACTGGATGACAGATTGAAGGTCTCAGCAGGGTTGGACATGCAGTGTGATGCCAGTTCTCTCACACACACACACACCTTGTTGTGGTATCCTCTCTGTAGGATGAACTTGTCAACAATTTTTTGGGCCTGCCGGTCACATTCCTGCTGCAGGTGAGTGATGAGGATGTACAGATGGCCTGGGCCGTAATACGTCTCTACTATAGGTTGATGGGTCTCTATGACACGAGCGATACCTGTGTAATAACATTATGCAGACAAGCGCATTAGTGGAGTCTAGAGACATGAAAAAAGAAAAAGCAGGCACACAGGTTGTTTTCTTCACCTTCCAGCAGCAGCGTCAGGGTGTCTGCAAATATCATCAGAGCTCTCTTCTCACCCAGATCACCTCCTGTTGCTAACAGCAAGTTCTCCTCGGCTTTGGAGGCAAGCTGTGAGAGCAAGAGTCAAAAATACTGAGACAAACTCCTGATAAGATGTGATTACAGATTTGCAAAAGTGTTTATTTTCATTTGTGAAAAGGGATTTGTAATGATGAGAATAGGATCCTTTGAAATAGAGAAAGGCAGCACATCTTGACAAAAATATACAACAAATTTAGAATTCAAACCATATTTTCACAAAGGAACGTCCAGTTCTTCTTCAGCTAAAAGAAACACTGAAACGTATCTTATTGTTATTTACAGAATTCAACCATTCTCTTAATCTACCTTTTGTCAGCTCTCTAAGTTCTAACCCTAACCCACAAGGATAACAAATAATGAAGGGACCCAACTCTCAGAAGACTAAAAAAGAAAAGCCTGTGTTGGTACCAACCTGACTACAGAGGTATTGTCCAAAACGGGCGAGGCCCTGCTGGTGGAGGCCCAGCAGAGGGAAGATTTTGAAAAACCTCTCCACCTGTGCCAGGTCCACTGCTGCCACAGCTTCATCGAGCTTCTCTGCAACGATGACCTTCAGCTTCTGCTCTGCCTCCTGCAGCAGGACCAGGCTGGCGTCCACTGCGCTGCCTGTGTGCAACACAGGTAGTGATCCAGTGCTCACAGTCTTAAGTTTTTACGCGACACTTTGTGTAAAATCGACGACAGGTAATGAATGACTGATTATCCAATTTCAAGAGAACATGCTGGCAGTTAACTGTAGGTGGGTGCTGCTGTTTGGTGAAGTAAGGAGTCAGAAAAATAACCAGAGATAACAGGAGTCTCTTTTCTTTACCAAACAGTATGTTTCGCACAGACAAAGAAAGAGATTGGAAGCAGTGAAAGCATGCTTCCTGAAAGAGAATTTGAGGGCACATACTCTCTTCTCCCTGCCTGCTCAGCTCAATGACTGACTGGTCCAGGGACAGGTAGCGATGGATGTGTGCAGCAGCCTGCTCGTAATCTTCATTACGCAGAGCTGTCTGCACACCATCTGTGCAGAACTTTAGGTCCAGGATGTCATCAGCTCTCTGGATGACATTATACAGCCGTGTCTACAATAGATAAAATGTTGAATCATTTCAATTATGAGAAACTGAAATAATTGGCTGGTTCTGCAGATAACCTGCGCTCCTGTATTTGACATGATCCTGGTTTGAATGATTATTTAATCATTATTTAAACTTATGTGAATCAAAAGGCACACCCACCTTAGCCAGGTCTAGCTGTCTGACTTTCTGGCTGACATTTTCAGCCAGGCTGCAGGTAAAAGTTATCATCCCAGACAGCTGGCTGGCGTCTCCTCCGATCAGCTGGAGATTAGGTCTGCAGAGGGAATACAGAGCATTTTGAATAGCAACAAAAAAAAAGTACATTTGAATGATTTCAGACATCCAACTGATTTTGTGACTGAACCAGTCAGAGAACTCTGTACCCCATCCTCTGCAGTGCAAGCATCTTTGTGTGAATGGCCCCCTCCTGGCCCACCAGCCTGTCCAGCTGAGCTTCCACCTCTTTCTGTAACAATTACAGCAAAGATTGCAGGTTTTACAAATCGCGCAACATTTAATTGTCTGCACAGTGAGTACATAAGATAAGTTATGAGAAAGGATTGCAGGTTTTAGGAGAATATGGTGACAACCTAAATCAGCAGACTGTAAGGTAAGGTGGTTAACCTCTCTGTGGGATATGAAACCATCACAGGTCCATTTGTTCTACTCAGAGTTACTGTAGATTTCTGAATAATGTTTCCTTCATACAATGTTCATTGTGGTTAAGGACACAGTTTGAAGAATGTCCTATGGGACCATATTTAGCCAACAATCATACACCTGGTGATTTCTGAGCACATCTTCAAAGATCTGTGCAGTGCTACAAAGACAAAAACACGAGACTATCAGAATCTCAACAGCTCTACTACTGACAGAAATATGTATTAAGGGAACAAAAACTTTGAATGAATTAAACTCTATAATAAATGCAATTAAATGATCTATCAATGAATCACACCATGGGTTTAAGTATGGTGTAACATTGGTCGTGATGTTCCTAAGTAATTACTGAGTTACCAATACGATTTCGCTCAGACGTGCTATGTATGTTAACAGAAGTCAAATGCTAAAAGGCCAGGTTGTCTAAACACACTCAGCAGTGGCTCTGATACACCTTGCTAAGCAAAGAAACTCTTCCAGCTTCATGTTGTTTAGAGAGCAGCGTTTGGAGGCAGCTGAGTCGTGGAAGTTTACGTCGGTGACGTAGACAACAAGCAGGCCGCCGTTAGCAGCCCTTTATACTAACCTCCTCTACGCAGAGCTGCTGGTAAACTTTCTCCAGATCCTCCAGCTCCGTCAGCGTGGAAATGGTCTCCATACTCACAGAGGAAAGAGAGCCGGAGTCATATCTTTTCGCTGCCAAAGCACTGCTGTCAGCCATCTTCCGCACCACGGAAACTACTACACAGCCAACGTCATCAAGGGCTTCTATTTACCCAGTGTTTAGTCTGAAAGGTAGTCTCTGGTGGAAGGGTTTTCTGGGCTCAGGCGAAGAAATACTCAGTTCTATATCCCGACCATACAGGTACAGTTAGGAAGCGGTAACTTGCACACTGACTCCTGAGCAACATGGTTTTCCTATCGAACAGACAATACAGAAGTACCTGAGAAGCATAGCACAGGGCATAATTCCTCAAACTGCGCATGCGTATGGGACGGTTCATGAACCCTGGTAACTCATGTATGAATACATTCACACTGTTTTGTTTTTTGTGGTTCAAGTGGATCATCTAAAACCTCCTTTCAATGTTCATTGCAGACGGTGATAAGAAAGTGGTGTTGTGATAAAAGTTTATTTGAAGACAAAATGTCTTGACGTTAAAAGTAGAAAAATCTAAATTTACAATAAAAAAAATCTCCTATAATATACTTATCCATGCACAGCAGATGAGTTATACTAAATTCACAAAACCAAAGAAAGAGTTCTACAGCACATACCTCTTCTCTAAGGTATGCTTTTATGAATTAGACAATGGTACAGAAAGTTAACCCTGCCTCAGTGTTCATACTAGACATGACTATTGGATAAAAGAGAATACAGAAAAGTCGGCATGACACTGAAGAGATGTGTTTTTATGCAATCATAACTTACAAAAAGCTGTATTCTATTTTGGTTTGGTTTGCCTTTCCAGCGCATTTGAGGATAAGTATTTCAAAATGAATAACTAGAAATAAAACTGAGAACATACTGTATTTACAAAACCATATTTCTGTAAGGGTAGAAAACTGGTCACTGCAGGAATTTGTCCTCATGAAAACTTGTCTGTCCCCCCTTTCATTCCCTCCCTGAGCAGAATTCTGAAGGAATGAGGCACTGGTGACCTCTAGAAGGATTAATGGATTCCTTTGTGAAAAACCTAGCTTACTTACAAATAATATCTCCCAAATCATCCCACATACCTTCAGTGTACAGGTTAAAAATGACAGCATCTTGGCAGATAGCTGTCACTTTCTTAAATATACAACTGTTTGCAGTACTTCCTGTCCGCTGTATTTAATCTGTATTACAGTTTAGTTCTCAGCATATACCTCTGTAAGTATAACATACTGTGATTTCCTTCGTAGGACAAATAAAGTATCTATCTATCTATCTATCTATCTATCTATCTATCTATCTATCTATCTATCTATCTATCTATCTATCAATCAGCTTAAATATATGTGGAAAACTACATAAAAAGACACCTACCTGATTACACAACAAATGTATACATTGCTTGGTGTGAATTTAAACTAAATGCAGGCAAGGGCGCAGTTGGGTTAATCTAGAGTGATGGTAAACACCAACTTAAACACTAAACTAAATAACTGTGCATAGATTATCAGCAAAGCATTTGTCGCCAAAATAATTTGTAAATATTAAGTCTCATAAGATTTACAGAGAAGCTAGAAATCACTGGATCCCTCAAATCAGGACTTTTCCTGAAGTCTGGAGTGCAACTTAAGTTTTTCTCTTTCTTGGTGGAGCTCTTCCCATTTCTTCTGAAGCTCTGCCTTTTCCATCTCCAGCTCTTCTCTCTGTCTACTTAAATCTTTGGCTTCCAGCTGCTGTGCCTTCCTCAGTGACTCAATCTTCTCCCTCTCTGCTTCTGCCTCTCTGGCACTAGCTGCTCGCAGCTTCTCCAGCAGCTCCCTTTGTTGCTCCAGAGTCCGAGCCTCCTCCCTCTGTGTTCTCCTCAGAGCTTCTATCAGCTCCATCTCCCTGCTGAACACTCCTCTGTCTATGGCAGACGTTCCCGAGACAACATTCAGTTCACCTGCAGGCGGGAAAGGTCACAAGTTTAGTGATTACATGAATTTTTCAGCATACAGCAATATTATCGGTTATGAGTAAGAAATTCTAAGTTAATATGGAAATATTTAGGAAAACTGCTATTTTCTCCACTTATTTGAAATATTAAATCAATGAAACAGTACTAGAACAACAACTGTAATGAAAGCTTTTCTCTAATGCTACAGTCCAGCCATTACCGTGTGGGCTCAGTGACAAGTTCAGAGGTGATGGGTGCTTCCAGTTGGAAAAAAGCTCAGAGAACACCTTTGGGTGTCGCTTTGACAAGTGTCGATGCAGATTGCCGGTGCCTCCGCTCAGAAAGTATTGCAGCTTCTTCATGCATATGAGGCAGCGAGCAGCGTTCAAACCCTCCAATCGCTCAAAGTGCCTCCAGATCAAACTGCGTCTGCGTGTCCCATGGTTGCTTTCGTCTGAATGCGCCATCTGCTGCACTGACTGTTCTCGAAAAAAGTTCACGAGGCCACTGTCGACAGCATTATCGCTTTCACTCACAGGGCTGACATCAGAGTCGTCATCGTCCAACACCACTTCCACTGAATAAGAAGGAAAAAGCGCAAACATTGGTTGCAGTTATAAAACATGTGCATCACTCTTTCAAGTCCAGCTAAATTTAATTAAAACAGATTATGAGCACTGACAGAGGGCAGAACACAAGTGTTCATGATGGATGAGGATACAATTACAATCATGAACCCAGCAGAAAGTTTGACACAGTCTTGTGTTAACATGTAGGACAAGCTTTTTAACTGAATACTGTATATCTGACACCTGGATACTGAGAGAGCAGGAATTCAAGGGAAAGGAAATAGAAGACTATTAGAATGAGACCTTTTTAATTGAGAACTCAGCTACATTACATGTACACTTTGATGGTCTAGCTGAAGGTTAATCAAGCCAAAGCCACATTATCCAGATTTGTGGGTCTTATTTTGAAAAGCTACGTGTATAAGGATTGTGGTCATGCCAGCATGCTTATATGCATTTTAAATTTCCCAAAAATATTTAACTAAATTATTTACGAAGTCAAACAGGAGCGTTCTAAAGCTTACCTGGAGTCTCCCATGAGCCTTCACTAATTTCATCAGCATTTGGGTCCTGAGCTGAGTTGGATGACAGTGGCTGCTGCTCGTTGGATACTAGTTCAGAGAACAGCTTTGGGTGCTTGTTTAACAAGTGTCGACGCAGGTTTCCAGAGGCATAGCCTCCTAAACACTGCAGGGTTTTCTGGCATATGCGACAGCGAGCAGAGTCCAAACTGTCCAAGCGCTCAAAGTGCCTCCAAATCAAACTATGCCTGCGTGTCCCTCTCTCAGGCCAGTCATCACTTTCACCTGCATGCATTTCCGGCTGGGCTGCATCTCCATGCAAAGCTTGAGCGAAGCCATTCATGACAGGAGTAACGGTCTCCTTCAACGCGGTGATGATGGTGGAAGTTCTGTTCTGAAGTGCCACTTCTGCTTAATAAAAAGAGAAAAATATTAACTATGGAGAGAAGAAAAACAAAGCTGAGTCTATCAAGTAGGTGTCAACACAGAGAGATGAGAAGAGCTGCTGATTATCAACTTTTATTGTCTGTGAGCTCTGAGTGTCATGGTGATGGTGAATACCTGAAGACTGCCGTTGTTGCAATCCCAGAAAAGGCGCGTCAAAGCCTCCATTAGCGTTTGAGTTGTGTACTTCTGCAGGAGGTTTCTGCCCATTGGCTAGTAACTCGGAGAGCACCTTGGGGTGTCTCTTTGACAAGTGTCGACGGAGGTTGCTGATGCCACCACTTACATGTAACCTCTTTGCACAAATGCGGCAGCGGGCGGCATCCGAACTGTCCAACTGTTCAAAAAGCCTCCAGATCAAACTGCGTCTACGAGTGTGTCTTACAGGAAGTTTACATCTGGCCTCAGCATGTAACATCTGCACAGCTGGGCCTTCATTTGAAGCTTTCAGGAGGGTGCTGTGATCAGAATCATTCACTGTGGTCAAGGTGTCAGAGTCTCCATCCTCCAGAGCCACTTCCACTGAAGTAGAAGAGAGCAAAATTCAGGTTAGAGCTGCAAATACTGATGTATCAATATCATTATGTAACATTTCTTACTTTAATAATAACGTGGGTGGCATGCACATCCCAATGATACACTTGTGTCAACTACCCAAGCTTTCACAAACTCAGTGCTGAAAAATAGAAGAATCCGTACCAGAGCAGAACTGTTCAGGCTCAACTTTTATGTCCTTGTGGTCCACACTAGCCCCAGTTTCTACAACACGTCCAATATTACTTTTGAGGACTTCGACGGTGTGCTTAAGGCGCAGATGTCTCAGCATCGGTGTGGTGGAGCCACGGCTGTTCCTGAGTAGAAAACCACTGCAGATCACACACTGCACTGTGCTGGAGTCTATGTCTTTAAAATAGCTCCAAACTACACTTCTCTTACGGAACATTTCCATCTTTAGTCTCCGATTTTACCTATTGAACCTGCATTAATTTATTAGCTGAAGTCACTTTGTGTACTCCACTACTGAAGAGCAGCAATTATTGCCCGTATCAACAATGTTAGCTGTTGTGCTAAGCTAACCTAGCGCCCAGTGACCCATAATGCATTGCAAGAGCCCGGATTTCTTGAGATTTTCCACTTTAAAAACTAAACTAAGAGGAAAGGATGAAAATATTTACAAAAAGTTGATAACAAAATAAGTATAATTTGTATCTAAAATGCAATTGCAAAGTAATTCACCCAAGGAATAACATTTAATGTATGTTGGATACGAGAATAAAAAAATTGTACGGTGGCCGTGAAGAGAAATATTGAGACATTAGAAAATACTGACGACACTGCATTCATTAAGTATAGTAAGAACCTGAAAGTGGTGCATGATGTAATGTGCATAACATTAATCATTAATTAAAGTTTTTGTGTTCAATTAATAGTTTTACAGCAACTCTGGCACACCCTGTCTTGGTCGAGAAAGTGCAAAAATCCACCCAGATAATACTGTGTTTATGTCATGGTGATATACTTAAGATGTTCATTTTGTTTAGAAGATATGCTACTGTTAGTGTTTTTTAACATAAACAATTTCTGAGAATATTTTAGTTTGACTAAATCTGCTAATATTAAGTAAATCTGTATACATTTACAGGAAAAAAAGATTAACATTTACTAAGTAATTCACATCTTATTTAATCCTATTTCAATGCATTTCTTGTTTATATCATTAATTAGATTTTTCTTACACATAGCTAGTTTTTTTAAACTTATTTTATTGACTGTTATTGGGCTTGCACTGGGACCAGAGTAACTAATTTCATTCCACTTCATGTTTAACATGCGAGATAAGAAAACTCCTTGAATCCTATCTGCAAGAAAGTTATTTAGATTTACAAATTATCTGGATGTATATACAGTTTACTATTTTATTAACATGTCTAACTCATATTTTCTTCAGTGTATTGTGAAGGGTCTTAGTTTCATCATTGGAAATAATAACTACAGCTTTGTTAAGGTTTGGTTGCAATCTCATTACACAGCTTAATAGAAACTAAGGGAGTTTTGACCAACAGAACTATAACATGAAGACGAACTGTATCTTTGTCAAAGGAAGCCGAAGGTCAAAGAAAAACTGATAACTGTCGCCCTCAAGTGGATTATAAAGTAACTACGGGATGCTCCCACATTTAAACGGAGATGGCATCAAGTCTGAGGTAACGCTAAAGTTAAAAACATTTTCACTTTCAAACACATTTTTTGTTTATAATGGTTTTATAATCGTTTATAACAGAAATTGTGTTGTTTGAATGATAATTAAATTCAGTTATAAATCTTCCCAAAGTAATCCTATCTTTCTTACATTTTCTTGACATACTGAAGGACTCAAATTGTAAAAAAGCTCTGATTGCTACCTAACATTTTTAACCTCATGCCTGAGCTCTTTCCTGTACTTACATCTTTTACTGACAGAAGGTTTTGGCCACATTGAAAAGATAAACAAGGGTCAGGCAAGGAACTCTAAATGAAAACTCTTTTATTAAAGGAAATATCTGTTATTCAGATAAACAGCACACTTTCCCCAGCTGTAAAGCAATGAATTAGTGCACAAAATGCCATTTAAAAACACCAATTAATCTTTTTAAAAAAAGGAAAAAGATAAATATTACAAAATTTAACAGAAATAATTCACAGGCTGAAAACAATTGACAAAACGAACATTGGCAAACTTTTTCCAAGTAAACTCATAAATAAATAAAAAGAAAAGTACTCCTCTTACAAATGTTAAATTCACCTTTGCAGCAAGCTGGCTGGTGTTAGCATAAACAGTATATTAAATATTCTGCATCGTTTCAGTGCAATAACACAGCAACTGCTGACGAGTTGCTGAAAACGCAGCTGGAATGTTTTTTTTTTTAATATATTGAGGGGTCCTGCAGGCAAATGTTTTGTAGAGACACTTTATGTAAACTCGATTGGTTTTGTAAAGCACTGCTGGGATATGCGAGGTAAGAATGTAACACGTATGCATCCATATTTGCACGAGTCTTCGAAGTGAACAGATCAAATAAAACCAGTAATGAGAGCGTCTGTCCTTAACACCTCCGACTCAGTGGTGCGGCAGACTGAGGACGCTCGTGGCTGACCATATTTAGAAACAGTGAAATGAAGTGGCTAACTGTAAACCTCCTTCACTGGCACTTCAGTGAGCTATTTATTCTTACTTGTGAACATCAAATCCAGTGATTCTACTCAATAAAAGATCAGTATAGTTTCAGGATGACTGGTGGCCTCACATATTGGACAACACGTCTGTAACACATTTGAATGTGTGAGGCTTAACTTCTTAAATTATTCAAATCATTAACTAACATAAACAAATTGCTCACATGCATTCAACGCGATCCGGTTGTCTAACACCTCCAGGTTTCATAAAAATCTAAACAAAAAAAACAAAAACAAAAACCTAAATATAAGTCTGTTTGTTTAATTGCTACTGTTCATCTAAAATCTCACTTTTGGAGCTGTCACATGTTCACCATGTGCACGTCAACAGGTTAAAAGTTAGTTTTAACTATTAACTTTGCGACAATAAGTGAACTGTTGAATTATTTTCCCCAAGAATTAGCCGTCAAGTCCAGGAAAGCCATTTTTCGGTCATTATTTTCCCAAAATACTTAAAAAACTAAACATGGTGTCTGTGTTGAACACATTACAGTCCTTAATCATCCGTCAGTAGAAATTTAGTCCGAAGTTATACATTTTCATAAAATGATACAGAAAAGAAAAATGTGTGGAAGAGGGGAGTAGTTTCAATGGCTTGGAGGCCAGAGAGGAAGTGTAAGCTTTTTACAGCCTTTCCTAAAACTTAAAACAGGCTGTCACTTTACATAACATTTACTTGAAGAATTGGGCATTCTGAAGGACAACGCTACACATCCACATTAAATTAGTCTATTCTCTACATAGCTTATTTCACCCAATCCCTGCTATCTTATGTCTGTCATGGCAAGTCGTAACACAAAGAAAATAAACAGCTAACAAGGCTCTCTTTCAACCCTTTCAGTTATCCAACAATTTGCAAAAGCACATAATCTAAAGTAAAAAGACAACAACTTTGTACAGATCCGTATTTCTTATTCCGACTTTTTTTTTAGTTCAAAATGAGAATGATTTTCGGCTCTTCCAGAGCTTTCTTAATCAAAGTATCTTCCTGCGCTCTTTTTCCATCGCTATCCGAGGTAGACTCTCCCCATCATAATAAGGTGCTACTGGTGTTTCCTAACACCTGCCTATTTTCTTTCAAACATCATTTTATGTATAACAGAGATTCACAGGTTAACTAAAAGTTTGGACAAATTGAGGGAGGCCAGTGTTTATCTAAAAAGTCACTGAAGTTCGGCTTCTTTAACTTTTAAAGAGTCCCAGAGTGAAGATAAGGCAGTGTTTTGTTTGGGTGTGTGGTACCAGTAGAATTCAGTCAGGTTTTCATAAATAAACTAAATTCAGATGTTTACCAATATTTACTGGTGAGAATTCAATTACTGGATCTGCGGTTTAGTGTAAAAACTAATTACAACTGTGAATGGTGAAGCGCACAATGCAGGCGTGAACCTCTTCCATGAAATATACAGCTGGAAGTGATACAGAGTGTGGAACAGAGAAAGTGGTCGTGTGTTTCTTAAGAAGCCGGAGCAGCTGAGTTATTGATGAACAATCCGAACCCTGTTAACGTGTAGTTTGTGCACCAGTGGAATAAGTTAAATCAGTTTTTGTTTCTCTGAAGAGCCTCACACAAGTTGTGGTTGGGGTCTGGCTCCTGACTCATGATCTCAACACACACCCATTCTCCACTAGAACTGGACTGCTTCACAGCCTCGACCACCGTCTGCACGTACAGGCCGTCCTCGAAGGTTGGCGCCATGGCAACTGGACCTCGCGCCCAGGAACGGCGTTCTTCGTGAGCCTGAAAAGACTGTCTCAGTGCCTTTACCATGGAGCTGAGCCCCTGCAGGTGAGGCAGGGGCATCGCTTTCACCTCTGGTCCAACCCACCCGTTGTCACCTAGCAACAGCTCCTCGTCTTTACTCCCATTGCGTTGGCCAAACAGTTCTGTGCCTCTGACAGTCAACCTCCCAGTGGATCCAACTACCATGACCTCGTGCACAAAGGACCCTGGCATGTTGAAATTCAGGGTGACTGTGCAGCACACACCAGCAGACCCACTGCCACCCATCAACATTTGGAAGAAACAAAAGTCGTCGCTAGTGACGCGCCGGATGCCACGGATCAAGCTGTTCTGTTGGACAAAGGTCCGCAGTAAACCGTGGACACGGTGGGCTCGCGCTCCTGTCAGGTAACTTAAGAGGTCAATGATGGCCGAGCCGACAGTGTGCAGCCCGCCTCCTCCCATCAGCTCCTCACAGGTCCAACCATACGACTGGTCCAGGAGACTTGGCCCATACACCCGAACGTCACACACCTGGATTTCTCCAATGTATCCTTCGAGCAGTCGCTGGCGCATAGCAACAAAGGCTGGCAGGAAGCGCAGGGTGTTACCCATAATGCTCAGCAGCTGGGGGTAGTATCTAGCTGCAGTCACCATCTTGAAAGAATCCACAGCAGTTGCAGCTTTCTCACATACAACATTCTTACCTATGCCTGCCAAAAGAAGGACAGTTAAATCATTATTCTCGTCATCTTTGAGACAAAAGAAGTAGTAACAGATTTGAAATTATCTGAGGTTTCTACATTGTAACCATTAAAACCAAAAACTTGAACAAATATGATTTAAAAGTGGGGGCTTTTTGAGTGCAGTGATAGCGTGGAGTTGATGCTAGCATTAGTGCAGCCACATGCTACATCAAAGTGGGTGCGTGTGGTTTTCATAAATGCAGATAAGGCTTCAGTAGCCCGTGGGATCAGGGCAGCAGATAAGCGTTTCAGCAGGGAAACATTCAGGAAGTTACAACTATAACAGGAAACTGAGCTCAACTCTCAGGAATTCCACCAGATAGAGTTAAGTTAGTTTTGTAAACTACTCCCCTCTGATACAATAACATATTTTGATTTGATTTACAGTCAGCTACTAAAACTGTCTCGTCTCAGATGTCGCTTTGTCACCCCCCCCCAAAAAAAAATCCTTGTTGTTATTGCTATGACTTCCAACAATCACTTTCCAACCCTAAACAATTTCATAAAGACATTTGTGCTACTCGTTCATTCACGTCACTTGAGCAGTTTGTGTGATGAAGATCCGAAAGCGGATCAAAACAACTCGACCATATATTCTCAGAAGAAATTCTAGTTTTTACACTGTGAATTTTGTCTTTCAAAGAACGTTAAAAAATATACAGTATAATTTTTGTAATAAAGTGCTATTGTAAATGACAAACAAGATTAAAAAGCAACTGAATATGGGGACAATTTGGACAGTCAACCACATACAAGTCAATGTTTTTCTAAAACAATATTCCGATGCCTTACCCAGTGCTTTGACTGCTATTTGTTTTGTCATTGAGGGTGGAATATAGATGCAAACAAGATCGACGTCTTGGTGCAGAAGGACATCGTCAGATCTGCTGGTGTGAAACGGGATTCCCAGTTCCTTTGCTAAGCAGCATGCTTCCTCTTCGCTTCGTCCCCAAAGCGCATGAACTTCGAAGCCCTCAGCTTGCAACAGAGGGACCAGCACTCGGGCTGTGCTCCCTGTGCCAAATACACCGACTCCAGGCAGCATGGCAGCGCCAATATATGCAGCTTTATGTGTGAACTGTAGCCATCCTCACAAACCTCTCAACAGCAAACCAGTCCGATTTTCAAGGCTTGTGCTCTCGTCTTCGAACCTATCAAAGGGATAAAAATGAAGAAGTTTTTTGAGAAAAAAAATAATCAAACATTACTTATGATGAAAAATGTTTGGGATAAAATCTATTACAACTTTAAAAAATAGTTCCTTTTAACAAATAGAAGCGACTGAAATGGTTACTGAAATTTGAGAAGGTCTTTAACTATACAAAACGTACTTCCTTTGCATACAAAAGATAATAGCCTCTAAAATGGCATAATATTTTTGTACTAATTTCTCCTCTAGCCTTGGCAAATGTGATCATGCAGCATCAGCATGTCTTTTGGAGGGCAAGGCCCAGTGAAACCTGTAAAAAAAACAAAACACAAACTCTCTTTTCACGTATCTAACATGCCTTCCCTGAGATTTTCCATATCTACCACATGTCAACGTCGTTTCTATCACAAACTGCACCCCCCTCTCTGTGCATACAATCCTATCAAAGTTAAACATAACAAAGTGCACACTGAACAGCTAAGTCTTGATAACGGCCACTAGGTTCAGTGTTTAATAAGGCCTTACCAAGTCAACATTTTTATTTTTGGTGTCCTGTTCAAAGTATTTGTATTCAACTTATGTGGATTTCAGCCATGGTCTTCAGCTACAATCGGTTTAAGTGGTAGAATTTCCTTAAAGTCAATCGCCTATATTGCTGAGAATGAAGCTCCAGATAGTTAGAATATTGTACTATTACACTTGCAAATATTATTATTATAGATGTCTTATGTTCAGGCGAGCATACTAGGGTGGGGTAACCACTGGCAGGAGGTAACACGCTCCATGCCATGACCGTGCGACAACCGGATGATGAAGGAAGAGCCTGTCCCTGTGCACCTGCATTACCTGTGTAACCAGACGGGATCCTAGAGTTCATACACATTGGCCACCCTGTCAGTAGGAAAAGCCTGTCACACTTAACACCACTGGACCTCGCCGAGCTGTGTCGTCTCAAAGATAAACTATGAGGAATATACACGTGGAGATTAGAAGTAGTTGGAGAGTTGACATAAGTTTTACGACGCCTCTATATTACGTAGAATTATTTCACTATATTGGTACACACACCCTGTCGAACAGAGAAGCTATTGATAAGCTAGCACGTCCAGCTAGCCACATACCGACAACAAACCTCGCGATAAGCGGAGGAACTCTCTATAGTCACTTTCGATACTTTAGAGAGCATGCAATAATAATGCCACGGGGAAAGGTTTAAATAACGCAAGCTACTTACTGTTCTGGCTGGCTCGACATCCGAGAGACGGAGGTAGGTGTCTAACCGGGCACTGCCCAGTTGCTAATGGTAACTCTGGCAGGAACTGCACGACGGCGAGGGAACCGGAAATACTGAAGAGGCTGAGAAGTGTTCACAGTAGCAGATGATAGCATTAAGATATGGCCTTGTGTTGCGGGTTTGCACGCAAAGCATATTAAGTTAGACAGAAACTAAAAAAAAAAAAGAAAAATTGATTAATAAAGTCAAACGAAGAGAGGTCAAAGACACAAGTGCCTAATTAGATGTGTTTCTGCTAGATTGGCTTGGACGCAGGGATGAAGGGAAGGATACGCCCTGCTGTGATTGGACGTTGGGAGAAGGTTGGGTCTGTCACCAGAGATGGTAGAAATATAACTGTGCTTTTTTCTTCTTTAACACATAAATTAACCCATAGAAAATGTCGCCATTGAAAATAAAGTATTATTATTTGATCTACTCCTGAGGACCATATTCATTTTAAGAAGTTTCTTACCTAGTATGCTTTGTGATATGACATTGGATCACACAGAAAAGGAATATTTCTGTGATTTACATTATGTAGACACCCAATCCTGGTCCCTATATTTAGGAGTCTGATTGGGAAATTTAACATATTACATCATCATAACAAAGACATTAAATATCCATTATCATATATCATTGCTAATCATAAACTGATCAGCAGAGATTTTGCAACGTGTACCACAAACAGAGCCTCTAAAAAGGCCTTGGTTATATTTCATTTTAGAGTAAATCAATACATTTTATTGATTGGTAAATAACTCATGGTTATTTCCATCGTTTCTGAGTGGAGATCTTTTCTATTTCTGCCATGAATGTTGAGCCAAATTTTCGATTTCTGAAGTTCATCCTATTTAAAAGACTAATAAAAAATTATAACTGAGACTTGTGGATATTAGTTTTACAGTCCATATGACTTTAAAAGATACAAATAATACTTGGTGGTTTCTTGACAATTTCATGAAACTAAATTCATCAATGTGACAAGGTTTTAAGATCAGCAGACGACTGAAGGAAGGATTAACTCAAAAGAAAGTACATACATGGTATAAAACCAGAAAAATAACAAATACGGTAGGGATGTTTGCTGCACAGAAGTCTAATATTTCAATTTGCATGTCTGAGCATAAGATACCCGTATGTTTTTAATAGGAAGAACGACAGCTGAGGAGTGAGGGGGGAAACACTGCCTGGCATCTGGGGGGTGGATTAGAGCTGCTATTTCCCTGTGGTTGCTACCACGGCCTCAATGCCATGAGCGTGATCCACCCAGGCCATCCAACGGCTGATTATAGCGCCTACCTCCTGGAGACATGAAAGGCTGAAAAGTGTGCCATTTTAAAGACAAAGGTTCAGAGCAAATAAAAATAATAAAAAGTGATGTGGAAGAAAAACGGCTATACATTCCCCCCCCCAAAAAATAAATATACCTAGAATATGATCTTTTTAAAGATGAAATCCATACTGTCATTTAATCTTTTTTAATGATAATTTTGAAGCTATTTGCTTAACATAAATAAAATAGAAGATAAAACGTGTCTGAAATAACAATTTCCGTCTGGCGTGGGAATTACTGTCCTTTACAGCTTTAAGTTTGTTATTTTGAAGCTTGCAACCCTGCGGTCAAAACTACGTTGTGACAGAAACACACTAGATGCTCTACCGCAGTGTGGCCAGCAGGGGCGCTACCTCGCTAACGAATTCGAAAAGGGTGCGCAAAGAATTGTGGGTCTTTTAGTTCTCAGTGGGGGACGGTTAGGTAGATAAGACAGCGAAGAACAAAACAAGAACTATGTCGACAAATAAAACATCAGCGTTAAGGTTGGTGTAAATAGGAGCTGTATGTGCAGCTGGCTTGGATAAACACGAGTGGATTCAGTCGTCGTAAGACAGAAAGCAGCTCACTTTGCTGTAAAATAAACAGGAAGTTGTTAGCGTTGTGGGACGTGTAGTTCTCCTTGCAGGCCGACGAGCTTGAAAACAACGCATAGATAAAAAACAACTATAAAATAATCTAAACACAAACCGACCATCGTGTATACTGCCTGGACTTTGGAAAGAACATGCCCGGGTTCACCTGTTGTGTCCCCGGCTGCTACAACAACTCGCACAGGGACCGGGACCTGCGCTTCTACACATTTCCTAAGGACACCACGCTGAGGGAGCAGTGGCTGAGGAACATCTCCCGGGCCGGGGTCAGCGGGTGCTTCAGCACCTTCCAGCCCACCACGGGACACCGGGTCTGCAGCGTGCACTTCGCAGGGGGTAGAAAAACCTACAGCGTCCGGGTGCCGTCCCTCTTCCCCCTGCGGGGCGTGAATGAGCGCCGGAGCCGGCGGGGCAGAGGGAGGAAGGTGTCCTCCTCGGCCCCTGCCCACGCCGGTGTGCCGACCTCCAAGATCATCGCCACCAGCGTGCTGGGCAACACGGCCGGGGTGGCCGAGGCCGGTGTCGGCGGCGAGGCGGGCGACGACAACATCACCGTGGTCCAGATAGGTCAAAACGGGGAGTACCTGGGCACGGCCCGGCTGCCCCTCCAGTCGGAGGGGACTTGTCACACGGCACCGGGCGGCGTGGTGGAGATCACGGCGGACGACTCCTCTCCGGAAACCGGGAGCTCCGCGCACCAGGCGGCCGTGCAGTATGTCAGCGTGACCAGCAGCCCGCTGGACCACTCGTACTCTCTGACCACCGGTACGACTTCGGCCGAGCTGCTGCGGAAACTGAACGAGCAGCGGGACATCATTGCGCTCATGGAGGTGAAGATGAAGGAGATGAAGGCCACCATCCGCCAGCTCCGGGTGGCCGAAGCCAAGCTGCAAGAGGAGGTCCGGGAAAGAGACCGCCTGCTCTACGGCCACTCCATGTCTCTTAACGTCCGGAAGAAAGTCTGATGTTGAGTGGACATGTCCGCAAACGACCTGTTACATAGACTCGGACTAACCAACAAGTCCAGGAAGACATGTTCGTCCCTATTTTGTATGAAAATACGAGCGATGACAATTTGTTTTCAGCAGGTGGATCAGGTTTTTGTAAACCTGATCTGAAAAAATAAAGCCTGGCTAGTTTATGTAGCTCATAGTGATACATTCAATGCTAACTACATAGAACAATCTCAGCTGAAGACACAGGAACAGACAGTACATGTTTTATTCTTTCAGGTAGTGAATCACATATTTATATTCAGACAGACGAACCTGATGGGAAAGGTCAACTTAACTGCTGAGTAGTGTTTTTCCTCTTTAAGATTCTATTGCTTTATTTCCTCCCAAAAAACAATCTCATGACTGATATCAGAAAGAAGATGAAGTGTGCCCCCGACCCCATCAGAACACTATTCCTAGCAGACTGTAATGATGGAGCTAAACCAACTAAAACTTGATGGTGACGTAACAGAGTTGCCTTTAAAGTACCTTAAAAGTCTCTTTCCTTTACTATTATTTTTTGCTGAAAACAAGGCTGACTTTTAAAATATTCCCTAAAGCTACGAAGGGCCCTCCCAACGTAAACTGCAATTAAAGGATATTTCATAAAGACATGCATGGTGTTCCCTTTGTAGAAGTTTATATGTTGTGTTTGTAGGAAACCTTAGTACCACGAGGGGTGAAAAACGTTTTCTCAAGGCTCTCGAAACGACTTGAACATTGTGGGGAGTCTCTGTTTTGTGGCAGGGCACCCATTTGTTTTTTCTGTGATTTGAGAATTTGGTTTCTGTATGTAGCCACATGTTTTCTTAGCACAGAAGGGCAGGTGCTCGTTCTTCTCGTCGCCTTTGCAAATGTTGTATTAACAGAGTGTTTCATCCATTTCTTAAACCTGTTTTGACTGCTGCGTTCAACTCTCAAGTGTCCCAGTGGGACATCATTTACAGTGTCAGGGTAACTACGGCCAACAAGCTGTAGAGCAGTGCTTCGATTGCTCTTTACCCTCATTTTCAGAGGGGTTTGGTCCACTCCTCCAGAGACGAAAACCTTTTTTTTTTTTTATTCTTACCATGGCTACATGAAACCCCATTAAAGCTGATTATTTTTGCAGATACAATGACTGGAGAAACTAATAAAAAATGTACATAATTTGTAAATGACAGTCATGAAGATTTGTGATTGATATTGAAGATAAAGTCGTCTGTTCTGGGAGGTCTTCACATAAACTGGTGTCTGAAAGATTTCGGGTCAAGATGTGGTCTTCGTGTGGTGGGTTGGACAAAATATACAACATAACCAGTGACATCCTGTAACTGGGATTTACAGAGAACTGGAAGTTACTATGGCATAGAACCTGGGAATCAAGTGCATCTAAAAATATTTGCGCTACATCCTGTATCAACTTTTTTTACTCTTTCTTTATTCTATTTCACTCCTCAAACCTCCTCTGAAATACAGTACAATAGAAAAAGTAATCAGCTCTGAGTTTGGTCATCTTCAGCTTATTCTTTGTGGAAACAGATGGGAAAATATTGGGACAACAGTATGAAGAGGAATGCCTGAAATCTAACGAAGCAAAAGTAGAAGTTTAAAGAACTTTAACAACTAATCATGACATGATTACTGAAACAGGAACAATGATGAGGCAGAGTAAGCGTGATGATGTCACCATTATGTCCTGTGGAGAGAATGCATCCACAAATTGAACGTTTGTCATCACAGGCCTCTGTCCCCTGACCTCATCACCAAAAAATGTATAAGTGAATAGCAGTGTCTGCAAGAGGAAAAAGAAATACAAACTTCAGCTGGACATTGATGACAGAGAACTGAAAGATTTTTGCCAGCTGTAAAGTTCTGCCACCTGATAGAAGTGGCTTTAGAAAATATGTAGACCTTCAAGTGAAACATTTTGGATTAGATTAAAATGGTTGCTTCATACGTTAAATAATCTGTTCATCCCTATATTTAGACCTTTCTTAAATTTTTGGCCATACAAGACTTCAGAGGAAAAAAAAGTCTTCCAGCTATTTGTTTTTATGATAAGTAAAATAATCAAATTAGCTGCTGAATTGGGATTTTTTACCAATAGCATTTATTACTATTTTGCATGAAATTAAAACACTTGTTTATATATTTTACATTTCTTTGGAGTGATCCTTGAGTTTAGAAGTACAAATGTCAAAAGCTGAGTGAACACTGTCTCGTAGCAGCAGGAGTTTTCCCCCTCTAGATGGCGATGGTACAAATGCTCTTTGAGAGCAGATTTAGCTCTCCTCTATACGGCCTAATTTACTTCATCTGTCTCGCTGTGTTTGTTGTCAGCTTTAATGGTCATTTGCTAATTGTTTCTTGCATGAAAGTGCTTACATGTTCAGTGTAGTAAAATGAATGCAGGACAGTAGAGCAGCTCCTTGACCTACACTTGTGTTGGTGACTTCAAATACCAAAAGATGAGGTGTAGCAGGAAATGAAACAAAGATGCAGCGAGAGATGATGAATGGATAGATAGAGCACGTTGGAACGGACAGGGATCCAGATCCCTAATCTCATCTGGATTTATTTTTTTACTCCCAACAGAGTTGCATAATGCCTTAATCCACTGCTGTCAATCAAACTTACACAACTCTTTCTTTTCTGTGGCTCCTGCTATTTACTACTGACGTCTTTATGTTCAGACCAATCCACAGCATCTCATATCACATTGTTTTATCCTCTAGGAGTACTTATGTAATGTGAGTGAATTAAAACAATGAAAGCAACATGGGGTTCTGACATCCAGAGTTTGAAATCTGAAAAAAAAACAAGAAGGCGCCAAATATTCTAAATCCATACACAAGAAAGGACATTACAGTAAATTCAGTCCCACTGAAACATTTTCTTTCTTTTTTTAAAATTTCTCTCTTATTTTTTCGCTTGACAATATAATTGTTCTTAAATCACAAAACCCCTTAGGTGTAACCTGTAATAAAATTAGATATATTTGATATACAAATTAAATTGTAGTCATGGAAAATTATTACAGTGACAGGTTGAGATATTGCGAATCTAACAGAGTGCAGACATTCAGGACATGCTGCTTTTGTGTCTTCCATAGATGTCTTCCATAAATCTTGGTTTCCTCTTGCCTTCATTTTTTTATCTACATGGCTCTGCTTAATGGACTTCTATTTACATGTTTGAATCGTGCTTTTTGGACAAAACAAGAATAACTTTTAAATCAATTCATCCATTTGTATGAAAACCGCTTATTCCCAAATGGGGTCGTGGGGGGACTGGCGCTTATCCCAGTATTCAGTGGGCGAGAGGCAGGGTACATCATTCATCACAGGGCCACACATATATAGACAAACAACCACACACGCTGACACTCCTAAGGTGAACATGGTCCTGGTTCCCCCGGGGAAATTGAACCCAGAATCCTGTTGCTGTGAGGCAATGGTTCAATTTATTTTATCAATAATTTGTTCAGCAGAATACATTTTTTCTATCAAATTCCAATTCATGTAGACTTTTTCAAATATATTTATTCCAGACGAACATTCTAGGAAAAATCTCGTCCTACTCTTCTTGTAAAAATACATTATTAATTTTTGTTTTTGTAATGACAGTGATAGCCAGCATATGTTCAGTTATAAAGGTTTTTAGGATGATTAAATGCCTGATTAAAGCATTATACCTCAAGAGGCACCAACAGGAGTTATTTGACTCCATATTTTCCCCTCATCTAAGCAGATCCTAAGATATTTTTTAGCATCTGACATCACACACTTTGTTATAAAAGAGTGGACAGTAACAGAGATTTTGTACTGGTGGATGTCACTGAGAGGATTGTCGAACCAAAGTCTTTCTTCACAAACAACTGTTGACAGTATAACAATCCTTTGGGTGCTTTAGAGAGTGAATATGATTTTATTGCCATGAGGACTTAAGTTCCAAACAATGTGACACAGTCTGAGAACATAATGTAATGATAAGATGTGACGTGCTGCCAGGGATGTCAAAAATGTCCTGGCATCCCGAGGGTCCTACCCAATGTGTAGGAAAAAGAGAATCCTATTACATTACTCTCAATCATCTTATCACGAAGGGGCATTACAGGATACTATAGGCTCTCTTTAGTAGGGACTAAAATGCTAAAGCACAAAACAACATAACGAAGAAAAGAAAAGTTTTTTTCCCTTCCCAGTGGATCATGTCTAAATTAGAAAATGAATCCCAAATGACAAACACAACACATTTGCTTCATAAAAGCAGCCCTGATTTTTCTAAGATGTATTTTTTCTGCCTAATTAGCCGTCTGACGTGTTGATGTATTGATTTGAGGCGGTGGCCACAGACATGGACCGATTATTCTGCCGTTAATGGTTGCTTTAAACTGCAGATTAACAATGAGTTACTGTTTCTTCTGTGTCAGATGCAAACTAGGACTTATACTAATGCACAGAGTATGAGCCATCTGGGGGTGAAGCAGGGGATATGAAGCAGAGAGGAGGTGGAAATGGATATAAGCTAGATGCACAAGAGGGTAAGGTGGGGTCGAAGATGGATTATTCACAATCAGTCCCCTTAAACTGTTTAAATGCTCTGTCGTTGTGCAGTCTTTTAATTAAGGCTGTATGCGGCATCACAACGCTTTTCTCTGTCCCCTCCATGACCCATTTAGCTGCAGATGAACTCTCCCATGGGCTGCTGCAACTCTCAGTGGACGCTCTGCGTCAGATTCCCAGGTGAGCCAGATTCTCTTATTCTCATGTGTACGTCATCCATCTGTCCAAATGAAATGAAATGAAAAAAAAAAACATCACAAATCCTCTGCACACTTCTGATGCTGCTTGTTTAAACTATAATCAAGCAAACTCCCTATTTGAAGGTAAAGAGCAGGAGGTTGTTGTGTCACAAGGTATGTGTGCTGAGAAAACAATAACCATTATACCGTCCATAATTCGTTTTGGTTTCAGATAAATGTTCCAAATACTGAAGACCGGAAATGAGAATACTCTAATCCACTGTGCTGCATTTGGATGCTGTCATTGGTTTGTTGCATCCAAGCTCTCCTCACTACTCGCCTCCCTGGTGCACACACACACGCAAACAGACACACATACACACACACACACGCATTGCCACAACATCCTCTTTACTCGGAGATGCATCGGCCCCTTTCACGGTTAATCCAGTGGGTTTGTGGATCTGAGCATTGCTGTACATTTGCAATCTGATGAATTCCCAACAGATGACAGGAAATATCACAATTTAAAGCAGCAACTTTCAAGCCAGCGAGAGTTTCACTCTGTTTCAGAGGTGCTACTCCCTTGGAATCTGAGCTGAACAATGAAATCCCATCCAGGTGCAGGGACCGTGATGCTGCCCGTGGCGCTCTGTCTCAGTAAGAACATTTCTGTACTCTTCAGGCTTTTAATGTGTGTGTGCGTGTGGTTGTGTGTATGCACATCTTTGTTTATTTCTTCAGATAGAAGTTTGAAATGGTTTTCAGCACCCATTTTCTTGGCAGAGCAATATGCTTATCTTCTTTTTCCAGTGAAAACTTTGTTTGATAAGAGACTGTTCAGGCCCAAAGTAGGCAGGAGTGCTCATATAGTCTATTTCAATCTGAAATTAAGGAGTGACAGATTTTACAATTGCACTTACCTTAATGAAATTCTCAATGTCTGCTCATGGGTGGATTCTGTCTGCTTTCTGTGCTTATGTTTGTGCACACATGCAGATTAGTGAATGCATTTATGAGCTATTGTGTTATCTGTTTGATTTATTTCAAGTGAGCAAATTTTAGAATTGAAAAAATGCAGTTTGTGAATGTAGTATAAACTATTCCAGTCGTGAAAGTCTAAATGATATTTATGGTATTTTGCAGACAATATACTGTAGGTGCATTGAGAAATCCATGTGCAGAAAAACATTATTTTCACAAAACACAAGAATTCTGTAGATAAAACTGTATGCATTTGTACATGATTACTAAATTAAACAGGGTGTCCCATTTTTTTGCAGAGAAAATTAATCAATCACACAGGAATTTTGGTGTTTGGTGGTGTAGGTATGTTTTGGTAGTGATCAATACTCAAAGACCATTATAGATCAAGTATTCGATTGTATGATTTTAGGGTAGATGGCTAGAAAATCTGGGAGTTACTGTTTCTGAGATGTTCTCACTTTTGAATTATTTGCTAGGGTCAAATGTATGTAGACAACTTTAGATTTTGGATTTAACATTCTGTTTCTTATGACAATGACTGATAATTCATTTATATGAAGACATTATGTGAAAATATTTTTTTCAGTCTCTCAAATGTTGATGAGATACAGATATCATATCAGAGTTGAAAGATTTTAAAAAAGTGGATGTAGAGGGTTTTTTTCTAATCTTTTTTGGACTTAAAGGTTACCTGTCATTAGTCCCTACAGATCAATACAAAGCAGGCTTAGGTCATCCCTGCTGTTTTCATGTTGAAGTGATGGAACTAGTCTGACCTCAACACTGTGCGACTGACTGCTTTGATTTTTAAGAAAATTATACTATGATTAAATCTTCTGACATTAAACAAATCTCAGTTTGGCCGGGAAACTGTGGGAGATTTTAATCTCAATCATCTATATTCTACTTCATGGGTTATCCTTTCAAATGATTGTATAAATTCAACGGCAAATTGTTGTCATTGCACATGGTGGCTTTAAATGTTGGCTTTTGCTTTGATTTGTCTCTCTGTGTTCTTGTTATATTGACTAATGCTCTATTTGATTTAACTTATTCCTGTTCCACTGTGATACAAAAACTCCTCTGTCTTAGTTTTGTGTAGGGAATGCTGATACAAAGCCCTGAGCTTAACCCAATCTAAGAGAGCCTGGAAAAAGTCACACACCATAACTTGGTCTTACCTCACAGCCTCCAACAATTGATAGGTTAACAGGAAACTCTTCCGCCAGATTTAAAATATTATTAAAACAAGAACTTCCTTAAAATGTGACCAAAAACCAGTCCTAGATGGATGTGAAATAGATTAACTGATCAATGCATACAGAGAGCGCACAAAATTTTGGCTTTGGTATTGTGTAATCCCTCCAGATGACTGGAATATAACATTTTTCAGTTTCTGTTTGATCCATCTAAGCACCACGTGGATTTTATCTTCACAAACACTGGATTCACATAAAAAAGTACTCACGTTGTATATTTTTTTGTGTTTTGTACATTTATTACTGACCTTCTGGTAGATTGATTTTAAGTTTCAATTTAAGATGATACGTTTTCTTTTGTCTTTTTGTCTCCTCCAGGTCTGGTCCCTGTGTGTTTTGGAGCGGCACTCCCTGTGGCCTGTGGTTCCATCTACAAGAGTTTTGCACAATGTTTGCTCACATTGGGCGACAGTTTGGTGGAAACACAAAAAGACCAAAACACACAGGATATTGATTCAATATGCAGGTACCTTTTAATCTACTAATCTACTATGCGTCATTTCCTGTTGGTCAATAAATCTGATTTTAGTGATTCTTTTACTTTATTTGGCAGTAACATGAGTGAAAAACTGACTTTTCAGAAAATGTGTTGATCACAGTTTGATACAAAAGGTAAAAATATTAAAAGTTTAAATTGCCCTCCCTCCAGCATTTAAACTCCTGGTCGTCACTTACAGATCTGGCAGTTTTATGGCAATTTGTGGCAGAGAGTGTGCAAAGTTATTGACAGATGCAACAAGTATTCATTGCCATCGTGACACATCCTCATGACAATACAAAGGGCTTAGATGATGGGGACACGTTTCACTGCTGATTCAACACTTAGAGTTGAAGGTGGAATATGATCTGTAGATACTGTATATGACAGAATTAATATTTGTTTGTTTCTTGTGACACATGAAGAGGCAAGATGTGGGTAGATTTTCTTTTGTGTCCAGTCTAAAAGACCCCTTTTTCTTCTCAAACTGCTGAGGCATTGGCCTATTTCCCAGAAAAAGTGCAAATGTTATGGATAGTTACCTCTGCAATGTCTATGTCAGAGTAAAGAAAACAACATAATGATAACAATCATTTTTCGATATTTGTGATATGTGGGATTGGGTTGGTAAATCACATGCATTGTCATTCGATTGCTTTGGTGACCCACTGAAATCTGCTCCTGTCATGGTTCCTTGAAGGTCTTGGAACGCGTTCCATGTTTGTGCCAACTCAGCTCTAGCTGGCTGTCCTGGAGATGCAACAGCTGTGTGGGAGTCTCTGAGGCAAGAGTCCAGGAAGACACAGTTTTCTGGAAACCTCTACGACATGTGTGCCAGTCGTACTACCCTCCCCTCCAGCACCGTGCCTGCACCCCAGGGAGCCCCCACCTCTGACCAGATGAACCAGGAGACGCTGAAAGGGCAAAGCCACAAGCATATCCCCGCCCCCATCACGCTGCTGTGCCCTGTGTTCCTCATTCTTCTCAGGAGTTAGTGAGCCCATACAGAGACACTCAGGCAGTACAAAGACTTCAATGCTCCAATAACCTCGACTTTAATATATCTGTTTTAACTAGAAACGCTGCTTGTGCACAATTGTGGTCCAGGATCCTTGGACTGAATGCAGTTTTGAATGTGTACACAGGGCTCCAGTTTTTGTACTCTTCAATGTAAGATCTTTATCAAAATGAGATTTTATGATTAAATAATTAAAGCAAGAGATCTTTAACCTGAAAGCAGAGATATGCTCATCTGAATGGTTGTCCCCTCACAATCCCCATGTTTTCATGTTGATCACATATTGATACTGAAATAAGGCTTTATGTGGTTAATGTCAGTGCTTCTTCATAGTAGTTCATTTATGTATTCAGTCATTGAATTAAAATGCATGGCATGAATTTAGAAGCATCTATGAGAAGCACATAGATGCTTTTAAATTCAGTGGTTTATTAAAAAAGTTTACTCGACTGAGAAGTTCTACTTTGATCTGCCAGTGATTATAAAGTTCCCTCTTTGCTACATACCTGGTCACACGTGTCCAATCAGTAAATAATGTTCAGATATAACTACATCTCACCATTTGAGAGGTGAGAAAAGGAAATGGGAAGCTCCATGTGTTTCCCATGTTTTATCTTTGTAAATAAACAGTGATTGTTATGTTTTTTATGATTTGTCCTCTGGACCTGAAGGGAGTCGGTCATTTTATTCGCTAATATTCACATTGCTAATGTACAGCACTACGATGTTGAGATTTGACATTGTTCTAATGTTTTTTCGTCACTATGGGGTGCCAGTTCTCCTCTTCTTTCTTTCTTTGCAAACAAGTTAAATTGGAAATTTGGCATAAATAAAGTGAAGTTATTTTGAGAGGGATTGCAGCCATCGCTTTACTTGTGTCAGATTTTGTGAGTTTAGGTGCACTGTGTTTTTTGAAGAGTGGATTTTTTGTGTGTAATCTTAATGCTCTTAAGCTGTTTCATAACAACAGAATCATGAGTAGATTAATCTCATCTGTCTTCACTCATCTACAGTGTAGCAGGTTGCACCTCAAAGTGCTGTGGTGGCCTCAATGAGCAGGAGGTATGAGGTGAAAGGCAGCTGATGGCGTGCCAGCACAGCAGAGAACCGAGTCTGGAAGATCATCTGATCATCAAGTTATGTTCCAAGGCCTAAATGTCATTACTGAAAGGAATAAATTGTCACAGAGGTAACAGCAGCACATGTGTTCAACCATTTGTTGGTTTCATGGGTCATTTGAATATAGCTTATCTACAGATTTAAGCATAAATGATTCAAACTTAAAGAACACTGCATTTCATTCAAGTATCAGTCATTGGGTAAGAGCTGGGAGGATCCTGGACAGGCTGTGAGTCACTGACAGGGCCACACGGAGACTAACCTAACATAGGTGTTTTTGGATGGAAGGAAGCGGAAGTATCTGTAAAGAAAGCCCCAAACACACAAGCATAACATTGAAAATCAACGCAGGGACCCCAACCAGCCACAATTTAACCAGGACATCCCAAAAGACCAAAATTATATCTTTTTATGTAAGAATTTCAACCAAATTGAGAAGCTATCGGAGCTTAAATAAGACTCCATATGCAGTGTGTTCATTTAGTTTCCATGCGAAACATAAATTAAACTGCGCTTTTTCTTTTTTTTTCTCCCCGTGTGCCATTGGGGCTTGGGGGTTGGGTTGTATTACTGGGATAACAGATTAAAAAACTGGGTTGTTAAATCGATTGACTCAGTGAAACATATAAAAACAGATTTTAAAACATAGATTTACATAGGGGAAACTAAATCTAATGAGATAGATATTCCTATGAAATGCAGTGTGATTTTTTTCCCCTCACCATGCTGAAGAAGCTTATCCCTGATGAAGTTGAACTCATTACTGCAAAATAGCAAGACAAAAACCTGAGATGGAAAATGCTGGACATCCCTTGACATATAAAGTCACTGTAAAGTCTCTCACAATGTTGCTATTACAGTTTTTACCCATTACGTCCAAATTCGAACCAAAAGATTGAGTCCAAATGTACAGGAAAAATACCACAAAAGTAACAGATAAGAGGAGTAACATTGCTCATCGTGTCATAATGTTGTGTTTAGTTGGCATAAATCCATCTTGGCAGAAGTTCAACAATTGTAGCTTACATGAATTTCTGACGGCGAATCCTATTGGATCTCATACTGCAGAATATTTTTGTTTGTGTGTACGTTGGTGAATGTGTGCTGTGGTCTATCTTGTTACAGGGGAGTCTTGTGGCTGGTTGTTTCATCATTTTAACAACACTGAGAGAACAGAGGAACCATTGTTTCCATGGTAACCACATGTGAATAACTCATTGGAAATTACCCCGAGCACATCTGTCAAACTCAGGTCATTATCAGCTCTATCTAATCGTCTATTTTGACGTAGAATGTCATGATAAATGTCTTAAATCTTCACTGACATTTGGTCATTTTTAACAACTTTAAGAATGAATAAGACCATTTTTGTATCAGTTCACAGAGAAATGTCTGACTTAAAACATTGTTTGAGTGATCAGTCCCTGAAGTGTCCTCATAGCACCTTGACGTGCGCACTGTGTATAATCTTTTATGAAGCCCCAAGGCCCTTGCTGTGGAAAATCCACAAAATAGGTTTTCATTTGTTCTTAAGTGAAAGGTCTTGTCGTGACCTCCAAAGTCAGTAAGATGTAGAACAAAACACGCAGGATGTTGTGCAGAGCACACTGTTCTATAGCAGATGGTATGTGGCATCAGTCATGGAGGAGATTATGAATTCCCCATGCAGTAGGGGCAACGTACTCTCCATATGGTGGGATTTTATGGAACCAGAGCATAGATAGTATAAACCTGTAAGCTGTATGACACTTTATATTTCTTCCATTGTATAAAAAGTAGTGACAAAATTAAAAAGCAGCTGAACAACAGCTTAAGCTGTACCATTTTTAGAGATGATTTCCCAAAGAAAGGAGATTTTTAGTGAAAGCATTCATGAGAGTGAGATTTGGTTATTGCATGTTAAATTAGTGTAGAAACACCAGTTCTATAAACTGCCATTTTAAAAAACAGGTTAACAAATGGGAAAAAACTGAAGCATGTGATTCTTATATCAAAAATGCAAAAAAAAATCCCCAACTACATGTTTAATGGTCAATTTTAGACTTTAACAGAGAAAAAACCTATGATTCTAACCTTTGATATCTGGTCTATTTCCAGTTTTCCACTGACAGTATAGTTACAGATCATTTAAGATCAATTTGAGGCTCAGCTCCATCAAAAAGAAAAACAAATACATCTTTAAACATTGTCTGAGAAGCAGTATTGACACTAAGGTAACATCCAATAGACTTAGCTCATGAAAAAAAAGACAATCCATGACATCACACTGAAGCAGTTGAAAGTGATGTTATGGGCAATTTACGTCTTATGGTAGCTGCAGCAAAGGAGGGGAGTAACAATTCTCAAATTGCCCAAAATGTAGAGGAAGCCCAGTAGGCTAGCCGATCCTCAGATTCATCTTTGACCTGCTGTGTAGACTAGATCTAATAGGGGAGGGCGTAATGCCACATATATGCACGCATTAGTAAGGAGGATGTTCTCATGGATGTTAAAGGATGAAAGTGGAGGAATGCTGACCTCTGTGGGATGACTGTGAAAATCAACCTCCAGGTAAAAGAGGCTGAGGGAGAACACTAAAAACAGAAATCAGACTTAATTTCCTACACTTACGTGAACCTCAGAGACTAAACAAAATCAAGATAAAGAGATACCAGAAATTAACATACATCTTCATGTAGAACTCCGAATGTAAAGTGTATTCAACTGCCATCAAATGTTGAAGCAAAGCATTATCACATTTTTTAAAGTTTCATGATTTTCCATAAGCCTATAGTTTCATCTTTTGTGGCATTCTTTTACAAATTATGGGAGAAGACTTAGAATTTCCTCTGAAAATAGAGATAATCATTGGTGAGGAGTTAGTTGGAACCATCACATAACTGCACCACTTCATTTTAGAACCAATGAAATTTCACAAGGTCCTGAGTTCAATATGTACGTTTTAGTTTAGACATGATCTTTTTGTTCTCACTTTTACTGATTAGAATGTATGTGTTGAAGTTAAGTAAACCTGAAGCCTGCTTGTGTAAAACATGGAAAAGCTGTGCAGAGTTTTCAGGGAACCAGCTGAGCATTTTGTCCTTGAGCCTCTCAGTACAGTGGTCATTTCAACCATTTTCAGTCCTTTTAGAGCTTTTGCTTTTCAAGGTAACATCAACTTCTCTTTGACCTCACCAGTAGTGTTTAACTTCATCTTGCCATACTTTATGCTGTATGAGCATCCAGCTTCTCTCAGGGACTTAATCACCGACATAAAGGGACTGGGTAGGAGCACACACAAGCAAACATACACACTGCCGTGCCAAACTTATCACTTCTATGTCAAATGCTAAAAGTCAAATTAAGACCACGCACGTGGGTGTGTGTGGCTATATAGTCCATGGTTTCCCACTCAGCAGACTTAAAAGGAGCTGTTCTCAGAGCCTCTCTTATCTCAGGTACCAGAGTCTCGGTGTGGGGGGGCTGACGCGACATCATGGAGGAATTGGCCCGCGAGAGCATCAGCCTGCTGGCCCGGTCTGCATCTCATGCAGATCCCCCTCGGCTCGGCTCGTTCGGAGCAGTGTTCATTATGCTGAAGTCCGCACTGGGAGCTGGACTTCTCAACTTCCCCTGGGCCTTTGAGAAGGCAGGTGGAGTGAATACTGCCATCAGTGTGGAGCTGGTGAGTCTGAGTGGTCATTGATATGTTGGACAGTCTAGACCAGGGAAGAATCATGAAATAGCCTCTTGTACTTCGAGTTTTGCAAGTAAGTCCTGGTGTTGGTGTCCAGTCATTGTACAGACAGCATAGACCGCCATCCATTTATGTCTCCCTGGTGTGAAACAGCCACACAGTTTTCACAGGCGAGCTCTAATGAAGCCCCCAGTTAAAGCGAGGACCCGAACAGTCTGCATCAGACTGCTGCTGAAACGTTTGTGTGTGTGTATTTCATTAATAGATAACAGCTTTTTCCAAGAATCAGCACAAGAGGTGAATGAACTTAGTGTTTCAGTTACAATCATGTGCAAAAGTCTTGAGCCACTCCTCATTTAAATATGTGCTTTAAAGCAGCTGTGGACTTTCTTTTAAATCTTGTAAAGTTGTCTTCAAAAACAGTTTTGCAGGCTTCCTGATGGAAAGGCATGAGGAGATGCACATCTTCTGAAATTTTCTCAGAAGATGGATATAATATTAATACTGGATATACAATACTGGATATGAAAGAAGAGGTATCAATCCTAAAAAAAGTATCTGCAGATGAAGATTATATGCAAGTGATGTCTTTTGGAAGTCCAAAAACATTAATCCAGTGAAGACATGAGAGGTAAATCTGGACCTCCACTTGATCCATCCACGGTTGGCTGAAGTTCAATCAGAAATGGACTGCATTGAAGTTAGGGTTAAGGTTAGGGGAGTTTATGTATGTTGTTATGATTTTCTTTTTGACATAGCTGTGGTCGTGAGTGGTGAGACAGTGAACAGTCTTTGCTCTTCATGAGTCCTGCCAGCCTGGGATTGTTTCTGACTGTCAGTGTCATCCTGATCTCTGTTTCAAAGGATGTTAGCTCTAAACTCCTGTCCTTCATGCCCCACCAGGTATCTCTGGTATTCCTCATCAGTGGTCTTGTTATCCTTGGCTATGCATCGTCTGTCAGCAGACAGAAGACATATCAAGATGTGGTGAGAGAAGTGTGTGGACAAGCCGTGGGACAGCTCTGCGAAGTGTGCTTCTGCTTTAACCTCTTCATGATAAGTGTTGCCTTTCTGGTGGTGGTGCAGGACCAGCTGGAGAAACGTAAGGAAAGAAAAACACTGCAGTGTGTAGTAAATGCTGCATATCCTGTTGTGCTATTGAGCCTTTCACTTTTTCCACTGTATGCTCTGTTGTCCTATATTGCATATGCAATATGCAATTTTACTATTTCACTGTCTCCTAACTTTGGTTTCTCCATTGGTCGATGTTGTGATCAAGCTAACACATAGCGTTTATGTTAACTCCGGCAGTAATTTAGCATTTAAAATTATTCTCCATCAGAAAACAAATAATTACAAACCAATGCTTTTTATTTGAATTACTTCTGCATTTGTCCATCTCAAATCCCTCATATTCACCCTGCTCCAATTTAAAACTGAATATTTGATGGTAGTCACCAGAAACAACTTTTGAATACAAAAAAGTTTCTAACATATTCGCATGAAAGCTAACCAACTTTAGCATTTAAACAGCAAAAAAAGGGAAAAAAAGACAGAAATGTAACCATGTAGCAGAATATAAGGTGTAGGTGAACCCCTTGTAGACGACATGGAAAGTGATGTCTCCTCTTTTGTCTTGCTTTTGTTTCTGTAGTTTGTATTTCTTTATATGAAACGGCGACTGGGTCGACTGAGTCAGAAATGCCTTATCACTGGTACACTGACCAGCGCTTTGCCCTGTTCATCGTGTGCATTGTCATCATCCTACCACTGTCCATTCCTAAAGAAATTGGCATCCAGAAATACACAAGGTAACTGCTGTCGTCTGCCGTCACAGAGACATTTGACTCAGTCTTTAATGACTTATTCAGTTAAATGTGTGCGTTTATGTCAGTGTTCTAGGGACTCTGGCTGCCACATATCTGTGCGTGGCAGTGATTGTCAAGTATCACCTGATGGACAACCACAAAGTTATCATAACTCCAGAGCACAGCCAGGGGTCAGTTAATTCACATTTAGAGACCACTTGGTATATTTTTCATCAGCTTGTTGTGTCATGTACATAAGTAAATCTGTCATTTGTGTGTCTTTCAGTGTGGGTTCATGGGCCACCATGTTCAGTGTTGTACCAACCATTTGCTTTGGTTTCCAGGTAAGATAATTATCAGGCACGTACAGTAAGCAGCATGCCAGGCACCGCAGCTGTTCACTTGTGTGTACAGCTTTAATCAATTCACTGTGTTTTTTCTATCAGAATCTGGCATCTGCCAATCAGAAATAAACCAGGAACCTACCTCAATAAAATATCTGCCTCAAAGAGTCAATCCAGCTAAACTGACCAGCAATATGTCCAAACTGAATTAGCTGAAATCAGTCATCATTGAAATGACCCTTTCGTATATCAAAGTCATTAAAGAGTACAAAAAACTACCGCTTAACATGCCCAAAATTCTTCAAGATAGCGCCAAGAAACATTTGGTAGTTTTTAACCACATTGCAAAGAAAAGTTATTTGGATTGCCAGTATTTTAACTGTGAGAATAGTTTCTTCTATGTTAAATTATATTCAACCATTATCAAAACTTTACGACTGGATTTAAAACTGATGATATTAAAGATGATGCACCTCGCATTCAAGTTTGTCAATCATTTTGAGAGTTTGTTTATTACCATACTCTTTTAACAGTGAGTTAGAAACTTCTCATGCCTCATGTGTGTACAGTGTCATGAGGCCTGCATAGCAATCTACAGCAGCATGGAGAACCAGAAGCTGTCCCACTGGGTGATCATCTCTGTGCTCTCCATGTTTTTCTGCTTGCTCATCTACACTCTCACCGGTGAGATCCCCTCTCAAACCCTACAGTTGTTTAGTTTTGGAGATCGCTCATCCTAAACACTGTTTCTCACACAAGGTGTTTATGGCTTCATGACGTTTGGGCGTTCCGTGGCCTCAGATATCCTGATGTCATATCCAGGAGATGATGTGGTCATGATTATTTCCAGACTACTTTTTGGAATATCAATCATCACCATCTATCCTATCATTCTTCTTTTGGGAAGGTAAGTCACATTGTCATGGGATTTTGGAAAGTGTCTGACGAGATTTGCTGTGTCTGCTGAGTGCCTTGTTGTGGAATACAGATCTGTGGTCCTGAACCTGATGTTACGGGTTGAGAGACGTCGCCGGGGAATAGTCACCCACTCTTTTGAGAGCCGCTGCAGAATTGCCTTGACTGTGGCCTGGATCACCTTCACCCTTCTCATCGCCATGTTCGTCCCTGACATGGCTGATGTCATCAGTGTCATTGGAGGAATCAGCGCCTTCTTCATCTTTATCTTTCCTGGTATGAGCAAAGTTAAATCTGTGCCAGGGACAACAAATGGGGGTTTGAACCATTTTGAATGTTGAGTCATTCTTAATGAACTTCTGTTTAAATAACAATGTAGACTGATTCATGTGATTCATGTGTTTAACCAGTTATTCTCTTGAACTCAACAATAAAGTGATCCAAAGAAGGCCTTTATAATGTTCTCAACTTAACTTTACATACAAATTCATTCCTAAAACTTATCCAAAAAAATCCATAAATTGAGTCGCCAATTCTGAAATCTCTAAAGTGTTGATGAGGATGCTATGCATGATTGAGGGATGAGTTTGTGTCCATGTGGTGATACAAGCACTGTCTGTTTTTTTGTGTGTTGTAGGTCTTTGTTTAGTGTTCACAATGCAAACCGAAGATGTCTCTCACAGAGTCAGGTGAGCATATATGTCACCTGGTACTGATGCGGACTAATACAGTAAGCGGGAGATGTATTTGATTTAATTAAAAGAACCATGGAAATGTTGTCATGTGTGTACTGCTCCTGGACTGAATCTGATTGCGACTGATTTAGTCAGCAGGCCGTCTGGTTGCAGTTCACAGGCACACTGACAAGTAGCCGCCTACTCACTAATGCAAATTAAACATCTATTCTGTTCAACACTTGGCAGGGACATTATGGATTTAATGTCTTATGTCTGAAAGTGTATCTATGGTTTTGATGCTGTATTGTTGTGGTTGTTATTTTCACACATTGTGAGCAGCTCAAACATTGCAGTTTTGCATTGCTGCAGAAAAATGTCCCCTTAGGACAATTTTTCATCTCTCTGCCACTTTATTTCACAAAAAATACTTTTCAAGAAATGTTGTATTCTTAAACAGGATATAAATGACATCCAGAGTTGTCAGACCCCCTCTTGTATGAATGTAAATATGTACCTGAAGAACATGTCCAGCACTTTCTTGAATCTACTCCATGAGGGATTCAGAAAGTACCATAATGATAAAGGGGTCAAAGCTGGCAAATCTTTGTATTTCATTAGTCTAACTACATGAATTATGTTGTCCAAACAGATGCTTTTATTGATGCTTGTACTTTGACTTGATACGATGATTTTTCGTTGTATTTCAGAGGAGTTTCGACAGTTTGGGGAGTGATAACGGTTGTAGTTGGTGCCTTCATCTTCGGACAGAGCACAACAATCGCAGTGATGGAGATTTTCAACAAATTCTGAATATTGGCACAGTTTTCACCACTGTGTACAGCAGCTGCCATACTGTGACATCCATTTCTATTGCACAACTAAATGCTGAATTTGTACAGATGGATTTTATTTGTACGAACATTTGGTCATTCATGGTACAGCAAGAAAATATGTTTATGACGTATGATTGCAAGATTTTCTCGCCTGCCAGTGAGTTTGTGTGAATGTGTGTAATGTAGAAAAAACTTGATTCAAGGGTATTATGTGTTGATCACTAGGTCACATAAAAGTACCTAAATAATTTAAATGTCCTGTATAAAGAAATGAAAATGTCTTTGCTGCAGGTAAAACACACTGCTCACATGTATCATTGTTCAGCTCTGCCAGGTGGCAGTGTTGTACTAGCTATTAGTTATTTATTAAACTGTGTAGTTACCGTCTTAAAAATATGTGTGGAACTATAGATTGTGATGACTCTTATCACGGTCATGCTGTTGGGTGAAAACATTTTTAACATGATAATGACACATCTAAGAGAATAGAACAGAGACATGTATATATCATTACGCAAGCAGGCGGATAATTATTTCTTCAGATGCGTTTTGCATTTACCAAATCATACAAGAGTACATTATTTGTCTTTCAAGAGTCTGATTCATTTTTAGTTTCTGTTTGACTTAATTCTCCTTTCTTCTTTCCCTTTAATCATAGTGGTGATTTAAATCTGCAGCTTTCACTGGGAGCAGATTGATGGCTGAGGTGTGCAGAATGGAACAGTTTATTATTTATTATCTTCAAGCTTGAATGAGTTTTAGCACACTACCTGAAAGTGTTCAACCATGTGTGTTGGTGTGTGAGTGAGGGATGGTTTACAGTAAATCTAAAAGCTGGGTGCTGTATCTGTCCTGAAGAGTGTGATTAAAAGCAACATTTGAGCCATGCCCTAATGGACACGCCAGTGGCCTACATACAGTGTGTGTCTGCCAGAGTACACACGCAGATTGAAACTGACTCATTTACAACATAAAGGTGTATGGCAGCTTTTATCAATTATATTCTAATAGATCAACAGTGTGAAGCATTAGGGTTCTTATCGGCAAAACCCTTGGCTGTGATAGTAAAATATCAACCTGCTGGTGTAATGAATGAATCTGTTAAATGTGGAGGGGGAAAGATCCTTCACAAATCACACAAACATGTTGGTAAATCCTGTGGCTGCACACTGTGAAGTAGTCCTTGCATTTGTGAGGGAAAATCAAACAAGACATAGACCAGAATGAGCATCCAGCCATCAAAACATTTGTCAGTATGTCTCCAAAACTATTTTCTACCATGAAGACAAATACATTTAACAAGGTTAAACAATCCCCGCAAGACTACACACATGGATCATAAAAGACCCACAATAAACTGCCCTAACTCATGGTCACCATAAAACTGAAATATAATCAGGAACCTGAGTCCTGAAAAAAGTTCACGCTTGAACGTACTGATGGTGCCAAATCAAATGTCAGAATTTCCTGAGAGTCATTTGGATCCTGATGTCCTAATGTCTGGGCAACATTTCATTTAACCCCTCTGAGAAATTATCTTTTTAAACTGTTCTACACAGTGATGGGCTGAGCCACCAAAAGACTGACATTATCTCTATGACGTCGCTAGCACAAATTAGATAATCCATTATTCTCAGCAGTAGATTATCTCAGCCTCTGAAAAATAATTTCCAGCCCTCATTATTATGCTGTCCCCTGTAGCTGATGTCGTACTGAAAGATTACTTGTAATGAAGGCTTTTCGCAGGGCTAATTAATTAAATGGCGATTTGTGGCGACATCCCTTTCATATGTTTAATTGTTTCTGATAAGAGCAGGACGCATGAGTGGAAACGGATGTTATTCATGTTACTTTGTGTGTCTCACAGTGAAATCTCCATGCCTTTTGTGTCTGTACTGAATACAATTTTCCTGTTTTGGGTGCAGATGAGTGACAGATTTCCAACTGCTGGTGGTTGTTTCCACATCTTAAAAACAGGGCTCCTACTCTCACAGCGGTAGTTAGCCTAATATAGCGTGCAACCTCTGTCACATGGCTGATCCTGTATGCACGTGACATCTCTTTACATGGATCAACTTTATGAAAATCAACCATCATACATTAGTTTTTGTGCTGCTCTGCCCAGTTTGTAGTGCAGAAACAGACCTTTGACCCGTGGGCTTAACTGTGTGGGATATTGGATGAGGTAGTGGTGAACTCTCGTTAAGTAGTCAGCCATTGTCTCCACAGCAAATCTACTCAATGTTCTCAGCTACAGCTGTCCCAATTTAAGTTAAACATCTGATGGTCTTCTACAGTTGAGCAAATTGTCATTCCTTTATGTCTCATAAGGTTTTTTTAGATTAAATATTCCCCTTGTAACTCATATAAACCAGACAACGGACATCGATCACACTATGTGATCACCCTTATACTAAATTAAGTCAGTTGTAGTTGCTTATAAAATAACACATTTTTGACAAGCACTTCGAGTAATTCCAAATTTTCAGGCTTCTTTTGAATGTTTGCAATCGTCCGTCATGTCAGAATATAAGCATTAAAATGCAAATCATTCTTTTTTATGCAAAAGTATGATGGACATATGAAAACATGAACATTTTTTAAAAAGCTGCTGCCAGTGTATAGGTTTCAGAATAATTCTTTCCTACAGTATCAGCATGACAATGGCTGACTAAAGTGAAGTTCCCACTGAGACTGTCAAATCTTAAGGAATAATCCTTTCGTGTATCATCTGAGAATGATGGAACGACCAGTGCTTTCATGTCATCTTGTATATGTAGTGTAAATTCTGAAAACTTTGGGGACTGTTAGGGCCATCACTTTCTTTGTTCGTCTGTTTTTACAAAAAGTACATGTTGTACTCTGCTCGTGTTCACCGGGGCTCTGTCTGCAGATGTCCGCGAGCAGTCCACACTCCTCCTGTTCCTGTACCGTGTCCATCCACTGTGTTTGGAAGTGGGAGACCCAAAAAAAAAAACTGTCTTTTCAGTCTATTCACTTACAACGCTTCACTGGCTACAAATGAAAGTGTTATAAGTTTTTTTCATCCAAAGGATGTGTGCTGCAGTTTGATTCTGAAGACTCCAGCACAGACAGAGCTGAATGTAGGAGGGATGTTCTTTCCCAGTATGGCCATACACTTTTTGTCTGTCTTTACAGAATCTGCAGAATCTCACTTTAATAAAAAGGGCACTCAAATAAAATCAAATGCTCATTTGTCTAAAAAACATAAGATAAGTAAACACAGCTGCAAACCGTAAAATATGAGCTTATCTTAGAACAAACACGGGTTTTGGACATGAATCATCATGATGTTACAAAGATTTATTCCATATACACATTTCCAGAGCTTAGTTCTACATTATGTAGTGCTGTATATACAATATATATATATATATATATATATATATATATATATATATATATATATATATATATATATATATACACACACACATTCATACACACTCACATTAAACAGGATGCTAAACATGCTAAACATTCAAAATCCATTCATTTCTATGTTTCATATATCCAGTTGCATAACAATACAGTATTTTAAAAGATATCTTTTTATTAGCATTTTACTGGAAAGATGTATAAAGATATAAACATTCATCCATCCATTATCATCCATCATCCATCCATATCAAACAACCACGCACACTCACAATCACTCCTAAGGGCAATTTGGAATGTCCAATCAACCTAACATGCAGGTTTTTGGGTGGTGGGAGGAAGCCGGAGAACCCGGAAAGAACCCTCGCGGACACAGGGAGAACATGCAAACTCCACACAGAAAGATCCTGGTTCCCCCGGGGACTCAAAGCCAGAACCCTCTTGCTATGAGGAGATGGTGCTAATCACCACATGATCGTGCCGCCCAGATATAAACATTTTGACAAAAAAATAAAACTTTAGAGAATGTTAGGGCCAAATCTACCAGTCTTTGTCTGCTTAAAAACAAAACAAAAGATACATTTACTACTCTTCTCTTGTCCAGCAGGGCAATCATTTCTCTTCAAAGAACACTATTATACTATCTAAAAATATCTACACTGAGAAAAACTATGACTGAACTCATTCTATTGTCATCACCAGATAATTATACTTTATATAACAAGCCTAATTTGTTTGAGATGTCTAGTAAATTATTGACCTCAAGAGGAGAATGGGGTTTTCTCTTACAGTTATGAGGCATCAGGAGTGCTGTGTCAGCACACATTGATGGCATCGTGAAAGCTGCAGCGACTGATTTATGCTGAAAATGTCAGATGGCAAAATGACATAGTCCAAAAGGCTCAGGGAGCGCTTTAACTGAGCAGCCGCTGAAGCATAAGCGGGTGATGGTCACAGTTCCTCTCTGCCCACTGCATGGTCCGCTTTCATGACTTACCTTCACTTCCCATGCAGTCATTACAGTGCTTCTTAAAGGTAGAAAGGAGAGAGATCAAATCAACTATACTTGTTTTAGAGTCATTGTTCCATGGGATAACAATAAATTTGTGATCTTTATATTCACTCTCATGAACAACAGCAGCAAGGCAAGTCTTGTTTTCACTTTTAATCTGCCATAACCTCAACACAGAGACTGGAAGAAGAGGGGAAGAAACTAATGAGATCCTGGTTTAAATTTTGCAAAACATCAAGTGAATAGCTGAGTTTCTCAGGCGAATGCATACCACTCCGGAGGGACATCATCCCTCCTCCTCACAGGTTTCTTCATGCTGTCTTGTTTTTGTTACATAATGAGTTTCACTTCACCTGATCCGGGGACATCTGTCCTGTGCAAACAGATGAGCAAATGCAGACTTTCCATAAAAAACTAATAGACAAACACATTAGTATTGATGCAAACACATTACTATTGAATAAAGGCCCTCATTATATTCATCATATAGTTTTGTCCTTGCAATAAATCACATCTCCTTTTGTCTGTATATCAGTGATTGAAATGTCAAGTCAAAATTATACATGATATCACTAGATGGTATTTGAATGTTTGCACTCAATCAAATCTGACAGTGTATCGCTGGGAAAGTGGTGCAGGATAAATCAGAGGTCATTCCAAGTCCACCATCCGTCATACACTACTCACAATAAGTTAGGAATATTGTGAGAGACCCAGTTGATTTCATACATACAATGCTTTTTTCACAATTGTATTTGGGTAACAGACACGTCTCATTTGATGTTTTCCACCTAATGGTCTTACTGTAAACAGTCTGCCTTACACAAAAAAACTAAAAGACCACCCTTTTCAATGTGGCATAAATTTCAACATTCTGCGGGTATAAAAAGCCGGTATTTTAAGTTGATCAGCCTTAAACCCACATTGTCACTTGCTGGAGCAGTACCAGCTTGGCAATAGGGCGCCTTTGGGTCAGTGGCGGGCAGTCAGGTCCTGCTCGCGAACTTGGTGTGTTTCAAAGTATCATCAACACAACTTTGAGGTAATTTCTCAGTTTAAGATATATTTTCTTCATTTTCAAAATTTTCTGTCAATGTGTGGTTCTTTTTAAAAAAAAACCTCACATCTTTAGATTATGTATTTACACCTCAGCAGCTTCAAGACGGATCAGACAGTCAGTGCACTTAGTTTTTTTTATTACGTTGCTGAGAAAATAAATCATCCTGACGGTGAAAACTGGAATATACAAGTAAGAAAAAAGATAACACATCACACGTCTTCTGCCTTCCCGGCTGCACAGACTTTCACGTTACACCTTTTAGTCTCCTGTCAGACAAGAAAAAGTTTTTCTTCACTTGGTGCAAAATAAATTAATTAGTTTAACAGTAATTCAGCTCCAAGAAGCAAGATAGCTTGCAGATTCCCACCAGATCCTCACTGAATGGAATAGTGCACCTCTGCAAGTCAACAGGCACCTGAGGGGAAACGTCAGGCTTTGTGTGATGTAAATTGCTAACATCTGTGACTGCCTGGTGCTGAGGGTTGGACTACTGATTATTTGCTCTCTTTGCAGGACTCAGAACCTTCAGTCATGGCTGACTTCTGCAGAAATGATTTCATGCATTGGTGTTTGTTCCGTCCGCTCTGTTCTCGCCTGCAGGTTGTCGGTATTTGAGTAGGGAAGGCAAAATAAATGTATGGAGAAGGCCAAACGTCTGGGGAATAGAATAGATGAATACTCAGTGTTCAGGGTGCTGCTCAAACAGCTTTAAGGTAGTTATATCAGATGATGTCTGTCGATAACACATCATCAAGCCTATGTTTACATAAAGTTCTTACTGAGCAGATAAGAAGCTCCATTACTTAATGCTTGGTGTAAATTTTCACACATTATGTTACTTTTTGGCCGCTTTCAAATGTGCAACAGGAAAGAAATTCATACCAGGTTCCTGTTCAGATGAGAGCCTTATCAGAGTAGTCAGCTAATAAAACAAAATATACTCAGACATTTTGAATGTCATTCTTTATGTGTGGGGGAAAATAAGTCTCATAATTGATTCACATGTGTTATCCAAATTTCTGAATTATTAATTAAATAACAGAGATGAACACAAACTCTTAGCAGATAGACCAAATTCCGAATTTTTATTCAACAATTGCCACCCCCCCAGTAAAAAACACATGAAGATTATTATAAAATATAAATCAACGTATAGCCGGATGTCTGCTGCCTTAGAAATGTGATTTCCTACTGTGACCATGCAGAGCACAGGTGCTGTGATTAGTCCACACAGCACTTCACTCATATCTAATGACCCTGTTGACAAAACAAATCAGAAAGTCAGGTTTGCTCACATTGCCAACAAAATGACCAGTGTTCTGTCTCCTGGCACTTTCTCATTAAGAAAACAGTTTTTGCAAATGAACACCTTCCTACTTGTTTCTTTTGTGGAAGTTTTTCAATTTGAATATAAAACTTAAATACTGAACATAATCTCACCATTTAGTCAGAGAACTGCAATGCCAAAAAATATACTTATTTTCAGTAACTGTTTGAAAAACACAGCCAACTAAATTCGAGATCTAAGCAGGCATAAGTGTTGTGCTTATTAAGGAGCTTGGGTCACATATGTAGGACAGACTGAATCGGATGGCATGAGCTGAGCTTGAGTGTGCTTGTAGACCTGAATGTAGGCACACAAACACATGAAACAACAAGAGAACCAACAGATTAGATTGAAGTTGAAGCCCCTGGTTTGAGGAAAGAAGAAAAAAGGATGTCTCTGGCTTTGATAAATGTTCATCCTTTGAAAATTAAACAATCGCACAGTGTCATTAGGGAGTAGATGATCAAATCATACGAGGATTCTTGATGTTTTGATTCAGAGACAAACAGCTGGAGGCCTGAACACTTTTCTGCTTCAGTCTGCAATGTGATGAGTCCGTATCGGAGACGGGCATACAGCGCACTGATCTGCACTATCGCTGCATGAGCACATGCAGCTTCTGCTGAATGATTTCGGAGTTCATGGCCCACAGAAACTCAGTCAGTCCTCCTGTGAGCAGCTCCTCCATGGGAACAAACTGCAGCACCTGCCTGTCACCCCCACAGGGCTGACTTCTACCCGTGGCCTCCTCTGCTTTTAACAGCTTACTCAGGGAGCTTTGCACGTCAGTCAGGACTGGACGCATTCGAGCGGCGGCTTCTGGGCAGAAGCCAACGCACACCAGCACGGCCCCGGCCACGCTGGAGGGGGGTGGACACTTGTAGGAGACCGAGCGAAAGCACGCGTGCAGGCAGAGCACCACGGCTGCCGTGACACGGGTGAGGGCAGAAAACACAGGCAGCAGCAGCACATCCCCAGAGCTCAGGCTCTGCAGGGACACCATCACGCAGCTTAGGAGCTGCTGCTGATACAGCGGCTCCCCGTCGAGCAGCGAAATGCGGCCCCTCTGGGGAAATGAAGGCTCTGCGCAGAACGTCAAGCCCAGATCCTCGTCTCGGCTCCCACAGGCACCCCAAACGGAGCGGCTGCCAAACACAAGACACTGCGTCCTCCTGTGGTTCTCCTCAGAGCCAGCTTTGTCGATACAAAGACCTGCCACCTCGGACAATATGGAGGACGTGCTGGTCACGTGGCAGGAGTCACAGGGGGGCACGTGGGTCCAGTCTACAGCCGTGTCCATCAGGGCCTCGTTTAGGTGTTTTAACATCTCCCCATCGCAGAATGGAGAGTTCCTGACAGCAGGTAGTGCAGCCCCGATAATGACATACCATGACTCCACATGACAGCTGGACAGGGGTCCCTCCAGCGTGCAGCCTGTCCCTCTGTCCTCCGTGCAGTGAGTTTGTATCCAGGCTGCGTGGCAGCTCCTCTCAATCCGGCCCCTCCAGTCCAGGCTTTGCAATTCCCTGCGCTCATTGAAAGAGCCCGTCTGCTTCTTCTGTCCCAGAGGCCGGCCCGCTGAGACGCTGCAGCAGGCAGGACTCACCGTGTTACGAGAGATCCACCGGCTCCGTGGAAGAAAGGTCACCTAAGGAGGAAAACAAGTTCAATTCAGTGACAGATAAACTCACCGTACCAGCTCAAGTCAAAAACTTTTGTACATTTTTGCTGCAAGAAATCCCTTTCAGAGATATGTCAACCCCCCCCACCCTGTTATTACAGCTGTTAACTATATAAATATACTGTTCTAGTATATTATCTAGTATATATTTTCTTATACACTTAAATATATGGCTCAAAAACAGATTAGATCGACTGACCACTCAGCAAATTTAGCCATGCTGAATGCTTCCCTAAAGTTAACTGCTTTGTTTCTGGTTAACTGTGACATGTTAGTTAAACACTTACTGCACTTGACTTTTTAGTGAAGTTTCTATTCGGTTTGTATTTGCTTTGTAACACTAGGATGATAATAGGTAAGACAACACCACTGCACAACAGTGACAAAGCTAAACCAACTGAGAAGTCTATTGTAATCACCAGAATCATTATAATAAATCTTAAGAGGTCAATCTTTGTATAAATGTTATATCTAATCAGTGACCCCAGTTCTTAATTGTCACATTGCAAACTTATCCTACATTGAAACGTTGCAGATATTCCTGAGCCACACAGTCTCTGATGTGGTCCAGCCGCTGCCTCTGCTCTGGGCTTATTCCCTCAAACAGTTGCAGGTTTTCTGTGATCGTCTCCACCTGCAGAGTGTGGAAGTACAAGCACACCTCTTCATGTTGCTTCAGGAAAGACTTTGGGATAAGAGAACTGGGCAAAAGTGCCTCTTTGTCCGCCATGAGAGGTCCATAATTACGAATCAGTTTTGACAGCAGGGGCCTCAGAGACTCCTTGCTGTCATAGTTCAGACACACAACATAAACCTCTGAGTTTCCCGCTTTGCTGGTCGCAGGTTTGAAGACGCTGACGGAGCGGAAACAGCAGTTGAGCAGATACAGTAAGCAGACAGAGGAGTGCTCATACAGGGTGAACATCTTTAGTACAAAGGAACCTCCGGGGCTCAGGAGCAGCAATGCAGCTGTCACTTCGCAGAAATGCAGGGACGCCACCAGGGCCTCCTGCTCATCGGGGTTCTCCTGACAGTCAAAGCTTCCATCGGCTGTTACCAGATCCACCCGACGCATGTTGGAGACGAACGCCTGCAGATCCAGCAAGTGTTTCTGGATCATGATGTTGCCCGTGTTGTCTGAGCCAAAGAACCACCAGGGCAGCGTGTTGGCGATTAACCGATCGTCGGCAATGGTCGTGCTGCCCCCGTTAGCCTCGTGGTAGGGATTGAGAGTGTTGGCGGCCCAGCACCAGTCGCAGTATCGCGTGGAGCTGCTGGTTTTCAGATAGTGGTTAAGAGCCGTTATAAATGCACCAGGAGCTTCACACAGGTGCACGGAGTTCAGTTCTCCGCTTTGAAGAGCCTCCTCTGGCAGAAGAGGAAAGGTTCCCAGGATTTCATAGAACTTGCACCAGGCCTGAGTGCAGATCTCCGCATTGGCAGCAGAACGCACGGCGGCGATAACTTTGCCGGCCCGGTTGGTGGAGTTGGTGTGCTGATGCCACACCTGCACGTTCTTGTCACTGAGCTGGTTTTTCACCTCATTCAGAGAAGCCTTCAGGTCTTGCAGGTTCTGGTGCTCTTCTGGAGGGTGTCTGAGAGCAGCATTTGGGTCGGGGAGGCTCCACTCCCCGTTGGAAGGCTTCGAATAGGCTCTGACTTTGTTGAAAAGGGCTTGTATCTCGGCCAGGTTTTCGGGGTCAGAGGCCACCGCACTGCTGAGGCGCTGCTGCTTGCTGGCTTTCTTCCTGGTGCCATTTCCTGAGCTCATCCTTCACATCTAGGGAGAGGAAACATGAAGAGGTTGGCATGCATTGTGCGATTGTTCCATCAGGCCAAGGAAAAGACATAAAAAATGAGTGTTGGTCTTGCCAGGCTGACCCTTTACCTAACAACAGCACCTAAATGAACTGAACAGGAACATTAACTGATAACTTATTTATTCCTATAGATTGATTAAATTGTCTTATGTTCTATAAATAGTCATATATTATATTCTCTCCTTGAGTGCTATTACTTTCCAAGTGCTTTCCAGTGCTAACGTGAATTGTAAACAGTTGCAGATTACAGATAAAGGACAAGTGTTTTATACTTAAAGAAATCCGAAGTACTCAGTCATATATCATATATTACTCATGTCATATACTTTCCTCAGGGAAAGCCTAAAACCAGTGACTGTATACATCAAAACGCTTAGCTGCGTTGGCTCAACCTGGATGCTGTTGAATTCGTCTCTGGTCTGCTGCTTTAACTCAAGTTTCCCCTGAATTGAACATTTCCCTGCAGTGTAGGGCTCCAGCTCGGTTGTGTCTCTTACTAACCGGCAGGGGCTTAACTTTCTCACACACTGTGTTCATAAGTGATAGCGTCTCAGCCAGGCATCCTCAGCCCACAGCTGCGGGCCACTGAAACACGGGACGACCTGAAAACACCGCTCAGAAACTCACCGACTCCAGGTGCTGCTCGGACACGGAACAACCTGTTCACGTGACTCAAAGTTACTTGTGCGCATGCGCGTGGTCGAGTCGGCGGTGTTTCTCTTAAAGGAAAAGCTTCTGGACAAGAGCGTCAATTTGTGTCAAATGTATTAGCAGATATTGAAATAGCGTATTATCGTTTATTTAATCGTCTTTAATGGCAAGAGATAACATGATAATGTAGAATTGCTTGTGCAAAATCTTTGCTTTTAGATTTGATATTAGAAACACATTTTATAAAGACAGAGAGATTTAAAGTGCTGGTAGGTTGGTTTAGCTCTTAAAGATTGTCACTACAGAACTATGTTGTTGAAGGTGGTTGCATTATGGAAATGAGCAAAGCCTAAAAGATGGTTTGCTGGATGGCAGCACATATTCATTTTGTGAAGAATCAGTAATCTGCCAAGCATCCATGATCATTTAAGACATGGCTGTCCAACTCTGGTCCTTGACAGCAGTTATCATGCAGATCTTAGGTATTTCCTGACCTCAGCACGCCTGACTCCGAGGAAAGATTGTTAATCCCTACACAAGCTTACTCGTAATGCATTGATGAGTTGATGTGGTAAACCAGAAAACACATAAAATCTGCAGGAAAATGGCAATTGATTTCGGAAATCAGATGGAAAAAGGTTAAAATGATGTTTTACAGGTGTCAGAATATGTCTTGTGTTTCTTTTTAACTAAATCTTCACAGTTTGTAGGCTATGCTTATCGAGAGTTTAAAAATATATGTCTCGGGATGAAATGTTTCCGGCAAAAATAAAATAAAATAAAAAAGAAGAAAGCTCTGGCTGTCAACTAAGAATGCTACATCCAGACTGTCTCCATACCTGGTTTATCATGTCACACTTGTCTTGTTTTACTAAGTTGTCCTAACGTCGTCACTTCAGTGAACATGTTTCATTTTAGCTGGTCCGCTGATGACACTGTCACTGCTAAAGCAGGTGCTTTGGCAGATGCTGTGTAAATTATGACTAAGTGAAGAATAAGTGAGTTCCCATCCATGCCTGCAGCTTTAAAATTGACTGAAATTTTAACTTGATGGATACTCTGTGGTTCCTTGGTCCACAGAGAATGCTTCCTATTACTTTGGTGTTCTTCTGACCTCTAACCCTACAATGGGAGTTCTATTTATTGCTAGATGAAATGGATGCATCCAAATCTTGTAACATGGGCAATATTAATACGTTGTTCAGGTTTGGGGTAACTACAAAAAAAAAACAGCCTAAGCTGAGCTACTTTTATATATACTTTTTATAATCTAGGAAAATCATACCTTTATTCAATTACGCTATAATGTATGAACAGGAAAAGCAGTCTATATATGATGGAATCTGAAATGTGAATAACTGTAGGGCTTTAAAATGATGGATGTTTGCTACAGTGGGCATCGGTGCACAGGATGAGAGTCAAGGAAAACAGCTTCCCTTTATCTCTGACAAGATGAGGAGCAAAGTAGGAATAAACACGGCCCAGCAATCACAGTGAACATCTGCTCTCTGTCAGTGCGACACAGTGGCGATGCAAACGAGTCATTCTCTCCTCTCTTGCAGCTGCTGTCTGACAGCAGACCCTCTCCTTTCCTCTCATACATGAATGATGGCTGCTCTGAAAACAGTAAGAATAGATAAAACTGTAATTTAAAAAATGATACACAAGGCACTTCACAGCTGGCGTAGAGGAAACAAGCTAAACTTTCACAGGATAATGAACAAATATAACATTTTAATTTGTCTCAACATGCCCAGCGAGCTGCTCGCTGAGTTACCTTCATGAAAGAGGATGTTTCAATATGGCAACCTAAGGGAAATCTTCTGAACTCTGCAGAACAGCCTCTGGTGACAGCAGTCAGCAGTCATCGTTCCTTGTAAGGGGGAAAAAAAGGAAAATATGAAACTGTGTTGTAATGTGACTATTATATCGTGAATTTCCATCTAAATAAGTCTCCATTCCAACCATTTGTTCGTGTGAAATGACTGCTGCTGAAAAACAAACATGAACAGTGTTTTATGAAGTGAGAGTGGTGCACACTGATGATTCTAGAATCTTCCAATAATCTTAATGAGAATTTCAGAGTTAATTAATCCATCTGTCATTTATGTGAAAGGTTTTTGTTTTCTACAAGGTTGTGCATACAAGCTTAAGTCTGGAGGGAAAATTCTGCAGAAGAGAAAAGATGGATTAAGGAGCAGGAAGTCACAAATCTTCTTGTGTTGGCAGGTTACTTCCAGTCTTGAAAAACAGCAACAACCAATTAACCATTGGCATTGTGACAGAAACTGACTGTCAGTCTTTTTGTTTTCTTGGAAAAAATCGTTCAGGTTCCTCTTCTAACACTTACTCTGGTTGGCTAGTTATATAAATCGCCTTGGACATTTGCCCATTTAATAGAGTAATACTAATTCTTGGTGTTTCTGAGTAATAATAATAAAGATAGCCTTTTTATGATGTTAAACAATTGGAAACAAGTAAAAATTGATGGGTTTATGTCACCTTTGTAAACTGAAGTAAGAGTTGTTAAGTTGCAGGTATGTCCTGAATATGTTGGTTATTTGTTATTTTATTTTAGGTTTCTTAATGTGTTATCAAATTAATCAACCACCAACTGCTCCAACACTTACAATTAATTATATGCCAATAAATGAGAATACAAACATGAAACAAAAAAAATCCTTGGATTTTTGCACTCCAGACTTTAAATAATGCCTTTTTTAAACTACCAATCATTTATTTACAACAGTCTTCAACTTTTCAAAATACAGAGCAGTAGCCCACTGATTCAACCAGAAGGTCAGTGGTTCTCCATTTCCCCTGGGACACGTGTAAAAGAGTACTTATGCAAGGCCCTGAACCCCAAGTTGCCCACTGGTGTGTGATTGTGCGTCAGCGTGCATGAGTGAGTGAATAACATGTAGTGTAGGGCGCACTGAAAGGTCAACGCCACATAAGTAAAAGTCCATTTACCACAAGAGGACGGGGCTCAATCTGCCCTGACAGCACATCGTGGTCACAAGATTTAGTTATGAAACCAATTCTACCAACAGGATAAACAATTGGGTCCTGCCATAGATATGTTATTTTGAAAGTATTGACTTGGACGAGAAATGTATTAACACAAAGGATCTAAATTGAAGTATTGGATTTGAACTAAACACACATATAAAAATACAATGATTGGAACGTAAACAATATATCCTCCAAGATCAACTCAATAAAACAACGGGTGTCTTTTCATGTGTGTGTTCTTGGGTCAATGGTTTTGAGTTTCTGGTCCTTCTGGCAGGTATGTCTTGTAGTTTTCCACTGTCCTGTTTCTTTTGGAATATTTAAAAGCTCCAAGACCTTCTGTGGGTAGCTGTGACTCATGTCTCCGTTTGGGTCTGCTCCTCCACTGACCCTGACAAAAGTCTAAATTGGCAGTCTGGTATTTCAATAACCCTTCTGGCCTATATTTCTGCTCAACAGCTTACACTTTGAGCTGACTGTGTCATTTTCATCCATAAAATTTAACATGATGGAGCAGTTGCCTCGAATTTAGCCACTGCCCAAAAAAAAGGGAGCGTGGGAAGCTGTAGCGTGTCTGTTGGGTTACACGTTTTCTTAGCAGTTTGATTATGTCACATGTTTTTCATGCTGACTTTAGTCTGATTTGATGAAGTTGTGTCTGCACTTGTATCCCAGGAGTATGTTTATCTGTTCATCAATATTTTGCCGTTTAGTCCTGGTCCAGTTCAATGCCATTGTCCCAGGGTTTTTGCTTGAAGGCTCGTAGACCTCGGTTGACTGGCTGATTTTAATCGACTCAGTAAAAAGGACTGACTGGCCAGAATTGGGGGCCAGAGGACATAAATCAGGCCACAGGATCACTCGTTGTTGACATACAATATGTGTATGCCTGCACACACACAAACACATACTGTACACATCCATCTGAAGACATGTTTGCTCAGGTAGGTCTACTTCACTTTTATATCTGCCTGTGGGAGAGCTTGTTGTGCTTCAGTGCATTTGCTTATGGAGGTATGTCAGCCCGCTGAGATTCATCACATTTATGTGCCTCCTGGTTTTAAATTCACTCCCCCCTCCCCCCTCCCATGTGTACCATGCACACTTGCCTGTACAGATTCATATTTCTCCTGCCAGAGGCACTACTGTTAAGGGTGGTGAGGCTAGAGTTGGGTGTGACACAAGCTTGTGGCTTACTTGTGAACTTCCCACGTATACGGGGTATACGTGGGAAGTGGAATTGACTATTTATGACCAAGAAATGTACAAACATTCACACTAATGACAACATTTTTTGTGCAAAAATATTCCTAACATTAGAGGTGAGGGTTCAGTCTGTACAAAAACAAGTTAAACAGCACATACACACAGGTTGTCCAAACAGGCTTGTTTTCACCACCAGCTTCTTTACCAGATGTTTGCATGGACTTATGGTGAAAATGCAAAAGCATAAACATTGACTGAAATACTCAATATCACATCACGTATGCACATAAAAGTAGCAAATCTTATTCAGATTGGTTTAAAATAAAATTGATTTGTTAATCATAAGATCCAAGATAAATGTGATGCACTCTGACGTAAAAACAAAAAAACAAAAACGGCCTTACTGTATGAAGTCGCACTATATGGGATTATAATTTCCCCTGTGGCTGCTCCTCCTGCATACCTTGGAACAGATTAAAAGTGACAAAACGACATAGAGTAGGAGGAGCTCCACCATGCATAATCAGGTACATTTGACGTATTTTCATAGTTAAGTACATTGCTGGAGTGTGTTTTTTTTATTATATGGCAGTCATAGTAAATAAATGCTTACTAATCTTCAGTCTTAGGTGTTTGCCTCCACAATCACTCCACTAATTTAAAGGTAAAAGGTTTTTGTTCAACCAATTCTTGCTGTCAGTAAATTGTTTGATGCCATAGTCCCATCATTTTTTTTTTAC